TGCTCTTTCCTTGTTGTGCTCTTTCCTTGTTGTGCTCTTTCCTTGTTGTGCTCTTTCCTTGTTGCTCTTTCCTTGTTGTGCTCTTTCCTTGTTGTGCTCTTTCCTTGTTGTGCTCTTTCCTTGTTGTGCTCTTTCCTTGTGGTGCTCTTTCCTTGTTGTGCTCTTTCCTTGTTGTGCTCTTTCCTTGTTGTGCTCTTTCCTTGTGGTGCTCTTTCCTTGTTGTGCTCTTTCCTTGTGTGCTCTTTCCTTGTTGTGCTCTTTCCTTGTTGTGCTCTTTCCTTGTTGTGCTCTTTCCTTGTGTGCTCTTTCCTTGTTGTGCTCTTTCCTTGTTGTGCTCTTTCCTTGTTGTGCTCTTTCCTTGTTGTGCTCTTTCCTTGTGGTGCTCTTTCCTTGTTGTGCTCTTTCCTTGTTGTGCTCTTTCCTTGTTGTGCTCTTTCCTTGTTGTGCTCTTTCCTTGTTGTGCTCTTTCCTTGTTGTGCTCTTTCCTTGTTGTGCTCTTTCCTTGTGGTGCTCTTTCCTTGTTGTGCTCTTTCCTTGTGTGCTCTTTCCTTGTTGTGCTCTTTCCTTGTGGTGCTCTTTCCTTGTTGTGCTCTTTCCTTGTGTGCTCTTTCCTTGTTGTGCTCTTTCCTTGTTGTGCTCTTTCCTTGTTGTGCTCTTTCCTTGTTGTGCTCTTTCCTTGTTGTGCTCTTTCCTTGTTGGCTTTCCTCTTGTTGTGCTCTTTCCTTGTTGTGCTCCTTTCCTTGTGGTGCTCTTCCTTGTGTGTGCTCTTTCCTTGTTGTGCTCTTCCTTGTTGTGCTCTTTCCTTGTGGTGCTCTTTCCTTGTTGTGCTCTTTCCTTGTTGTGCTCTTTCCTTGTTGTGCTCTTTCCTTGTTGTGCTCTTTCCTTGTTGTGCTCTTTCCTTGTTGTGCTCTTTCCTTGTTGTGCTCTTTCCTTGTTGTGCTCTTTCCTTGTTGTGCTCTTTCCTTGTTGTGCTCTTTCCTTGTTGTGCTCTTTCCTTGTTGTGCTCTTTCCTTGTTGTGCTCTTTCCTTGTTGTGCTCTTTCCTTGTTGTGCTCTTTCCTTGTTGTGCTCTTTCCTTGTTGTGCTCTTTCCTTGTTGTGCTCTTTCCTTGTTGTGCTCTTTCCTTGTGGTGCTCTTCCTTGTTTGCTCTTTCCTTGTTGGTGCTCTTTCCTTGTTGGTGCTCTTTCCTTGTGTGCTCTTTCCTTGTGGTGCTCTTTCCTTGTTGTGCTCTTTCCTTGTTGTGCTCTTTCCTTGTTGTGCTCTTTCCTTGTTGTGCTCTTTCCTTGTTGTGCTCTTTCCTTGTTTGTGCTCTTTCCTTGTTGTTGTGCTCTTTCCTTGTTGTGCTCTTTCCCTTGTTGTGCTCTTTCCTTGTTTGTGCTCTTTTCCTTGTTGTGCTCTTTCCTTGTTGTGCTCTTTCCTTGTGGTGCTCTTTCCTTGTTGTGCTCTTTCCTTGTGGTGCTCTTTCCTTGTTGTGCTCTTTCCTTGTGGTGCTCTTTCCTTGTTGTGCTCTTTCCTTGTGGTGCTCTTTCCTTGTTGTGCTCTTTTCCTTGTTGTGCTCTTTCCTTGTTGTGCTCTTTCCTTGTTGTGCTCTTTCCTTGTTGTGCTCTTTCCTTGTTGTGCTCTTTCCTTGTTGTGCTCTTTCCTTGTTGTGCTCTTTCCTTGTTGTGCTCTTTCCTTGTTGTGCTCTTTCCTTGTTGTGCTCTTTCCTTGTTGGTGCTCTTTTCCTTGTTGTGCTCTTTCCTTGTTGTGCTCTTTTCCTTGTTGTGCGTCTCTTTCCTTGTTGTGGCTCTTTCCTTGTGTGCTCTTTCCTTGTTGTGCTCTTTCCTTGTTGTGCTCTTTCCTTGTTGTGCTCTTTCCTTGTTGTGCTCTTTCCTTGTTGTGCTCTTTCCTTGTTGTGCTCTTTCCTTGTTGTGCTCTTTCCTTGTTGTGCTCTTTCCTTGTTGTGCTCTTTCCTTGTTGTGCTCTTTCCTTGTTGTGTCTTCTTTTCCTTTGTTGTGCTCTTTCCTTGTTGTGCTCTTTTTCCTTGTTGTGCTCTTTCCGTTGTTTGGTGCTCTTTCCTTGGTTGTGGTGCTCTTTCCTTGTTGTGCTCTTTCCTTGTTGTGCTCTTTCCTTGTTGTGCTCTTTCCTTGTGGTGCTCTTTCCTTGTTGTGCTCTTTCCTTGTGGTGCTCTTTCCTTGTTGTGCTCTTTCCTTGTTGTGCTCTTTCCTTGTTGTGCTCTTTCCTTGTTGTGCTCTTTCCTTGTTGTGCTCTTTCCCTTGTTGTGCTCTTTCCTTGTTGTGCTCTTTCCTTGTGTGGTGCTCTTTCCTTGTTGTGCTCTTTCCTTGTGGTGCTCTTTCCTTGTTGTGCTCTTTCCTTGTGGTGCTCTTTCCTTGTTGTGCTCTTTCTTGTGGTGCTCTTTCCTTGTTGTGCTCTTTCCTTGTTGTGCTCTTTCCTTGTTGTGCTCTTTCCTTGTTGTGCTCTTTCCTTGTTGTGCCTCTTTCCTTGTTGTTGTGCTCTTTCCTTGCTTGTGTGCTCTTTCCTTGTTGTGCTCTTTCCTTGTTGTGGCTCTTTCCTTGTTGTGCTCTTTCCTTGTTGTGCTCTTTCCTTGTGGTGCTCTTTCCTTGTTGTGCTCTTTCCTTGTTGTGCTCTTTCCTTGTTTGTGCTCTTTCCTTGTTGTGCTCTTTCCTTGTTGTGCTCTTTCCTTTGTGTTGTGCTCTTTCCTTGTTGTGCTCTTTCCTTGTTGTGCTCTTTCCTTGTTGTGCTCTTTTTGTGCTCTTCCGTGTTGTGCTCTTTCCTTGTTGTGCTCTTTCCTTGTTGTGCTCTTTCCTTGTTGTGCTCTTTCCTTGTTGTGCTCTTTCCTTGTTGTGCTCTTTCCTTGTTGTGCTCTTTCCTTGTTGTGCTCTTTCCTTGTTGTGCTCTTTCCTTGTGGTGCTCTTTCCTTGTTGTGCTCTTTCCTTGTGGTGCTCTTTCCTTGTTGTGCTCTTTCCTTGTGGTGCTCTTTCCTTGTTGTGCTCTTTCCTTGTGGTGCTCTTTCCTTGTTGTGCTCTTTCCTTGTTGTGCTCTTTCCTTGTTGTGCTCTTTCCTTGTTGTGCTCTTTCCTTGTTGTGCTCTTTCCTTGTTGTGCTCTTTCCTTGTTGTGCTCTTTCCTTGTGGTGCTCTTTCCTTGTTGTGCTCTTTCCTTGTTGTGCTCTTTCCTTGTTGTGCTCTTTCCTTGTGGTGCTCTTTCCTTGTTGTGCTCTTTCCTTGTTGTGCTCTTTCCTTGTTGTGCTCTTTCCTTGTTGTGCTCTTTCCTTGTTGTGCTCTTTCCTTGTTGTGCTCTTTCCTTGTTGTGCTCTTTCCTTGTTGTGCTCTTTCCTTGTTGTGCTCTTTCCTTGTTGTGCTCTTTCCTTGTTGTGCTCTTTCCTTGTTGTGCTCTTTCCTTGTTGTGCTCTTTCCTTGTTGTGCTCTTTCCTTGTTGTGCTCTTTCCTTGTTGTGCTCTTTCCTTGTTGTGCTCTTTCCTTGTTGTGCTCTTTCCTTGTGGTGCTCTTTCCTTGTTGTGCTCTTTCCTTGTTGTGCTCTTTCCTTGTGGTGCTCTTTCCTTGTTGTGCTCTTTCCTTGTGGTGCTCTTTCCTTGTTGTGCTCTTTCCTTGTGGTGCTCTTTCCTTGTTGTGCTCTTTCCTTGTTGTGCTCTTTCCTTGTGGTGCTCTTTCCTTGTTGTGCTCTTTCCTTGTTGTGCTCTTTCCTTGTTGTGCTCTTTCCTTGTTGTGCTCTTTCCTTGTTGTGCTCTTTCCTTGTTGTGCTCTTTCTTTTGTCTCTTTCCTTGTTGTGCTCTTTCCTTGTTGTGCTCTTTCCTTGTTGTGCTCTTTCCTTGTTGTGCTCTTTCCTTGTTGTGCTCTTTCCTTGTTGTGCTCTTTCCTTGTTGTGCTCTTTCCTTTCCTTGTTGTGCTCTTTCCTTGTTGTGCTCTTTCCTTGTGGTGCTCTTTCCTTGTTGTGCTCTTTCCTTGTGGTGCTCTTTCCTTGTGGTGCTCTTTCCTTGTGGTGCTCTTTCCTTGTGGTGCTCTTTCCTTGTGGTGCTCTTTCCTTGTGGTGCTCTTTCCTTGTGGTGCTCTTTCCTTGTTGTGCTCTTTCCTTGTGGTGCTCTTTCCTTGTGGTGCTCTTTCCTTGTGGTGCTCTTTCCTTGTTGTGCTCTTTCCTTGTTGTGCTCTTTCCTTGTTGTGCTCTTTCCTTGTTGTGCTCTTTCCTTGTTGTGCTCTTTCCTTGTTGTGCTCTTTCCTTGTTGTGCTCTTTCCTTGTGGTGCTCTTTCCTTGTTGTGCTCTTTCCTTGTGGTGCTCTTTCCTTGTTGTGCTCTTTCCTTGTGGTGCTCTTTCCTTGTTGTGCTCTTTCCTTGTGGTGCTCTTTCCTTGTTGTGCTCTTTCCTTGTTGTGCTCTTTCCTTGTTGTGCTCTTTCCTTGTTGTGCTCTTTCCTTGTTGTGCTCTTTTTTTTTTCCTTGTTGTGCTCTTTCCTTGTTGTGCTCTTTCCTTGTTGTGCTCTTTCCTTGTGGTGCTCTTTCCTTGTTGTGCTCTTTCCTTGTTGTGCTCTTTCCTTGTTGTGCTCTTTCCTTGTGGTGCTCTTTCCTTGTTGTGCTCTTTCCTTGTTGTGCTCTTTCCTTGTTGTGCTCTTTCCTTGTTGTGCTCTTTCCTTGTTGTGCTCTTTCCTTGTTGTGCTCTTTCCTTGTTGTGCTCTTTCCTTGTTGTGCTCTTTCCTTGTTGTGCTCTTTCCTTGTTGTGCTCTTTCCTTGTTGTGCTCTTTCCTTGTTGTGCTCTTTCCTTGTTGTGCTCTTTCCGTGTTGTGCTCTTTCCTTGTTGTGCTCTTTCCTTGTTGTGCTCTTTCCTTGTTGTGCTCTTTCCTTGTTGTGCTCTTTCCTTGTTGTGCTCTTTCCTTGTTGTGCTCTTTCCTTGTTGTGCACCCCAATGTCGGCTCTCGTGCCTACCTGTGCTCATACTTGCTCCACCTTTCCTTGTTGCGCCCACTTCATTGGGTTTCCTTCCCCATGCCCATCAGACCACAGCCATCGCTGCATCGTTCCGCAAGTACCTGGAAGTAGACAATGTGAGTGCCCATGCTGCATGCCCTCCGTGTGCTCCTCCTGTGACAGGCCTGCTCTCGTATGAGCATCACACACACGCACATAGACACACACACACACACACGCATTCACGCACACACACACATGCATGCACACACACACACATGCACAAACTCACAGCAAGAGACAGCAGGTTTCTAGAGTGCCTTGAATTGAATTGTCTTCACAGCAGCCTAGACTGGCCGATGGCCTGATGCCATCTTGCGTGCCCGCCCTGCCCGCCCTGCCCGCCTTGCCCGCTCTGCCCGCCTTGCCCTCCCTGCCCGCCCTGCCCTCACGTCTTGGCCTGCCCCCCAGGCGCTGCTCACCATGGAGGACGACCTGGCAGCGGCGGCAGAGGCGAGGCGGCAGCAGCAGGAGGAGGAGAGTGAGGAGGCGCGGGGCGACGCAGTGGCGGAGGAGATCGAGCGGCTAAGGGAGGAGCTGCGGCTGCAGCGCGAGGAGATCCAGCAGCTGCAGGCGGCAGCCAAGCAGTGGAGGCTGCAGAAGCAGCAGGCAGAGGACATGGTGCAGCTGCTGCAGCAGGAGCTGGATATGAAGAACACAGCCGCAGCTGCTGCCGCAGCAGCAGCAGCAGCAGCAGCAACAGCAGCAACAACTGCTGGCAAGGAAGCTGTTAAGACGCAAGTGAGCACCAATGGAGCTGCCGTGGTGAGCAGTGCGGGCGGGGGGAATGGGGTTGTTGAGGCCGTGAAATCAGCGAAGTCAAAAAGTGGCACGGACTCACTCCATGCAGCGGAAGACCTTGTGTAGACATCAGCACTTCTGGTGTATATGGCAAATCCGGTGTCAGCCAGTGTGAGCGAGGTACACTAGCAGCAACGGTGGATGTGCTGTGCTATATGATCTACATCATGTCTTACAGAATGAAGATGCTTATTGAATCCAGCCCAACACTGAATGTGCTCCATTCTCACCAACTTGAAATGGCAAGTGTGTATTCCAACCATTTGTCAATGCTCCAAACTTTTTGCACCATGTCTCGAGAGGGTATAGCAGACATTACCGAGAAAGGACTACTATGTGGGGCAAAAACTTGGATGTTGGATCTAGATGACTTCCAACCAAACCAATGAGTGTACCAACTCAGATCCATTTGAGGCCTTACTGGAAACGGTTCTACTGTATTTTGTTTGAGTAAACAATACACAACTTCCTCCTGGCTTCTGCAATGGGGATTTTCCGGGGTGTTTTACCTTCCTGGACGCTCCGGGCTACCATAAAATTTCCCCCAGGGGCCAAATCTGTGGGAATTTTATTCAGGGCTCACTTGCATGGATCCATCCACCATCAGATGGGTTTTGCACGCACTGTGGCTGATGGAAGTGGTCTGTGTACGCACAGGGAAATTCTCCCCGCACACACAGGATCTGGTAGCTGTGTAGAAGGACGAGTCGGGGTGTAGGGTGCGAGGGGAGGGAGAGGAGTGTTTCTAGGCGTGGAGGTGGAAATCAGAGTCACTGGAAGTAATCCAAGGGTCACCAAGGGAAAATCCTTAAACCCTGGCAGGGGCAGGGCGTTCGAGTTTCCAGGGTCGCAAAGTAATCTTCCCGCCCCAAATACAGTACCTTGTTAGAAGCAGATCTGTCCGAAAAGAAATCATATTCTGTAGTTTTGATCAAATAAGGGTAACTTCTTTGATAACAGAAACCTTGTTCCGCACACCCTTCCTGGTTTCCGGGATTCGAGAAGCCGAACCTACTGGTGCATTTTGTCCTTGTATGTGGAAGCGTGGTTGTTGTGGCTGGAATAAGCTGGCAGATAAACCATGCAGCGTGTCTGGATCAGATTTCATCCGCGGTTTTGCGCTCATTCCTGACCGCCTTTCCTAGGGCTCGCATCTTTTTATTGGTCACGAGCTGCAGGCTTGGGGATTGGGGTGTCAACACGACAAAAGAAATCAAGTTCGGTTTCGGTGACTTGGGAAGGATGGATGGCTTCAGATGGGCCTGGCTGGGCCATTTTGTGTCAGCGAGCCTTCGGCCCCTTGATTCGCTCGCTCGTGCATATGGTTGGCGTAGCGTTGTACAGTACAGTGCCTTCTGCGGCAACCAGCTTCCCCCTCAGCGCCCTCCATCCTAGCTCCATCCAGCCAGTCCATGTCTTCTTCGCAATCAACCCCGCAAACCACCCCTCTCCGCCGAACATTTCCCCAAAACTGCCCGTATTTCCCCAGTGGCCAGGCCACCGCCATCTGTGACCCCTCGAATGCCACCCCAACCTACCAAGCTGCCAGTTGGTCACTGAAAATTTCATGCCCCGGTCAGAGCGCGGAACTGTATTCAGTTCCCCCGGTCGCCCACCATCACCTCCTCCATCCATCCGCTATCCCCCATCCGCCATCGCCCAAGGCCTCCTCCACCGTCGGGCGGGACTCCGATCGGGACGGGAGGTGTTTGTTTGTCTGGCATCACAGAGTGTCGCCTTGCGAGTTCGGAACGGTTTAGAGGGGTATTCATCGGTGTCAGCTCTTTACCAAGGAGATGTGTGTCACACCATGCTGCTTGATTGAGACCCTCTCTCAACAGTGCCGCTTCTCTCTCCCTCACCCCTGCCATCTGCTCTGCCTGCTTCTCTTTGGCTTTCCGCTTCCAGGGGATCTAGCTGAACGCCAGAAACCCTAGTCACCTTCGTCAGGTTGATTCCATTGCCAGGGACGACCCGTGGCTTGCGTCCTGATTCTCCTCTCTTGTTGGGCGTTGTTCCCTCGCGGCGAGTGCGGGTCCGTCGATGCGTCGACATGGAAATCTAAACATTTTTCCTGTGTGTTAGCGGGTGACAAGCCTAGATACGAACATTTTCTTCCTGTAGCGTCTTCGTTAGACATCACCATTAGTAAAGATGACGGCCAGTCAGGTATCGGCCGCCTTCGCGGCGGCGCGCACGTCGAAGGTGACGACGATCGTGTGGTTCCGCCGCGACCTGCGCGTGGAGGACAACCCCGCGCTCATCGCCGCGGCGCAACAGGGCGCCGTCGTGCCGCTCTTCGTGTGGTCGCCGGAGGAGGAGGGGCAGTTCTTCCCCGGTCGCGTGTCGCGCTGGTGGCTGCGCAACTCGCTGTCGCAGCTGCACGCGGCGCTGACGGCGCTGGGCGTGCCGCTGTTCATGCGGCGCGCCAAGTCCACGCTGGCCGTGCTGCTGGAGGTCATGGCGGCCACCGGCGCCACGCAGGTCTTCTACAACCACCTCTACGGTGCGCGCCCCTGCCCCGCGCCCTGCCCCGCTCAACTCGCTCTCATTGCCGCTGGGTCGTGTGCTCTTCTTGGGTGCCCCAACCCTCGGATTCGACCGCGTCTTCGCTGCAACGACAAGGGCCCTTGAGATCCCTCCTCTCACTCGCTTACCCCCTTCCGTCCTCTCATTCCTTGTTCCCCCATCCCCCCCGCCCCCCACAACCCCACTCCCCCGCCCCCCCCGCGCCCGTCACAGACCCCGCGTCGCTGGTGCGCGACCACCGCGTCAAGCAGGAGCTGGGGCGGCGCGGCGTGGTGGTGCGGTCGTTTAACGCGGACCTGCTCTTCGAGCCGTGGGAGATCTTCGACGACAGCGGCAAGGCCTTCACCACCTTCCGCCCCTTCTGGAACCACTGCCTGCACCACCCGCGCCCCTCCCGCCCCGACCCGCCGCTCCCCGCGCCCACGCGCCTGAGCGGGCCGCTGGGGTTCGTGCGGAGCGTGGCGGTGGACCTGCTGGGGCTGGAGGCGGACGACGAGCGCCCAAGCAACGACCTGCTGGCGCGCGCGTGGCTGCCCGGCTGCACCAACGCGGACCGCGCGCTGGTGGCATTCCTGCACGGGCCGCTGCTGGAGTACGCGGCGAACCGCAGCAAGGCGGACAGCGCCACCACGTCGCTGCTCTCCCCGCACCTGCACTTCGGCGAGATCTCCGCGCGCCGCATCTTCCACGAGTGCCAGCGCCTCAGCGTGGCCTGGCAGAAGGACGGGCTGCCGCGCGCGGCGGAGAGCGTGGCGCAGTTCGTGCGCGCGCTGGGGTTCCGCGAGTACTCGCGGTACCTGTCGTTCAACTTCCCCTTCACGCACGAGCGCTCGCTGCTCGCCAACCTCAAGCACTTTCCGTGGCGCGTCGACGAGCACATGTTCAAGCTCTGGCGCCAGGGCCGCACCGGGTACCCACTGGTCGACGCGGGCATGCGCGAGCTGTGGGCCACCGGCTGGCTGCACAACCGCATCCGCGTGGTGGTGGCGGCGTTCTGCGTGAAGTTCCTGCAGCTGCCGTGGCGGTGGGGCATGAAGTACTTCTGGGACACGCTGCTGGACGCCGACCTGGAGGCGGACGTGCTGGGCTGGCAGTACATCAGCGGCTCGCTGCCGGACGGCCACGAGCTCGACCGCATGGACGACCCCGAGGAGGACGGCTACCGCTTCGACCCCGAGGGCGAGTACGTGCGCCGCTGGGTGCCCGAGCTCGCGCGCGTGCCCACGGACTGGATCCACCACCCGTGGGACGCGCCGCCCGTCGTGCTGCGCATGGCGGGCGTCGAGCTGGGCGCCAACTACCCGCGCCCCGTGCTGGACGTGCTGACGGCGCGGCAGCGGCTGCAGGAGGCGGTGGACACCATGTGGCAGCGCGAGGCGGCGCTCAAGGCGGCGGCCGCCAACGGCTGCGACGAGGGGCTGGGCGACACGGAGGAGGTGCTCGTCGCGTTCGCGCGCGCGCCCGACGGCCGCCTCCCCATGCGCGTGCACCGCGCGCTCGTCCGCCCCGAGCTCAGCTGCGCCAATGGCGCCGCCGCCCCCGCCGCCTCGCACAGCACGCTGGCGGCCAGCGCCAGGGGCGGCGCAGGGGGGTTGGCGCGCTCCACGTCGTGCGACTCCGCCGCGGCCAGCGCGGTGGGGCCTTGGCGCGGGCCGGCGGAGAACGGGGATGGGGAGGCGGAGGGGGTGCGCGCGGGCGGCGAGGAGCTTCCCCTTGCAGTGCAGATGGAGGCGGCGGCGGCTGCGGTGATGGCGGCGGACAGGGCTGGGAAAGCGGCGAGAGGAGAGGCGGAGGGAGAGGGCGGGGAGGGGAAACGGGAGGCGGCGGATGGAGAAACAGCGGATCTGGCGGCGGGGCGGGCGGACGGCGCGGGCAACGCGGAGGGTAGTGGCGCGGGCGTGATCCCCTGGCATGACCAGATGGTGCCGTACTTCCCCTCGCCCGCCACCATCCAGGCCGCGGAAGCCATTCTCGCGGGGGACGCCGCCGCGCACGCGGAAGGCGCGCAGCCGTCCTTCCCCCAGGAGGGGCAAGGGGAGGAGAAGGGGATTCGGGCCCCGGTGGCGGCAGCAGAGCAAGCAGCTGCAGGGAAGGGGAACGGGGCAGGTGGCGCGCCGACAGCACTGCCGCGTTGGGCGGGGTTTGCGGGCGGGCAGGGTGCGGCGGAGGGCCTTTCCCCTTCCGCGCGCGTGTCCAGTCTCGTCGAACTGCAGCTCTTCCCCGCCAACCCCCGCCCCGCCCCCGCTGATGGGCCGCGCGCGCAGAGGGGGAGAGTGGGTGATGGGAGGCAGGGGGAAGGGTCGAAGAAGGATGGCGGGGGAGTGGCGGGGAGGGAGGGCGGGGGGCTGCTGGGGAAGCGCGGGTTCAGCAACGTGTGGGGCGACGATGCGCCGTTCCCCGCGTCTATGCTCCGCCGCACCAAGGACCACACGCCCTTGGTGCCCGTGCTCTTGCAGCAGCAGCTGCGCCAGTACCAGCAGCAGCAGCAGCAGCAGCAACAACAACAACAACAACAACAACAACATATGCAACAGCAACATCAGCAGCAGCAGCAGCAACAACAACAACAGCAACAGCAACAGCAACAGCAACAGCAGCAGCAGCAGCAGCAGCAGCAGCAGCAGCAGCAGGTGCATGGGTTGCATGGGGCGCATGAGCATGGGCCAGGCATAGGGGCGGGCGTGACAGCAGAGGTGGGGCAGAAGCTCATGGCTCTGCAGCAGCAGCAGCAGCAGCAGCAGCAGCAGCGACTTATGGCCGGCGTTGCTGCCAACGCGCATGATCGCAGCAACCTGCCTGCAGCTGCAGCAGCAACAAGGCCGGCGGGCGCAGCAGGTGCGGAAGCAGCAGCTGGTGTGGCGGAGCAGGACAGGGGCGGGGGGGCCAGGGGGGTGGCTGGGGCGGGGGGCATGTATGCGAGCCCGGCAGGGCGAGTGGCGCTCACAGGACTGCCGTTCCGAGCGAGCGCTGCTGTCGAGGCGGGCGCTACCAGTGCCGGCGGCGGCGGTGGTGGCGGTGGCGGTGGTGGTGGTGGTGGCAATGCGTTTGGTGGCGCTGCTGCTGTGGATGGCAGAACACCGCACACACACGCTCAGGCGCACGCTCAGGCGCAGGCACAAGTGCAGGCGCAGGCGGAAATAGAGGCGCAGATAGAGGCGCAGCTAGGGTCACGTGCAGCAGTGGGCAAGTTGCAGCAGCCTGCTGTGCGGTCACCACAAGGCAGCAAGCCCGACCTCCCTGCCAGTGAGGTCAGTCCACCCGCCGCCCTCCACCCTCCACCCTCCACCCTCCACCCTCCACCCTCCACCCTCCACCCTCCACCGCTCGTGGCTCGTCCCACCCATCCCCTCCTGCCCAACGCCCCTGCTTGCTTGCTGCTCTTGCCTCTCCTGTCTCCATTGCCGCGCATCCTGCTCACCGCTGCCGCATTTCTTTCCTCTTCCTCCCTCTTGTCTTGTGCAGGACGGCAGTGCAGCAGCGGCGGGCAAGAAGGGGTGGGGGCCGCTCACCTTCCTCTCGCTGGTGTCGCCGCACCTGCCGCACCACCACCACCAGCATGCAGCAGACCCCCACGCGCTGCCCGCCTTCCCTGTGCCCGCCACCCTGGATGCCGCCGTCGTGCCGCGCCAACACACCCGCCTCTTCCCCTGACACGCGCCGCTCTGCACACCAGGAGCCTCGTGACGAATGGTTGATTCGTTCCCGCGGTGTGCTTGGTGTTGTGCACCAGCAACACCATTTGTCGCATTCCGTGTTTTGTCTTGGATTGTGTACAAACTAATTAAGTTGTGGTGCGCCCAGGGTGTGGCATGACCAAGTTTGCCATCCCCGGTTGGGCGCCGCCCTTGCTGCCACTAGCTGCTCCGCTTCCAAAGCACTTGTATTGTTTCGGCTCGGCTGAACGCCTGGATTGCTCATTGTGGAATTGTCATGTGGCAGTCATGCTGGCAGTGGACGAAAACAGCCCGCGGATTGAAGAGTTTTATACAAACATATCCCTGTTTGTTACTAGAACAGGTAGCACACGACACAAGTTACCAAGGCAAATGTTGAGCAAACCGGTTAGCAAGGAAGAGCCTTCAAGAAAATGCCAGGAGGGCAGGTCAGAGTATGCATAGTGTTGTGGCTAGCACAGCACTATGTGCTGTGCGGCTGCTACCACACGCTTACATCCTTACTGGGCAAACTACCAGCAGTAAGTGACCCCTAGCCCTGAGAATGTAACTAGTCATATCGGCAGCACGAGCCACACGGGTCCATGATAGGGAGAGGAGAGCAAACCCATGCTGCAATTAGTGAGTCGTGAACAGGTGAGAGGCAAAGGGGATGCAAGAAGGCAGCCCCCTTTGTTCCTGGGCACTTCCCCCGAAGGGGCGCAGCACCAGGACAGCAGCATGGCCAGGCAGCAGCCAGACCAGACAGAGCAAGAGAGCACACGAGCAGGAGAGAACAGGGCAGAGGGGAAGAGCTGCGAGAGCAAGAGTGGCGAATTGATGGAGAAGTGGGAATGCAGGGGGCAGTGACGGCAGGAAGCAGCAGCACGGCCAGGCTTGGAAATGAGGGGCAGAAGCAGGGAGAGCCCAGTGAATCACTGCCGGCCGCAGCCTGCTCGCGCCTCCTCAGTGCTTCACGCGCTCGAGTCGGCACCCTGCGCTGGGCGTGCGTCCCCCTCTGGCTGCGACACTATGGCCTGCACCTTGTGCAGCAGGCTGAACATGCTCTGCCCTATGTCCGCCCCCGCCGCCGCCCCTCCTGCCCCCGCTGCTGTGCTTGCACTGCCGTCAGGAGCGGCCGCAGCAGGAGCGGGAGTGGTGGAGGGCAGTTGGGTGGGGACCGGGGGAAGGGAAGGGGGGGGGGCAGCAGGGGGTGGGGCGGAGGGGGCGTGTGCGGGCTCCACAGGAGGCGTGGGCAGCGAGTCCTGCGCCTCCCACCAGTCCTGCCCGCCTGCTCCCCCACCCCCGCCCGCCCCTGCCGCAAACCCAGGAGGCAGCCCCTCCCTGCCCTCGCCACCAACGCCACCGCCGCTGCTGGTGCCAGCGGCAGCAGCAGGGGAGGCAGCAGCAGCCAGGGCCTGGCGGCGCGGGTCCTTGGCGAGGGCAGCACGTGGCAGCGAGCGCGTGGACGGGCCGAGCGTGGTGGGCGTACCCATCCACGCTGCGCTCGCCGGCCTCTGTGCCGCCTGCGCTGGATTCGCCTGAGGGGGAGGGAGTAGGGGGTGGGAGGGGGGTTGAGTGTTGATGCTAGTGTGCAGTGCAGCTGCAGACATAGACGGGCGGTGGCCTGCCAGAATGTGACCAAGTCGTGTGTTCACGTTTTTTTAGGCACCTCAAAAATAGACTCCTCTTTTGAGGCGCCTAAAAAATAGACTTGTGTGTTCACGTGTTGACAGGCGCCCATGCATGTGCGAGCGACGGAGTGAACAAGGTGGCGGGGGAGAGGGAGAGCAGAAACGAAGAGGGCGGGGAGAGAGGGGGTGGTAGGACTAGGCGGAGAGAGAGGTCAGGATAGAAGGGGTCGGGGTAAGGGCGTGTATGGGTGAGAGTCGGGGTACATACCAGGCTGTGGCGCTGGGAGGGCGTAAGGCGTGCAGCAGGGGCAGCGGGCACAAGGGCGGCGCCAGCAGGGGGGGGGGCGAGGGCGCGGGGGGGAGTGGGGGCAGCAGGGGCAGTGGAGGGCAGGCGGGCAGGGGGGGGGCGAGCGAAGGGCGGAGGGCCATGGGCGGGGCTGTGAGCGGGCCGGTGGGGCACTGGCGAATCCATCTGAAGGGGGGGAGAGGGGGGGAGAGGGGAAGGGAGTGGGATGAAAGAGGTGGCGAGGTAGTTGCAAGGGGGGAAGGGGGATGCGTGGCATGTGAGAGCAGAGAGGGTGCGGCGCGAGGTAAGAGTGCAGGCACGCACAGGAGAAGGCCGAGCAGAGTGAAGGGGCAGAGAGAAGCGCCAAGAGGACAGCGATGAAGGGGTGGCGGCAAGGCAATGGCAGGGCAGCGAGAGAGAGGGTGGGGGGCGGCACTGACGGGGTTGTAAGGGCGCAGGCGGAACTGCACGTCCCACGAGCCAAACAGCGACGACCCCTCCATGGCCTCGCCCATGGCTGCTGATGCTGATGCTGGATCCTCAAACACCACCTGCCGCCCAAGGGGGGGGGGGTAGTGGGGGGGGGGGGATGTATGGGTGCACACACACGTGGTGATGGGTCCAAGGCATCCAAGGCAAGGGTGCAAGGCATGGGTGCAAGGTATGGGTGCAAGGTATGTGGGTAAGGCATGGGAGCATGACAAAAGCCATGACGAGATGAGAAAGTTGAGGAATCGCTGCTGCCACAAACGACACTCACATCCCCATCCTCACACACCCCTCGATTCCTACCCCAACTCCCCACAACCACTCTCCATCCCTGTCTCACCACCCCTTCACCCACGCCCTGCTGCCTTCCCCACCTGCTCACCTCACCCGCGCCCTGCGCCCCCTGTCTCACCTCGGCCACCCCTTGGTGTTTGATGAGTTTGGCGGCGAGCAGCGGGCCGAAGCGCGCAAAGGTGGCGCGCAGCTGCGCCACAGAGGGCGGCGGCATGAGGCGCGGGAAGCGCATGCACAGCACCTGCTGCGCCGGTGGGGGCGCAGGAGCAGGGGGTGCGGGGGGTGGGTGCTGCACGTGGTGTGGGTAGCGGGAGGCGGGAGGGGTGGAGGCAGGTGGTGCGGGTGGCAGGGCGGGGTACGGCAATGCTGCGGCGAGTGGTGATGAAATGGGAGGGGGCGTCGGTGTGGTGTAGTCGCCCTGGTGACGGGATGGTGGGGGGGGGAGGAGGACGGGCGTGGACACAGGGGGTGCAGGGAGAAACAGCAGAGGAGGGTGGATGTGAGAGGTGGGGGAAAGTGAGATGGGAGAGAGTGCGAAGGGTGAGTGTGAAAGACGGGAGAATGTGAGGTGGGGCGCGTGGAGAAGGCAAATGAACCAAAATAGCGCCGTGATGACATTGACAGCATAAGCGCAGCGCAGCACCCACCTGCGGCCATCCCGGCGGTGCAGACGTGGCATCATGGGGAGCCAGCACTAGAGCACGGGGGGGTGACTCTGGGGAGGGGTGTGGCAGGAGGGCGGAGGGAGACAGGGACGGGGAAACAGAGCATGAGGCGGATCTGCGAGCATGAGGGGAAACAGAGCATGAGACAGGCCCCTGGCTCACAGCAGCTCATCGCAGAAGCAGAGCGACACATGCATCAAGTGGAGCGCACCAACACTGACAACGCCACACCCTACTCCCCGACCCCGCGGCTCACCGTCAGCGCCCGGTCTGCCCCGCGCCTCCCGCTTGGCGGCGGCCAGCTGCTCCAGCGACCGCCGCCTGCCCTCCACACTGCCCGCCTCGCCCTCCACCCGCACCGCCCCCACCCCCTTGCGCTGCCGCAGCGCCCGCTCCTGCACCCCCTCACCCCCCTCGTGCTGCCTCCCTTCCTCCCACTCCCCACCCTCTCCCCCTCCACCCTCTCTCCCTCCTCCCTCGCCTGCTTGCCCCCTGCCCCTCCCCCTGCCTCTCCCCCTCCCCCTCCCCCTCCCCCTCCCTCTCCCCGTCAGGCTCACCACCCCCCTGCCCCCTGCCTCTGCTCCTGCCCTGCCCCGCCCGCCCCTCCCCCCTCGAGACCCCCTCCCACCCCTTCCGCGCCCTCTGCCCCTCCCACCCACCCGCCTCTCCTCCTCACTCTCCCTCTCCTCCTCCTCTCCCTCGCCCTCGCTCTCGCTGCCCGGCCGGGCCTCCACCAGGCGCTGCTGTCGCCGAGCCTTCACCTCCGCCTTGGTGCGCCCCCTCAGCCGCACCGCCCCCTCCTCCGCTGCAACTGCCGCTGCTGCTGCACCCTTTCCTGCTGCGGCTTGTGCTGCTGCTGCTGCTGTTGCTGCAGGTGGCGCCAGCAGTGGCTCCTCCTCCTCAGCCTCCTCCTCCCACCTGTCGTCCTCCTCCACCTCGCCCGTTATCATTCCCTCGCCCTCCTCCTCCTTCTCCTTCTCCTCCACTCCCTCCCTCTTCGCCATCTGTCCATCCTTCCTCTCCTCACTCACTGCCCCTACCTTCGCTTCTTCTCCACCCTCACGCCCCTTCTCTACACCCTCCTCCTCCTTCCCTCCCTTTTCCTCTTTGCCCTCCTCCATCTCCCCTCCCTCCACCTCCATTGGAGCAGCACCTTCACCAGAAGCCACCTCCCCACCAACCACCGCGTCCGTCTCTTTCTCGCCCTCCCCTGCCTTCGCCTTCACCCCCCCCTCCGCGCCCCCATCAGCCACCCCACCAGCCTCCACTGCTGCCTTTCCTTCCTCCCTCTCCTCTCCCTTCCCCTCTCCCTCCTTGACCGCCTCTCTCCCCTTCTCTCCCGCCTCTGCACTCTCTCCGCCTGCCGCCTGCTGCTCTGCCCCTCCTTCTGCCTGCTTCTTCGCCTCGCCTGCAGCGGCAAGAGAGGGAGCGAGCGGGCAAGAGAGGGAGCGAGCGGGCAAGAAGGCATTGACAAGGGCAGGAAACGCAGATGGCAAGCAAGGGAAGAGGGTGATGGAGGGGGAGAGAGAATGAGAAGACAGAGGAGAGCACAGGTCAAGACAGCGGGAACCGATGCAGTGAGCCAAAGCGGATTCCACAACGCGGGTAACACTCACCCTTGCTGGTCCCACCCGCAGCAGCGGCAGCAGTGGCAGCAGCGGTGGCGGCGGCAGGTGGCTTGTGGGAGCGGGCGAACCAGAAGGTGTTTTGGCGCCAGGCTGCCACAGGCTTCAGAGACTCGGCCAGGTCAGCCCTGCACACGGACACGTGGCACGGACACGTGGGTGACAGGCACACACACAGGCAGCGCGTGCCCGGACAGAAAGCGTTGTGTGTGCTTCCCCCTTACATTACTAGATGCAGCACTGGCATCTGCATAATGCATCACCCACACAGGCACAACCCCATGCACCCCCGCACCCACGTGCGTGCATCATCAGACTCACATGCCCATGCATCCCCCACCCCCCCCCAACTCACATGCCCAGGGGATTCCTGGCCAGTCGCAGCACGTCCTCCCGGGCGCTCTCAGCGCCCGCCTTGATGCCCAGCCGCCGCATCTCCGCCGCCCACTTGAAAGCGTTGCTCGGCCGCCCCTTGCCACGCCCACCGCCCCCCGCCACCCCTGGCGAGTGCAGGGGGGAGTGCAGAGGCGACTTCATCTCGTCCTCACGCTCCTCTCCCTCCGCCTCCCCTGCCTTCTTCTCTGCGCCCTCTGCAGCCCCCACCCTCTCCTCCTCCTTCGCCCCTGCTACCTCCTCCCCTGCTGCCTCTTCCCCTGCGGCCTCCTCCCCGCCCTCCTCCTCCACCACCCGCTTCTTCTTCCTCCTCCGCCTGCGCCCCTCCTCGCCCTCCCTCTCCTCGCCAGGCCCCCCCTCGGACTTGCGCCGCCTCACCTTCTTCCTCCTCCGCCTCGGACCCTCCTCCTCCTCCACCCCCTCCTCCTCTCTCTCCTTCTCCTCCTCCTCCTCCTCTCTCTCCTTCTCCTCCTCCTCCTCCTCCTCCTCATGCTTCCTTTTCCTCCCACGTCCCCCTCCGCCTTTCTCCCTCTGCTTGCCCCTGGGCCGCCCCTTCCTCCTCCTCAACGCCCCATCCTCCTCCTCCTCTTCCTCATCCTCCTCCCCCACCTCAACGTCCTCGTCCTCCTCCCACTTCCGCCCTCGCTTCTTCCTCTCTTTCATCACCACCACTTCCTCCTCCTCTTCCTCCGCTTCCTCCGCTTCCTCCTCTTCCTGCTCCTCCTCCTCTCTGTCCACCGGCGCCTCTGCCTTTCTCACTCCTCTCTCCCCGCCCTTCTTCCCCTCCCCCCCACCGCCCGCCTTCGCCTCCCCATCTACGGCCGCAAGGCGTCCCTCCACCAGAAAAACATCCCCCAGGTCCGTTCTGTCGGCGCCCTGCTCGCCCCGCCCCACCTGCGCCTTGTCCCCGCGCCCCTCCATCAGCCGCTGCCGCAGCACCGCCGCCAGCAGCGCGTCGCGGTGCCTGGGGGGCGGGGGGGAAGACGCCAGGGGCATGGCAAAGGGTTGGTGGAGGGCGGACAGCGGAAAGAGGTGCGGGAAGCACAGAGGGCGCAGAGGCTGCAGACAAGGCAGGAACAGGTGAAGGCGGCGACTGGGGGGTGCATGGGGCGACTGGGGGGTGCATGGGGCGACTGGGGGGTGCATGGGGCGACTGGGGGGTGCATGGGGCGACTGGGGGGTGCATGGGGCGACTGGGGGGTGCATGGGGCGACTGGGGGGTGCATGGGGCGACTGGGGGGTGCATGGGGCGACTGGGGGGTGCATGGGGCGACTGGGGGGTGCATGGGGCGACTGGGGGGTGCATGGGGCGACTGGGGGGTGCACGGGGCGACTGGGGGTTGCATAGGACGATGCATGGGCCCACTGGGGGGTGCATGGGAGGAGTGCGACTCACCCGCCGATGGGATTGCGGGCCGTGGCACGGAGGTAGGAGAGCATGACGGCTGGGGGGCACAGGGGGTGAGGCGACGAGGGGAGAGAGCACGTCAGGGAAGGGGAAGGGGCGAAAGGAGGGCAAGCAGGAGAGAAAACGGATTGCAAGCAGATGGCTGCTGGAGGAACGGAGGCAGATGGACGGAATGGGGTCATGGAACGACAAAGGCCGAGCGCAGAGACTGCATACTGGGGTTGACGCGTCTGTTCTCCACAGCAAGCGCCGTGGGCTTGGCGCCGTGCAGGCGGCCCTTGGCGACCTGGTCGTCGAGCTCCACGAGCGCCTCACTGACGGCCTGGCAGAAGAGCTTCATGGGCGTCTGCTGCGCCTTCTCCCAGTAGTGCGCGGCGAACGGCAGCAGGTCCATGGGGCGCAGCCAGTTGCTGGGAGGCGCGCATGGGCAAGGGCAGGGGGGGGGTTGCGTTGTGGAGAGAGAGACAGGGGAAACGTGGAGGACCAAGTGGTTAGACAACTGCCAGCTCCCACCGGAGCAGCAGGGCAGCTGCAGGCGCCCCTCAACCACGTGGCTCGCTCTGCTGCTCAACCACGTGGCTCGCTCTGCTGCTCAACCACGTGGCTCGCTCTGCTGCTCCACCACGTGGCTCGCTCTGCTGCTCAACCACGTGGCTCGCTCTGCTTGGCCACGCTGATCCAAGGGCACACAGCAATGCGCGTGCCGTGCATGAGACAGCGGTCGCCCAGCAAAGCACAGCTGCCTCAAACCACAGCGCCAGGGGCGAGGGGCGATGACGGGGCAGCGAGGAAGCAAGCAGAGCGTGCCTCTACCAGGCTACCAGAGCGTGCCTCTACCAGGCTACCAGGGCGTGCCTCTACCAGGCTACCAGGGCGTGCCTCTACCAGGCTACCAGGGCGTGCCTCTACCAGGCTACCAGGGCGTGCCTCTACCAGGCTACCAGGGCGTGCCTCTACCAGGCCACCAGGGCGTGCCTCTACCAGGCTACCAGGGCGTGCCTCTACCAGGCCACCAGGGCGTGCCTCTACCAGGCTACCAGGGCGTGCCTCTACCAGGCCACCAGGGCGTGCCTCTACCAGGCTACCAGGGCGTGCCTCTACCAGGCTACCAGGGCGTGCCTCTACCAGGCTACCAGGGCGTGCCTCTACCAGGCTACCAGGGCGTGCCTCTACCAGGCCACCAGGGCGTGCCTCTACCAGGCTACCAGGGCGTGCCTCTACCAGGCCACCAGGGCGTGCCTCTACCAGGCTACCAGGGCGTGCCTCTACCAGGCTACCAGGGCGTGCCTCTACCAGGCCACCAGGGCGTGCCTCTACCAGGCCACCAGGGCGTGCCTCTACCAGGCTACCAGGGCGTGCCTCTACCAGGCTACCAGGGCGTGCCTCTACCAGGCCACCAGGGCGTGCCTCTACCAGGCTACCAGGGCGTGCCTCTACCAGGCTACCAGGGCGTGCCTCTACCAGGCTACCAGGGCGTGCCTCTACCAGGCTACCAGGGCGTGCCTCTACCAGGCCACCAGGGCGTGCCTCTACCAGGCTACCAGGGCGTGCCTCTACCAGGCTACCAGGGCGTGCCTCTACCAGGCTACCAGGGCGTGCCTCTACCAGGCTACCAGGGCGTGCCTCTACCAGGCCACCACGGCGTGCCTCTACCAGGCTACCAGGGCGTGCCTCTACCAGGCTACCAGGGCGTGCCTCTACCAGGCCACCAGGGCGTGCCTCTACCAGGCCACCAGGGCGTGCCTCTACCAGGCTACCAGGGCGTGCCTCTACCAGGCTACCAGGGCGTGCCTCTACCAGGCTACCAGGGCGTGCCTCTACCAGGCTACCAGGGCGTGCCTCTACCAGGCCACCAGGGCGTGCCTCTACCAGGCTACCAGGGCGTGCCTCTACCAGGCTACCAGGGCGTGCCTCTACCAGGCCACCAGGGCGTGCCTCTACCAGGCCACCAGGGCGTGCCTCTACCAGGCCACCAGGGCGTGCCTCTACCAGGCCACCACGGCGTGCCTCTACCAGGCTACCAGGGCGTGCCTCTACCAGGCTACCAGGGCGTGCCTCTACCAGGCCACCAGGGCGTGCCTCTACCAGGCTACCAGGGCGTGCCTCTACCAGGCTACCAGGGCGTGCCTCTACCAGGCTACCAGGGCGTGCCTCTACCAGGCTACCAGGGCGTGCCTCTACCAGGCTACCAGGGCGTGCCTCTACCAGGCTACCAGGGCGTGCCTCTACCAGGCCACCACGGCGTGCCTCTACCAGGCTACCAGGGCGTGCCTCTACCAGGCTACCAGGGCGTGCCTCTACCAGGCCACCAGGGCGTGCCTCTACCAGGCCACCAGGGCGTGCCTCTACCAGGCTACCAGGGCGTGCCTCTACCAGGCTACCAGGGCGTGCCTCTACCAGGCTACCAGGGCGTGCCTCTACCAGGCTACCAGGGCGTGCCTCTACCAGGCCACCAGGGCGTGCCTCTACCAGGCTACCAGGGCGTGCCTCTACCAGGCCACCAGGGCGTGCCTCTACCAGGCTACCAGGGCGTGCCTCTACCAGGCACCAGGGCGTGCCTCTACCAGGCTACCAGGGCGTGCCTCTACCAGGCCACCAGGGCGTGCCTCTACCAGGCTACCAGGGCGTGCCTCTACCAGGCCACCAGGGCGTGCCTCTACCAGGCTACCAGGGCGTGCCTCTACCAGGCCACCAGGGCGTGCCTCTACCAGGCCACCAGGGCGTGCCTCTACCAGGCTACCAGGGCGTGCCTCTACCAGGCCACCAGGGCGTGCCTCTACCAGGCCACCAGGGCGTGCCTCTACCAGGCTACCAGGGCGTGCCTCTACCAGGCCACCAGGGCGTGCCTCTACCAGGCTACCAGGGCGTGCCTCTACCAGGCCACCAGGGCGTGCCTCTACCAGGCCACCAGGGCGTGCCTCTACCAGGCTACCAGGGCGTGCCTCTACCAGGCTACCAGGGCGTGCCTCTACCAGGCCACCAGGGCGTGCCTCTACCAGGCCACCACGGCGTGCCTCTACCAGGCTACCAGGGCGTGCCTCTACCAGGCTACCAGGGCGTGCCTCTACCAGGCCACCAGGGCGTGCCTCTACCAGGCTACCAGGGCGTGCCTCTACCAGGCTACCAGGGCGTGCCTCTACCAGGCTACCAGGGCGTGCCTCTACCAGGCTACCAGGGCGTGCCTCTACCAGGCCACCACGGCGTGCCTCTACCAGGCTACCAGGGCGTGCCTCTACCAGGCTACCAGGGCGTGCCTCTACCAGGCCACCAGGGCGTGCCTCTACCAGGCCACCAGGGCGTGCCTCTACCAGGCTACCAGGGCGTGCCTCTACCAGGCTACCAGGGCGTGCCTCTACCAGGCCACCAGGGCGTGCCTCTACCAGGCCACCAGGGCGTGCCTCTACCAGGCTACCAGGGCGTGCCTCTACCAGGCTACCAGGGCGTGCCTCTACCAGGCCACCAGGGCGTGCCTCTACCAGGCTACCAGGGCGTGCCTCTACCAGGCTACCAGGGCGTGCCTCTACCAGGCCACCAGGGCGTGCCTCTACCAGGCTACCAGGGCGTGCCTCTACCAGGCCACCAGGGCGTGCCTCTACCAGGCCACCACGGCGTGCCTCTACCAGGCTACCAGGGCGTGCCTCTACCAGGCTACCAGGGCGTGCCTCTACCAGGCCACCAGGGCGTGCCTCTACCAGGCCACCAGGGCGTGCCTCTACCAGGCTACCAGGGCGTGCCTCTACCAGGCTACCAGGGCGTGCCTCTACCAGGCTACCAGGGCGTGCCTCTACCAGGCTACCAGGGCGTGCCTCTACCAGGCCACCAGGGCGTGCCTCTACCAGGCCACCAGGGCGTGCCTCTACCAGGCTACCAGGGCGTGCCTCTACCAGGCTACCAGGGCGTGCCTCTACCAGGCCACCAGGGCGTGCCTCTACCAGGCCACCAGGGCGTGCCTCTACCAGGCCACCACGGCGTGCCTCTACCAGGCTACCAGGGCGTGCCTCTACCAGGCTACCAGGGCGTGCCTCTACCAGGCTACCAGGGCGTGCCTCTACCAGGCCACCAGGGCGTGCCTCTACCAGGCCACCAGGGCGTGCCTCTACCAGGCTACCAGGGCGTGCCTCTACCAGGCTACCAGGGCGTGCCTCTACCAGGCTACCAGGGCGTGCCTCTACCAGGCTACCAGGGCGTGCCTCTACCAGGCCACCAGGGCGTGCCTCTACCAGGCCACCAGGGCGTGCCTCTACCAGGCTACCAGGGCGTGCCTCTACCAGGCTACCAGGGCGTGCCTCTACCAGGCTACCAGGGCGTGCCTCTACCAGGCCACCAGGGCGTGCCTCTACCAGGCCACCAGGGCGTGCCTCTACCAGGCTACCAGGGCGTGCCTCTACCAGGCTACCAGGGCGTGCCTCTACCAGGCCACCAGGGCGTGCCTCTACCAGGCTACCAGGGCGTGCCTCTACCAGGCTACCAGGGCGTGCCTCTACCAGGCCACCAGGGCGTGCCTCTACCAGGCTACCAGGGCGTGCCTCTACCAGGCCACCAGGGCGTGCCTCTACCAGGCCACCACGGCGTGCCTCTACCAGGCTACCAGGGCGTGCCTCTACCAGGCTACCAGGGCGTGCCTCTACCAGGCCACCAGGGCGTGCCTCTACCAGGCCACCAGGGCGTGCCTCTACCAGGCTACCAGGGCGTGCCTCTACCAGGCTACCAGGGCGTGCCTCTACCAGGCTACCAGGGCGTGCCTCTACCAGGCTACCAGGGCGTGCCTCTACCAGGCCACCAGGGCGTGCCTCTACCAGGCCACCAGGGCGTGCCTCTACCAGGCTACCAGGGCGTGCCTCTACCAGGCTACCAGGGCGTGCCTCTACCAGGCTACCAGGGCGTGCCTCTACCAGGCCACCAGGGCGTGCCTCTACCAGGCCACCACGGCGTGCCTCTACCAGGCTACCAGGGCGTGCCTCTACCAGGCTACCAGGGCGTGCCTCTACCAGGCTACCAGGGCGTGCCTCTACCAGGCCACCAGGGCGTGCCTCTACCAGGCCACCAGGGCGTGCCTCTACCAGGCTACCAGGGCGTGCCTCTACCAGGCTACCAGGGCGTGCCTCTACCAGGCTACCAGGGCGTGCCTCTACCAGGCTACCAGGGCGTGCCTCTACCAGGCCACCAGGGCGTGCCTCTACCAGGCCACCAGGGCGTGCCTCTACCAGGCTACCAGGGCGTGCCTCTACCAGGCTACCAGGGCGTGCCTCTACCAGGCTACCAGGGCGTGCCTCTACCAGGCCACCAGGGCGTGCCTCTACCAGGCCACCAGGGCGTGCCTCTACCAGGCTACCAGGGCGTGCCTCTACCAGGCTACCAGGGCGTGCCTCTACCAGGCCACCAGGGCGTGCCTCTACCAGGCTACCAGGGCGTGCCTCTACCAGGCTACCAGGGCGTGCCTCTACCAGGCCACCAGGGCGTGCCTCTACCAGGCTACCAGGGCGTGCCTCTACCAGGCCACCAGGGCGTGCCTCTACCAGGCCACCACGGCGTGCCTCTACCAGGCTACCAGGGCGTGCCTCTACCAGGCTACCAGGGCGTGCCTCTACCAGGCCACCAGGGCGTGCCTCTACCAGGCCACCAGGGCGTGCCTCTACCAGGCTACCAGGGCGTGCCTCTACCAGGCTACCAGGGCGTGCCTCTACCAGGCTACCAGGGCGTGCCTCTACCAGGCTACCAGGGCGTGCCTCTACCAGGCCACCAGGGCGTGCCTCTACCAGGCCACCAGGGCGTGCCTCTACCAGGCTACCAGGGCGTGCCTCTACCAGGCTACCAGGGCGTGCCTCTACCAGGCCACCAGGGCGTGCCTCTACCAGGCTACCAGGGCGTGCCTCTACCAGGCCACCACGGCGTGCCTCTACCAGGCTACCAGGGCGTGCCTCTACCAGGCTACCAGGGCGTGCCTCTACCAGGCTACCAGGGCGTGCCTCTACCAGGCCACCAGGGCGTGCCTCTACCAGGCCACCAGGGCGTGCCTCTACCAGGCTACCAGGGCGTGCCTCTACCAGGCTACCAGGGCGTGCCTCTACCAGGCTACCAGGGCGTGCCTCTACCAGGCTACCAGGGCGTGCCTCTACCAGGCCACCAGGGCGTGCCTCTACCAGGCCACCAGGGCGTGCCTCTACCAGGCTACCAGGGCGTGCCTCTACCAGGCCACCAGGGCGTGCCTCTACCAGGCTACCAGGGCGTGCCTCTACCAGGCCACCAGGGCGTGCCTCTACCAGGCCACCACGGCGTGCCTCTACCAGGCTACCAGGGCGTGCCTCTACCAGGCTACCAGGGCGTGCCTCTACCAGGCCACCAGGGCGTGCCTCTACCAGGCCACCAGGGCGTGCCTCTACCAGGCTACCAGGGCGTGCCTCTACCAGGCTACCAGGGCGTGCCTCTACCAGGCTACCAGGGCGTGCCTCTACCAGGCTACCAGGGCGTGCCTCTACCAGGCCACCAGGGCGTGCCTCTACCAGGCCACCAGGGCGTGCCTCTACCAGGCTACCAGGGCGTGCCTCTACCAGGCTACCAGGGCGTGCCTCTACCAGGCTACCAGGGCGTGCCTCTACCAGGCTACCAGGGCGTGCCTCTACCAGGCCACCAGGGCGTGCCTCTACCAGGCCACCAGGGCGTGCCTCTACCAGGCTACCAGGGCGTGCCTCTACCAGGCTACCAGGGCGTGCCTCTACCAGGCCACCAGGGCGTGCCTCTACCAGGCTACCAGGGCGTGCCTCTACCAGGCCACCACGGCGTGCCTCTACCAGGCTACCAGGGCGTGCCTCTACCAGGCCACCAGGGCGTGCCTCTACCAGGCCACCACGGCGTGCCTCTACCAGGCTACCAGGGCGTGCCTCTACCAGGCTACCAGGGCGTGCCTCTACCAGGCCACCAGGGCGTGCCTCTACCAGGCCACCAGGGCGTGCCTCTACCAGGCCACCACGGCGTGCCTCTACCAGGCTACCAGGGCGTGCCTCTACCAGGCTACCAGGGCGTGCCTCTACCAGGCTACCAGGGCGTGCCTCTACCAGGCCACCAGGGCGTGCCTCTACCAGGCCACCAGGGCGTGCCTCTACCAGGCTACCAGGGCGTGCCTCTACCAGGCTACCAGGGCGTGCCTCTACCAGGCTACCAGGGCGTGCCTCTACCAGGCTACCAGGGCGTGCCTCTACCAGGCCACCAGGGCGTGCCTCTACCAGGCCACCAGGGCGTGCCTCTACCAGGCTACCAGGGCGTGCCTCTACCAGGCTACCAGGGCGTGCCTCTACCAGGCCACCAGGGCGTGCCTCTACCAGGCTACCAGGGCGTGCCTCTACCAGGCCACCACGGCGTGCCTCTACCAGGCTACCAGGGCGTGCCTCTACCAGGCTACCAGGGCGTGCCTCTACCAGGCTACCAGGGCGTGCCTCTACCAGGCCACCAGGGCGTGCCTCTACCAGGCCACCAGGGCGTGCCTCTACCAGGCTACCAGGGCGTGCCTCTACCAGGCTACCAGGGCGTGCCTCTACCAGGCTACCAGGGCGTGCCTCTACCAGGCTACCAGGGCGTGCCTCTACCAGGCCACCAGGGCGTGCCTCTACCAGGCCACCAGGGCGTGCCTCTACCAGGCTACCAGGGCGTGCCTCTACCAGGCTACCAGGGCGTGCCTCTACCAGGCCACCAGGGCGTGCCTCTACCAGGCCACCAGGGCGTGCCTCTATCATCCCGTGCTTACAACGTCTGGTCGCCGTAGAAGCCGATGAGCAGGTGTCCCGTGCGGTGCTGCGCGCGCGCCCTGGGGGTGGCCTCGGAGGGCACGAGCACGCGCGCGGGCCACCAGGGGTGCGAGCGCACCTTGGCCCACACCAGCTCGTGCACGGCGGGCGCCCACTCGCGCTCCTCGTCGCTCTCCGCCTCCAGCGCGCGCCCCTTGGCCGTCACGGGCTCGTCCGCGCGGCTCCTGCCTGCGCCACTGGCGGGGGTGGCGGGGGATCGTGGGGTCTTGGCGGCGCTCTTGCCCGGCGTGCCGTGGGGGCGCGCATGCGCGGACGCGCTCTTGGCTGCCTTATCAGGGTCGCTGGCGTCAGCGGCGTCCCCCGCCCTGTCCTCGCGGTGCTTCTTGCGCACCTCCTCCTTCCCCGCCTTGCCCTTCCGCCCATCCCTCGCTGCCTTCTCCTCCTGCTCTTCCTTCCCCTTCCTCTCCTCCTCCACATCCTTCCCCATCTTCCCCTCTTTCCCCTCCTCCTCTTCCTCCTCTTCCTCCTCTTCCTCCTCTTCCTTCTCCTCCTTCCCCTCCTTCTCCTCCTCCTGCTCTCCGTCCGCATCACCCTCTACCGCCTTCTCGCCTGTGCCCTTCTTTGCTTGCTCCTCCCCAGCCCTCTCCGCCTTCTCCCCCTCTTTCCCCCCATCCTCTGTCCCCTCAAGCGTCTCCTCGTCCTTGCCGCCATCCGCGCCCTTATCATCCTCCGCGCCCTCATTAACCTCCGCGCCCTTATCATCCTCCGCGCCCTTACCATCCTCCGCGCCCTTATCATCCTCCGCTTTTTCCCCCCTCTCCCCGTCGCCAACGCCTTCCGCGCTGACTTTCCCCTCTCCGTCCGCAGACTCTGCTTCCTCGCGCTTATCCTCCGTTTCCTCGCGCTTATCCTCCGTTTCCTCGAGCTGCCCCTCCGCTTTTTCCTTTTCCTCATCCTTCCCAGCACTTTCCCCTTCCGCTTCCCCTTCCGCTTCCCCTTCCGCTTCCCCTTCCGCTTCCCCTTCCGCTTTCCCTTGCGCTTTCCCTTCCGCTTTCCCTTCCGCTTTCCCTTCCGCTTTCTCTTCCGCCTTCGCTTCCGCGTCCTTCGCGGCACTGTCGTCGCGCTGATCGTGTTCGGCGGGCTCAGCACCTCCTTCCTCTCCCCCCTCGCCGTCAACCCCGTCAGCCACGCCGTCAAGTTGCTTCCCGCCGTCCTCACCACTCGCCACGTCGTCGCCCGCGCCTGCCGGTGGTGGCGCGGTGGCATCATCGCGCTCAACGGCATTCTCGCGACCGTCGCTCGCGACGCCGTCGTCGTTCACCGCGTCGACGTCGCGCATCTCCTCGTCCTTTCCCCCCTCCGCGCTCGTTGTCCCAACCACCGCGTCGGCGTCTGTCGTGTCCGCGACGCCGTTCTCGAGGTGCGCGTCGCCGTCGGCATCCGCCATGGCGATGTCTCCGTCATTTGCTACTGGTCCTTTCGCGCCATTTTTCCCAACATCAGCCTCCTCTGGCGGTCGATCGTCCTCCCGCGACTTATCGCGATCGATGCAAACCTTTTCCACCACATCAGAGTCCTCCATTTCTCCTGCTCAACTTCTAATGCCTTGGCGGAAACGCTAAAACAAAAAAAAACCTCGACTAAGACGCCTTGACGAAAACGTCTTACTCTAACGCCTATTACTGAAGTTAGTCTAGGGTGAGTTATGAGTGGTTACGACGAGCGGGGAGCGAGGAGAAGCCATGAGCCAGGCTAGGGTTACGACGGGAAATGGAGAAATCGAGGCGTGGCTTCGAATGTTTGAAATGCAGCTCGCGCTGAGAGAGTGGGGTCAGGTCCAACCAAGGGCGGGGCAATTTGACGAGCAGTCGAGCGAGTGCGCATATCGGGTTGACAGACGACCACATAAGAATCACATCGGCGCATATCAATGTCCTACAATGACATGCTCTACAGATATATTCCTATTACAGCTCAACTTGAAATTGTTGGAATAAATTGGCATCGCAAAAACGATCCTGCCATATGCGCCATATTAAATTTTATGGCACGCTCATTGCACCTCTGCAGAATTTCCCTACTCCATCTCTTCCCTTAAAAAACGACCTGCACATTCATCCCTCCCTCTTCATCTTCCTCCACTCCCATCCAGCCCCATCCAGCATTCCCTCCCGATTACCATCCATGCCCAACCGGCATGGGATGGCTCAATAACGGTGTCCACGCTGTCCCTGGCAAACCGTCATGTAGTCCCACATTGGAAAAGAGTGTACACTACCTGAATATATCCATGAACGCAAAAAGGATATACACTTTGTTCCCCGTAAAGCAATTTATCCTGGGACAATTGGCCTTGCTGTAGCCAGCAACTGTCAATCTCAGGGGTTGTTGGGCTTCGTTTGTTCTGTCGGGTCGGACTCCAACAACAGCTCAGCTCAAGCGTCGCTGTCCGTCGATTGGCCCTACAGCGATGCGCACACTTCTGTCAACTGAGTGCCATGACTGCCACACGGCGGGACGCGATTTGTCAGGGCGGCAGGAGCGATCACGGGCAGCACGCATAAATATGAGACCCCACCCCCCCTGCGCCCCTCCCTCCCACCCCTCCTCCAAACCCTCCCCCTCCCTCCATTCGCCCTGCCATCTCCATTTCTTCGGACCATATTTCTCTTCAACCACATCCACCACCAGATATCAGCTGGACCCCATGGCTCTCTAAGAAAACGACCGATCTTCCGTTCTAAGCGGAGGAAATTTCCCTCCACCATAGGGTCGCGTCGGACTATGACCGGTTGTAGAGCAAGCGCTGAGAGCTGATCGTTGGTTTGTGCTTCGGGCCGCGAGCATGTCGTCATCAGTGACGCACATCTACCTGCACGTCATCCAGGACGTGATTAAGAACGTTCGCCCCGACTTCCAGAGCGACGGCGTCGACGAGAGCGTCCTCCAGGAGCTGCAGCAGGTGCGCTGCTCCGCTGCTAGCCTTCCCGTCCCCCACCGCTCGTCCGTTCAGTGCGCCGTCCTGGGTCGCAATTTCATCCCTCTCATGCCCGGTCCGCCGCAGCGATGCTCATGCGCTGATCGGTACTTAGTTAGTTCCAAGCTGCACTCCGACCAGCGGGTTGCCTTGCCGCGCCACCTTTCCCCATCCGTGGTCGGGGCAGCTTCGCTACCTTCCAGCGGTCGCGCTGCCTTTCCTCAGCGATCCCCCTTCCCCTTTCCCCTTTCCCCTTTCCCCTTTCCCCTTTCCCCTTTCCCCTTTCCCCTTTCCCCTTTCCTCTTTCCCCTTCCCCTTTCCCCTTTCCCCTTTCCTCTTTCCCCTTTCCCCTTTCCCCTTTCCCCTTTCCTCTTTCCCCTTTCCCCTTTCCCCTTTCCCCTTTCCTCTTTCCCCTTTCCCCTTTCCTCTTTTTTCTCGCGTCTTATCCGCCGGTCACCGCCCCCCGCGCCAGCTATGGGAGGCCAAGGTGATGCAGTCCGGCGCAGTCATCCCCGTCGGCGGCTACGCGCTTCCGCCGCCTGCGCCGGCGCCCGTTGTGGCGGATGTGGGCGCGGGAGGAGCGGAGGAGGAGCCGCTAGGGGGAGCTGAGGGGGAAGAAGCGGCGGAGGCGGGTGGGGGCGAGGAAGAGGGTGGCGAGGGCGCGGGACACGGAGGAGGGGGATTCGCGGGGCATGATTTGAACATGCCTTATAACGGGGATGGCGGAGAGGCGGAGGACGAACAGGCGCTGTCGCTGGGAGCATCCCATGCGTCTGTGAGTCCGCGTTTGGTGCGCCTGTATGGGCTGACGGCCGTGTGACGAGGGTCGTCGCTCGTTGTGGAGCCGTCAGGCGCCATGCTCTCTGCCGTCTCGCCTCCTCTGCTCTTCCACTCACACCAGCTGCACCTCCCCTCTCCCTCCCTTTCTTTTGCCACTCACCCGCCACACTCCGTCCCCATTGTGACTCCTCCCTCTGCTGCTCATGCTGCAGTACTCAAGCGGACATGCCACATCCAGCCTCGATGGCCGCCCATTGCCCTTCATGGTGAGTTTTCCAGATCTCGAATGCATGCATGTCGCAATCATCAGTAACACGTGCGTTCAGCCGCTCTGGGGTGCATGCTTGGCGCCAAAGCAGCTCCTTTTGCCCTCTCTTTCCCGTGCTCAGCCGCGGCAGGACGCGTGGGAGCAGAAGCCCTTCCTGGTCGACATGAACGCCGGTCAGTGCTGCACCCCTCCCACTGCTGCGCCCATCCCACTGCCACGCCCATCCCACTGCTGCGCCCATCTCACTGCTGCGCCCATGCCACTGCCGCGCCCATCTCACTGCTGCGCCCATGCCACTGCTGCGCCCATGCCACTGCTGCGCCCATCTCACTGCTGCGCCCATGCCACTGCTGCGCCCATGCCACTGCTGCGCCCATGCCACTGCTGCGCCCATGCCACTGCTGCGCCCATGCCAGTGCCGCGCCCATGCCAGTGCCGCGCCCATGCCAGTGCTGCGCCCATGCCACTGCTGCGCCCATGCCACTGCTGCGCCCATGCCACTGCTGCGCCCATGCCAGTGCCGCGCCCATGCCACTGCCGCGCCCATGCCAGTGCTGCGCCCATGCCACTGCCGCGCCCATGCCAGTGCTGCGCCCATGCCACTGCCGCGCCCATGCCAGTGCTGCGCCCATGCCAGTGCTGCGCCCATGCCAGTGCTGCGCCCATGCCAGTGCTGCACCCATGCCAGTGCTGCGCCCATGCCAGTGCTGCGCCCATGCCAGTGCTGCACCCATGCCAGTGCTGCGCCCATGCCAGTGCTGCACCCATGCCAGTGCTGCGCCCATGCCAGTGCTGCACCCATGCCAGTGCTGTGCCCATGCCAGTGCTGTGCCCATGCCACGTGTGTTAGATGGTAGCAGCAATGCTCTCCGGCTTTCTAACCTGGCGTTGGGGCCTCTGCTGGCTGGCTGTGTCTGCGGTGCGCGCAGTGCCTGAGGAGGACGCCTGCAACGACGCTGCTGCTGCACACGAGGCCACTCTCGTAAGACTCCACGCTCTGTGCGTGCATGTGTGCATGTGTGGGTATGTGCTGCACGCACGGGCATGCCCAAGGGCATCACCAAATACGGGGCGCACATGCGTGCTCCCACGGCAGCACTTGAGAAGGCCTCGTCTCTATCAGCCGTGCCCCTGAGCACCTCGCCCACTCCCTCCATCCTCCCTGTCGCCTTGCCATGTGCGAGCAGGGCCTGCTGCCATCGGAGCTGAAGCGCAAGCGGGCGGAGGATGGCCATGGGGGCGGGTACGAGGAGGGGTACGAGCACCACGGCGACGCGGGAATGGACGCAGAAGGCGGCGATTCCAGCCGCCCGCGTCTGACTCCCGAATACGCCTTCCCCCAGGCCGATGGGGCCAGTGACAGCATGCCACGTGGCGGCTCCCAGTGGGCCCACGATATGCTGAGTCAGCTGGAGCGGCAGCATGGGGGTGGAAGAGAGCAGGGGGCGGGGGGAGGAGGGGCGGAGGGGGGCAGTGAGGGGAGCAGAGCGGATGGTGGAGCGGATGGTGGAGCGGATGGTGGAGGTGTTGCAGGGGAGGCGGGGGGACAGGTGCAACAAGAGGGGGAGAGGACGGATGGGAGGGACGCACATGGCAGCAGCGGGGGGAGCAGGGGTGGCAGGGGCGGCAGGGGCGGGGGCAGGAGGCAGTGGGTGGTGGAGAGGCGGAGCATGCGGCAGGTGGATGGGCACGACGACGAGGAGGAGGAGGGCGACGGGGACGACGCAGACGAGGTGAGCCGCTCTCTTGGTTGCTCTCAATGTTCTCTTTGTCTCGTACCTGCCTGCTGTCCCTGCCGCGCCAGCAGGCTCGGTTGTTGGGCTGCTTGTAGTCAGGCGTTGGCATTCCCGGTTCTTTCTCATGCCTGCTTTTTCTCTCATGCGCTGCCACGTGGTTGTTGCTGCAGGGGGAGGAGGAGGAGGAGGGAGGGGCAGCAGGGGAGGCGGTGGAGGAGGAAGAGGAGGAGGATTACAACGACCCTGCAGCGCGCACAGACACAGGTTAGACTGCTCTGCTCATTCTCACCGCATACTGTGTGCCTCGTCGCCATCCCAGCCACACATCTATCCCGCATCCTTGTGCTTTGCAGTTTCTGTTTGCTCAGGGTCAGAAAGTGCACCTTCTTCGTAACCCTCATCCACAGAAGCTCGTCATACACACGTGCGCCACTCACATGCTCCCTCTCTCCCTCTGTCTGTGTGTGCGCATGGTGGCAGGCAAGGAGGAGGAGGAGGAGGAGCTGGGCGCAGCGGACGACGACGAGTCGCTGGGGGCGGAGGATGATGATGATGACGACGATGATGGGCGCGGGGTCATAGGGGCGGACGAGGAGGGGCAGGACGGCAACATCGTGCTCGCCACCTACGAGAAGGTGAGCTGGGCCGGTTTTGGTCACTCGGCGCAGTAATCTCGTTCACTGTTAGCATGATTCATGGTTCATGTTCCCCCAACTTGCATGTTCAGCAGTTTTGATCTCTTGCATGGCCCATGGCCCATGGCCCATGTCCCTATGCAGGTGACACGGCAGAAGAACCGGTGGAAGTGCGTGCTGCGGCACGGAGTCACGAGCCTGAATGGTCGCGACATACTTTTCTTCAAAGCCAATGGGGAATTCGAGTTTTAGGCAGGGCCAACTATGGCCCATCGAACAATTACAGAGGACACTAGGGATTTGGACTTGCTGTTGTGTTGGATTAGCTGCTGTTGACACTGGGTAAGGATATATGGGCAATGTATAAACAAGTCACCCAGATTACACTTTTAATGGCCGATATGACTCAACTTTATCGAGCCATCTGCAGCTGACGTGGCAGCCACTTTTTCTCATCTCGTCTCAACGAACCCAACCCCCCCCCCCTGCGCGCGTCAGGTTCCCGCGTAGCCCCGCCAGGCTCTGCCCGCCACCCCGCCTTTGCGCAGCCTTGATTTCTCCTGACCGACCCGCCTCACCTGCTCCTCGATCTCCGCCCTCCGCTCTCCCTTCTCCGCCCGCCTGCCGCACCAAAAACCGATGCATCCTCGTTAGTTGCTACCAACCAAGCAGCAGGTTAGGTCTTAGGTCTTATCCGCTCTTAGTACAATAGTGCGCGGCGCAGTCCAGTTTTTACGGGATCATGTGACGCGCGTCTCCCATGTGGTCCCAGCCGGATTCGGATTCGGATTTGTCTACTTGACGTGCGTGAGACGCCCTCAACACGCGACTCAATATATTCTGGCCAACTCGCGTCACGATAACAACGGCAGCAGCGCCTGACACTGACACGGCCACGAAAAGCGTCCCCTATCTGCGAAAGTCAAGAGAGAGAGAGCGAGGAGCCTTTGACAAGGTAAGGACCCGTTTGGAGGAGGAGGAGCGAGGCGCCTCAAAACTGGTTATTCTTTGCACGAGCTACTTTCGAGTCGTTATTGTCGTCATTGTCGCGAGGCCAACACTGACGAGGGCGGGCGAGGCGACGAGCGAGGGAACGAGCAGCGACCAGCAGCTCGCAGGCATGTCGCTTCCGTCGCAATCGCAGCTGGCGGGCAGCATGGAGCGCAAGCGCGTGGGGTCGGGGTCGTCGCTAGCGCCGTCGGCGGCGGCGGCGGGGCAGGCGCCGCTGGTGTGCCACGGGCACTCGCGGCCGATCGTGGAGATCGCGTACAGCCCCGTCACCGATGACGGCTTCTTCCTCATCTCCGCCAGTAAAGGTGCGCGCATCCCTCCTCCCTGCCATTCAAGGTCCGCGCAATCCCCCTCCCCGCCAGCAAAGGTCCGCGCTCCCCCCTCCCCGCCAGCAAAGGTGCGCGCTCCCCCCCCTCCCCGCCAGCGAAGGTGCGCGCTCCCGCCACTCCTTTTTCAGTTGGCCATTCCGTATGCCCCTTGTCATTCCCCGCCCTTCTCATCGCGCCCACTCGTGGCCACACAGCAAGGCCATTATCCCCCCCCCCCCCCCCCCTTCTCCTTTCTCTAACGGCAAGTCCATTACACCCCCCCCCACCCCCCTCCCCCCTTCCTCTCCCTCCCCCGCGCAGACGGCAAGCCGATGATCCGCAACGGCGAGACGGGCGACTGGATCGGCACGTTCGACGGCCACAAGGGCGCCGTCTGGGGCGCCTGCCTCGACCGCCCCGCGCTGCTCGCCGCCACCGCCTCCGCCGACTTCACCGCGTAGGGGGAATGTGGGGAGTGGGGGGGGGGAGAAGGGGGAAAGGAAGGCGAGAGAGGGGAGGGGATTGGGGAGCGGAAGGGATGCCTTTGGTTGGAGGGATGGGAGGGCAGCGGAAAGACTTGTGCGAGACGAGGCAGAGTGCCACGCGTACCGACCAGCATTCCCCCGCCCATCGCCCTCTTCCCCCATTTGGCTCCTCCCTTTCCTCTCTCCCCAGTGACTGGGGCCCAGTCGACACTTCCCATTCCTCTCCCCCGTGCGCTCCTCCCATTCCTCTCCCCCGTGCGCTCTTCCCTTCCTCCCCCCCCCCCAGGCGCATCTGGGACGCGTTGACGGGCGACGAGAAGCACAAGCTGGAGCACAAGCACATCGTCAGAACCGTCGACTTCTCCTCCGTGAGTTGCCCCGCCTCCCTCACTCTTCTCTTTCCCCGTGAGTTAGCCGCCCATGCTGGGCACGGCAGCAGTGGCGCGGCTGCCACCTGCATGTTGGAGCGCATCGGAGGGGTCGCCATGCCTCTGCTCTCCTCAGCTTGGGCCCAGTCCTTGTCCCTGCCCCTGCCCCTCCCTGCCCCTCCCTGCCCCTCCCTGCCCCTCCCTGCCCCTCCCTGCCCCTCCCTGCCCCTCCCTGCCCCTCCCTGCCCCTCCCTGCCCCTCCCTGCCCCTCCCTGCCCCTCCCTGCCCCTCCCTGCCCCTCCCTGCCCCTCCCTGCCCCTCCCTGCCCCTCCCTGCCCCTCCCTGCCCCTCCCTGCCCCTCCCTGCCCCTCCCTGCCCCTCCCTGCCCCTCCCTGCCCCTCCCTGCCCCTCCCTGCCCCTCCCTGCCCCTCCCTGCCCCTCCCTGCCCCTCCCTGCCCCTCCCTGCCCCTCCCTGCCCCTCCCTGCCCCTCCCTGCCCCTCCCTGCCCCTCCCTGCCCCTCCCTGCCCCTCCCTGCCCCTCCCTGCCCCTCCCTGCTACCACGACTCTCCACACCTCTTGACAGGGGGCGCGGAGACGGTGGTGCGAGCATGTGACACGGAGAAAGCTGACGCCCAACCGCATGCCCCCCTGCTCGTCACCCTCCCCTCCTGCCTTCGCCGTGGCTCCCCGTGTTCACACGGCTCCCGCCAGCTGCTGACAGGCGGGGTGGAGAAGGGGGGGCGCGTGATGGGGCATGGAGCGGCGCGACGCCCTGCACCCTGTTCTCAGCTGCCGTTCCATCCTCCCCCCACCCCTTCTCTTCCAGGACTCCCGCCAGCTGCTCACGGGCGGGGCGGAGAAGGTGGTGCGCGTGTTCGACATGGAGCGGCCCGACGCAGGGCCCACACTCTCTCTCGAAGGCATGGCAGGGCCTGTGCGGTGCGCCAGGTGGCACAACGACGACCGCTGGATCCTCGTCACGTGCAACGACGTGGCGGGAGTGAAGTAAGAGCCCTGGGTTGAGCGCATTGGCGCGCTGCCCGTGCTCGTGTGTCCAAGTGTCTCCTTGCCTGTCAGCCTGTATCGCCACGCCTCCCCCTCCCTGCTCCTACCCCCCCAACCTCTCATAATCATCCCCCCTCTCCGCCTCCCGTCGTCGTCTCCCCTCCCTGCCTCTGTGCGCACCACCCATGCAGGGTGTTCGACGCGCGCAGCAAGGACGTGGTGGGCGCGCTGCCCACGGACGGCGCGTGCCTGAGCATGGAGCTGTCGCCCGCCGCCGCTGCTGCCGCTGACGGCGCTGCGTTTATCACCACGGCGGACGGCTCCACCGTTAAGATCTTTGACGCGCACACGTACGCACCCCCATGCCCCGCTCTCCCACTCGTTCTCTGGATGTCCTTCAGCGGTGTTCTCTGCTGTTCCCAGACTGCCATTCCTCCATGCACATGCGTGCGCTCCACCTGTCACTGCATTCACCTTGTGTTAATCATTGCGCCCATACATGGCGCATCCCATTCCACCATCCCACATGCCCGCCCATCAACATGCCCGCCCACCACATGCCCGCCCACCACATGACAACTGGCCAAGGTGCAAAAAAACGGTCGTATTTTATTTTTTTTACCGTACAATACGGTATCGTTTTATTCGGCCGTTTAAAACGGTCCTGAGGTGCGTTTTTGGGTTGGTGCAAAAAAACGGTCGTATAATACGGTCGTATTTTTTTAACCAGCCAAAACCTGGGGGGAAAAGAAATGTAATTAAATTGTAATCACTTTCGGACGCATTGTGGTACTTCATTTGTGAGTGTTGTTAATGTTTTGAGACGGTGGTGAGGGTGATAGTGGGGGGGAAGACGCGGCAGAGGAGGAGGAGGACAAAGATTCAACACACATACCTGTAGAACTGTTTGTTAGCCCCCTTAGCCCTGAGTAAACTATCGTAGCCATGATGTAACCTGTTTCCACAGTTTTTTTTTTTTTTTTTTTGCCGTATAAAACGGACCGTATAATACAAAAACCGTATTTTCCACCTTGCAACTGGCAGGCTCCAAGAGGTCAAGACACACCACTTGCCGCATCAGGCGGAGTCAGCATCGTACATCCCCTCCACCAACCGGTGCGTGCCTTGCTCTACTCACCCACCCCTTAGCTGTGTTGCGGCCGCATCCCACCTGCTCAGCGCATTTGCATGCTCTCTCACCCGTCTAATCTGCGTTTCAGCTCATGTTGAGGCGCCCTCAGCCCCGGTGCCACAGCACATGCAATACCTCCTGCTGCACATCGCACGCACCCTTTTGCCCTTGCCATTCCTTTTCCAATGCCTTGACCAATCTGCCCCCCCAAATTGCCACCCAAATCCCCACCCCTGCACCCCTCTGCACCCCTCTGCATCCCCTGACTCCCCTCCTTGCATCCTCCCTCCTCAGCTTTGTGGCGGGGGGCGAGGACCTGTGGGTGCGAGTGTTTGACTACGAGACGGGCCAGCAGCTCGGTCAGTGGAAATGCCATGCCATGCCATGCCGTCAAGCATGCTGCTGCACCCATGCACCCCTGTTATTTTCTCTCTCCAAAACCCTCTCCACTGCTTGCCTACGTCCTTGCCTCTGGCTGCACTTCACTCAATCTCTTCTCAACGCTTCTACTCCTCCAAATTCCTCCCCCTGCCATGCCACCCCCCTTCCACCCTCCGCCCTCCCCTTCCTTCACTTATTCTCCCTCCTCTCCACTCCCACCTCTTTCCCCCCACCTCCCCTCCCCCCCGCAGAGTGCCACAAGGGCCACCACGGCCCGGTGCATTGCATCCGCTTTGCCCCGGACGCGCTGTCGTACGCGTCGGGGTCGGAGGACGGCACCATCCGCATCTGGAAGCTCGCCACCGCCGCTGCCGCTGCCACTGCTGCCGCTGCCACTGCTGATTCTGCTGCTACTGCTGCAGGTGGTGGTGCGGGTGGGAAGGGGGAGGGGTTGGAGCGCAATGGAGTGAGCGGAGGGGTAGTGAGGGTGGGTGCAACGGAAGAGGTGATTAAGAAGGTTGAGGGCTTTCATATAGCGGCCTCATGACCTTCGTTGTGACTTGCTGTCAAAGACGTGTGCGTTGGCGGTTTTAGTGATTTTATTTGATATCTACCATAAGATTGATTTGCTATGTCCTGATATCCCCGTGATTTCTCTCTTTAGTTATCATCGCGGTGTGTTTTGTATGGAGAGCATCCGTCGGAGCAGCTTGTGGCGCGAACGGGAGGCGCACAATTTTCTGAGTCCTCCCATTCTGGGCTTCGCAATCGGCCATCCGCGTTCTCCGCCGCACCAGCCGATGCATCGCTCCGCGCATCCCCCGCTGTCCCACCTCGCGGCCGCACGCCTCGCCGCGTCAGAGCTCTCGGCGCGGCGTTGCTGCCGTCTTCTGTGCCACGTCACAACGCTCCTCTTAGCGCCATTCCCGCCGGCGAGAGCGGTCGCTTCTGCGGCATCGCAATCCCGCGCATCCGCCATTGCGCCCTCCCCGCAACGCGCGTCCCGCATTCCGGGCTTTCCGCTGCGATCATTTTCGTCGAGCTCGTGTGGATTCAAAGCCACGTCACCCAACCGCCTAGCCACTTCAGCCTCCGTCTCACCTCTCTCCCCGCACCAGCCATCCGCGCCCCTCCCGCCCATGGCGTCGGCGGAGCCCTTCTCCGCTCCGACTACGCAATGCGCCAGCTCCCCGGCCCCTTCCCCTCCTTCATCCCCCCCCGCCTCTTCCCCTCCTCCGGCCCTTACCCCCCGCGTGCCGCTCTCGCGGCGCCTGTGGCGGAACGCGCCCAGCGCGCGCGCAGCAATGGCGGCGCTGTACCACCCGTTCGTGCTGGCGCTGGGCGCGGGATCGCTGCCGCGGCGGCGCTTCGTGCGGTACTCGCTGCAGGACGCCTTCTTCCTCTCCGCCTTTGCTGACTCGTGAGTGGCAACTCGCGAGTGGGCGTGGGGTGGCGCGGGGCTGCCCTGTGAGAGCTCAGATCCCTTGTGGATCCTTCAGACCGCGGGACAATGGATCCATTGTCCGCCGACGCAACACTTTCCCTTGTGGGTCCATCTTTTCCCGGCGGGTGGGCGCTACTCCCTGCAAGTCGCGCTCTTCCTTTCTGCATTCGCGCTCTCGTGGGTTGTGGGCGGCGCACTGGTGGGTTGTAGGCGGCGCCAATGCTGCTCTGCGTGCACGAGGTGGTGTCTATGGAGCCCGCTGCTGCACTGGCTGGTTGCTGCGTGGCGGACCACCCAGCTGACAGCTGTGAATGGGTGTAAGCCTGCTCGTGCTGCATCCGCTGTCGATAGCTCTTCCTACATTATCGCCTCTGTGTGACTCACACTTCCTGTCATGGCATGGCATGGCATGGCATGGCATGGTATGGCATGGTATGGCATGGTATGGCATGGTATGGCATGGTATGGCATGGTATGGCATGGTATGGCATGGTATGGGCAGGTATGGGGCGGCGGCATCACTCCTGGATGGGGGCGAGGAGGATGGGGAGGGGGTTCAGGAAGGGGAGGGGGAGCTGAGTGTGCGGGCGGTGCTGCAGCGGTTGCAGGGGGAAGCAGATGGCGAGCTGGTGATGCACGCAGGCACTGTGAAGGTACTGTGCTGTCCAACGGTGCTGTGAGGTGTGCATGCACACGGACGTCCTACAACATCCAATCATGCACCGACATCCACGCGCCTCACCTCATGCCATCCACGCGCCTCACCTGATCCCATCTGTCCGCTGAACTCGTTGGTCCCTGTGCTCTCGCCACCATGCCACACCATGCCACACCATGCCACACCATGCCACACCATGCCACACCATGCCACACCAAGCCACACCATGCCACACCATGCCACACCATGCCACACCATGCCACACCATGCCACACCATGCCACGCCATGACCTACCATGCAGGCATGGGTTGAGGAGTCACGTGACCCATCCCGAGCACGCACGGACCAGGATGCGGGCGTCACTGCGGACGTCACAACAGACAGCGCCCCTCTGCCGGCCACTCTAGAGTACACGGCCTTTCTGGCGCACATCGTGAGGGGGGAGAGGGGCGTATGGGATGGCATGGGTTTGGGGGAGGAGAGGGGCGAGAAGGACAAAAAAAGCCACCCGTACGACCATGTGAATGGCTTCAGGCCCTCGGAGGATCGGGTCTCCCCAGGTGCCCGTCGCTGGCACGCCCTGTGTGTGCTGGCGGCCATGCTGCCGTGCATGCGCCTCTATGCCTTCATAGGTCAGACCCTGGGGGGCGCCGTGTGGGGCATGCGCGGAGTGGTGGGGGCGGCGAGGGGGGGAGGAGGTGAATGTGGCAGCAGCGAGGTGTGCTTCAAGGGAGGGACGAGTCTGTCGGAGGGCGACTGGCAGTGGCACCCGTACGGCCAGTGGCTGCACACGTACTCGTGCCAGGGCTTCGAGGTGAGCAGGGGGGATGGTGGGGAAGGCGGAGTAGGGCGGTGCGTTGCGTGCTGTGCGATGGCTGCCATGCCATGCCATGCCATGCCATGCCGTGCCATGCCATGCCATGCCATGCCATGCCGTGCCATGCCGTGCCATGCCATGCCATGCCATGCCATGCCGTGCCGTGCCGTACCATGTGATCGTGTACTCCCTCCGTCCGGCACTCCTCTCTCCCCCGCCCCCCCTCTCTCTGTATGTCTGCATGTCTGTGTGCACGCGTGCGCCTGCCCACAGGCAGCAGCATCGCTCCTGGAGTCAGCATTTGACCGCCTGTGGTCGCGCCACCTCCTCTCCCTGCAGCATTCCTGCAGCTCCCAATCCGCATCGCAGCAGCACCTGTCAGAGCAGCAGCGGCAGGCAGAGCAGCACCTGTCACAGGTGTACGGCAGAGCCATGCAGCTCGAGTTTGACTTCTTCCACGCGCAGCTCGCTCCCTTCCCCACTGCCCCGCCACTGCCACATGCACCGCTCTCCGTGCTTTCCGTTCCCGTGTGGCCGGGCTTCTTTGCCCTGGCGTCACATGGGCAGGCGACCGTGAGAAGGGAGGCGTCAGAAGCAGGAGGATCAAGCAGGGCCGGTGCAAGGCGGGTGGTGTTGGCTGTGGACTTTGACGGCACGTGCACGGTGGACGACTCCAGCGCCCTGCTCGCCTGCCTGGCCCTCGCCCAGGCTGGCTCCAGTGCAGGCGCCCAGCAGGTGTGGGACGACCTGGTGCAGCGGTACGTGCAGGACCACTCTGGCTTCATGGCCAGCAACCTGCCGCCCCACCCACCTGCTGCTGCACACAGGGACAGCAGCAGCAGCAGCAGCAGCAGCAGCAGCAAGACAAGAGACCAGCGCAGTGACAGTAACACCAGCAGCAGCAGAAGAAGCAGCGCCACCACCACCACCAGCGCTACCCCTGACCTTCCTCCTGGCCTCCTCCCCTTCCTCCACCGCCTCTCCTCCTTCGAGGCCATGGCCAATCAGCGCGTGACAGCTGTCGCCGCCCTGCAGGGCATTCCCCAGCACGCCTTGCTGGCAGCAGCCAGGGAGGCTGCTGACGTGGCAGAGGGGGAAGGGGTGGGAGAGGGCAGGGGGAGCTTCAGGTCCGGGTGCCCGCGGGTGCTGAGGCGAGTGGGGGGGGAGGGGGGTGTGGTGCAGGTGGTATCTGTGAGCTGGAGTGGGGCATATGTCAGGGAGGCTGTGAGGCACGCAATGCTGATGGAGGAGGGGGAGTGGGGAGAGAGGGGGAAGCAAGGAGAGGCAGAAGGGGTTGGGGAGAAGACATGCAGTGGTGTGGGGGAGGAGGGTGGAGCAGGCGAGAACAGCATGGTGGTGGTGAGGGCGAATGAGATGGAGTTTGATGCACACGGTGTGTCCACGGGTGCAGTGGACTTCCATGTGCAGGGGCCCATGGATAAAGACACCATCTTCCATGCCCTCACACATGGCAAGCTCACACACGGTGGCCCCGAGCACGAGACTGCAGGTGCAGCAACACCAGCAGCGCCGTGTGCCCCCCTGTGGCCCTCCGCCCATCCCGCGCTGTACATTGGCGATAGCACCACGGACTTGTTGCCCTTGCTGCGAGCGCAGGTGGGCGTGGTGATGGGGGGAGGGGCGTCCAGCCTGGGCAGGGTCATTCGGGCCTTCGGCATTCACCGCCTGCCGCTGGTGGCGTTGGCTGTGCTGCACGTGCAGCAGGCTGCGGCGGAAGTGAAGGGGGGGGGGCGAGAGAGTGGCTGTCCTGAGCTGGTGGTGCCGCCATGGACGGTGTTCGATGCCTGCAGTTGGGAGGAGCTCGAGGTATTCCTCTTTGGGCCCTACTCTCAGAAACCCTGACCTCTAGGCACTCTTCAATTCATTGTTGATCAATGGTTATATTATTTCTACATTTCAACTCAGGAACTGGGCTTCCTTGCAACACATTTATACACATGCAAAGCATCACAAACTGGCACAGCCAGGAGTCACCAGAAGCATGCGAATAAAGATGGCTGGAAACTGGAGAAGGGGAAGCAAAGAAAAAAGAAACGAATTTGAAGGATGAGAAGGCGTGCTGGTTGCCCCTGTGCTCTGCCGTGTCTGTGATGTGAGCCTTGCCGGACCGCAGCAGTCCGTGTCCTTACTGGCACTGCTCAAGTCAGTCTGCCTTACAGCGAGAAATTTCTGAAATCAATTCTTTAGTCTTCCAGCATCTGGTAACTGTCTGGTCCCCACCCCACGCCAGGGTTGCCGGCTTGCCAGTCGTTATCTCCGCATGATGGCGCGTTCCACGGTGTGAGCAGCCAGCACCGTCGACGCAGCGGCCTTCCAGAAGTCCTGGAACGCCAGGTTGTGCTGATGCCACTTATTCTCCAGCTCCACGCGCGGCCCCCATTGCTTTAACGACCGTCGCCACGACGACGTGCCTTCCACGGCATGCTGCCACCCGCTCCTCGCTGCGACGTCTAACGCTGGCACGACCGTGCCGCCGGCGAACTTGACGGCCTTGTCGCCAGCGTAGAAGGCGGCTGTGGGGAACAAGAAGTTAGAGTAGTAAAACGTAAGTGGTCATGATTTTCAGCAATGACAATGGCGAAGAAAATTATAAAAAGGGCTGAAAAATATGAGACGTACCATCGCATGGCAATCTTGCAAAATCGCTGGCGGGGAGACCAATCCCGACGCCGATGAGCGTAACGCCAATGTTAAAGCCGACGCCGCAACCCGCACCCACGTATCCGACCACCTCTGGCCCGAACCCCGGACCCCATCCCACGCCGCAACCCAAACCGACGCCGAAACCCCAGAAAGCTCCGAGCGTCGGGTGCACAGGATTCCACCTCTTGTACTTCCGGTATAGGTGGATAAGCGTCATGCAGATAGCAGAATTGACCCTTACTCAACTGGTTCTTTCCACAGGCCAGTGAAACGGAACTGAAAGTGCTCGACACAGTATCTCAGTTGCTCGACAGGAGTAGTGGGATGCACAACCAGGACCTGTGCAGAGCTGGTGTATCACAAGAGGTTAGCTGGAGTGAGTATCAGGGAGCAGCAAGATGAGGTGGGTGTGACTCCTACAGGCACGTCCCACGCAGAGCAAAGAGAATTCCTGGCACGAGGGGAGGCTGGGACAGGTGTGGGGGAATGGGGGGAATGACGGGGAGGGAAGGCCGAGGGACCACTCACCCAATGTCGCGTTGTGATTTCGCGTCTGGGGCACTTGACGGAACGAGCTTGGCGGGCTTCGAGTTTTGCTGACTGGGAATAACTTCAGGGCAGCTTGGGGGGGACCAGGCAGCACGGTTCATCTGAAGGGCAGATGAGGAAAGACTCAGGCCTTAGGATGCTGGGTCAAATTCACTCTTTTCCGTTTCGTCAAGTTCAACCGTCAAGAAGACGTCCGTCAGAGGGGTTCACGGATGTTGTTTCAGCAGTGAGTGTGACACTATCGTGTGATGCGCTGGCAGAGCATTCCTGCTGGGTGACCCCGCAACGCACAAATAGAACCAATAGAATTGCAGCGTCTGCCTCATCCGCTACTGAGTGGCTGCTGATAGGACCTGAGCCCATCCCTGTTGGACGACGCCACGAAAAGGTTGCGTCACGTGCCAAGACTCGCCACGAGGGCAGGTAGAATCTCCACGCAAAAAGGTCGAATCACACACGTTTCGCGATTTTCCCTGACCCTGTTTTTTTTTTATTACCATACAGAAGCCACTTATATAACCTTGCAATAGCTTTTCCAAATTAGGAAATGCACTTCACCCTCCTTGATCATGAAGTCGACACAGTTCAAAACGAGTATAAGGTGTGCATTTTATGTCCCGCTTTTACATCCCGTTGATAGCTGAATGCATGAATTTTGTAGCCAATACAGACGAGGTGACGGCAGAGTATTACCATGATGTGGAGCACAGATAATTGATTCCCGTGGCATGATCAGCATGTGTTATAGCTTGCAATTATTAGCTTGATTCATCCTACGATCATGCATCTTAGGGGGGACAAGCATACAAAAATATAAATTGGTAAAAGCCCCTGTGCTCCAAGGGCATCAGTTCTGGCGGTAAGCAATGAAGTCAGCGAGGCCAAGGAGAGGAGCTGCCTTGCGCTGGTCGAAATCACTCAGCTGCTCCTTCGCCTGGCGAATCAAATCCGCTGCCAATTGCTTTGACTGCTCCAAACCCAACAACCTGAGATGGAAGGATGTGCACAGGTTGAAGGGCAGTAGGAAGCATGGGCGTGAGTTGAAGGGAAGAGGAGACAGGTGCCAGGAAGAAAGCGCGAAGGTGGCAGAGGGGTGTATGGAGGTGGGAAGGGAGCTGTGTGGGAGAGTGGGGGAGTGGTTCATGCCACCACAACGGAACCCTGTGCACTTGGGAAGCTATATGCTCATACATTCAAACACTAGTGCCACTGCCTGCCATGCACAACTCTACTCCTCCCACTTTTGAGCCCTGCTTCACAAGTCTGTTTGAGCCCAGCCCTTGGTGTTCCCAAGGCTGAGCTCATTGTCTTGTGCCAGGCCATTCTAGGGCATCTCCACCACGCTCATTTCAACCACCGCCTATGCCTTCCACTTTTCCTCGTGAGCCACGTCCTTCCTAGGAGATGCCTACATGGGCTACGTGGCATCCTCCTAGTAGAAATAGGTCTCCACTCTCACCACACTCACGTGGGGCACGTGCCATCCACACTCACTTGGGGCACGTGCCCTCCACACTCACCTGGAGTACGTGCCTTCTACACTACAATCACATAAGGCACGTGGCCACCACACTCACTTGGGATACGTGGCCTTGTCCTGCGCCAGGTCCTTGCCCGCCGTCTTACCCAGCTCCTCCGTGGACTTGGTCACGTCCAGAATGTCGTCCACCACCTGCCGCCACACACCGCCACGCGCGGAAGAGGAGGAGAGTGGAAGAGGGGGGTTAGATGAGAGATCCCTAGTCTATCAGAGAGTGGCGTGTAATAGAAGGGAACAGACGTTTGCCAACAGAGGGAACCAGCGGCACGACGCAAGCAGGAACCTACCTGGAAGCCGAGTCCGATGAACTGGGCGTACTTGCGCAAGCGCGCCACCTGCTCCTCCCTGGCCCCGCCCAGCACGGCGCCCGCCACCACGGCCACCTCCAGCAGCGCCGCCGTCTTGTGGCGGTGGATGTACTCCAGCCGCTCCACGCCCACCGTCGGATCGTTCTCGCTGTCCAGGTCCACGATCTGCCCGGGGGCGGAGGGTAAGGCAAGGCAGAGCCTGCGGTTAAGCATTGGAACAATGTCGTTAACCTTAGCTTCAGCTGAGGGTATGGTCATCAGATTCAGCTGTGTTGTGCCAAACAGGCTGTTCTCACAAACATCATGATTGATTGACGGACTAGCACGCTCTCAAGAATGATTCATTCATACCCACTAACTATGACAGTTCCTCTTCTTATGACAGACCCACGAGACGCGGCACCCACCAACCACGGCACCCACCAACCACGGCACCCACCTGGCCGGCGACGAGGCCCTCCGACCCCACGGCCTTGCCCAGGTCCGCGATCACCCGCACGATGCGCTCCGGCGGCACCGACGACGGCGTCGCGCGCGCCACGTGCTCGAAGGCGAACGACAGCATGGCGTCGCCGGCCAGCACTGCCACGTCCTCGCCGTACACCTGGCACGCGGGGAATGGGGGCGACAAGTCACAGTACGTTTCAATTCACAAGCTTATCTCCTCTTTTCCACGCCGGTTTTCCAGATTATTGAATCTCCTTATTCTCGCAAGGAAACCGAACGCTAGTAATCCACCAGCGTTTTGCACGCAACGGTGGGTAAAGCCGTCCGCAGAATGCGCGGCGTACCTTGTGGTTGGTGGGCTTGCCGCGGCGGAAGTCGTCGTTGTCCATGCACGGCAGGTCGTCGTGGATGAGCGACATCGTGTGGATCATCTCCGTCGCGCACGCCGCCGCCATGGCCGTCTCCTGCGAACCCCCCACCAGCTCGCACGCCGCGATGCACAGGCACGGCCGCACGCGCTTGCCGCCTGCCAGCAGCGAGTAGCGCATGGCCTCGTGGATGCGCTCGGGGTACTGCAGCGGCACCGCCGCGTCCAGCGCCTGGTTGACTGCTATGGCCTTGGCCCTCATGTACGCCTCGAAGTTGAACTCTGAGGATGGGGAGAACCGACGCGGAGGGAAATGCATGACAGGGAGGAGAGACTTTCGGTAGGGAAACAGGGAATTTATCAGATAAGCTTGGAGACACATGCTATTGTAATGCGACTGAAGTCTGCTACCGGAATTAGAGCATTTAATGTGGCAAATTTCGACCAGCGTTGTAATGCCTCTAAAGCATGAAATACGATCCAGGAGAATCACGTCCCGCACCTTCGGTCACTATGGAGTCTAGTTGGCTGGACATCTGAACATCTGCGACGGCCTTCTGAGCCACTGGCATTCGCCGCGCTGCTCCCTGCTGCACCTGCTGCCGCCGGCCGCCATCCTGTGTGCTGCCGTCTGATGGGATCCCCCCGCCGGCAGTCAGCGAGGCACTGACTGAATGGCTGACGGCCACCTTCCTCGCAGCAGGGGATTTCCCCTTGGAGCTTGTTAATAGCAAACAGCTCTTTGAGAAAGCGATTTTTGACGAAACACCAGCCATGGCGACTTTCTCTCTGGAATCAGCTCGGGAGAAGGGTTCTCCGAGTACGGGGCACAACGTAACCTCCTCCGCTGTGATTCTACCGTCACTTCAGTGCTGGACTGTGCAATTCCCTTTCCCAGGATTAGGTGCTCTACTTTAGCATCAATGGCGAAGCTAGGCTTAGAAGATGCACATCTACAGCAGTGACAAGCAAGCAAGATGAGAAAGGTAAGAGTTGTTAGTGTCGCCTGAGCAACAGACGAACACACGGAGCGACAGACAGAACAACACCCTCAGCAATGCGGAAATGGCTGGAAGAGCACCACCACAAGAGCCTTGAGAATGCCTAAGACTCTCTTCCACCAGCCTGAATGCTGAATCCGAGTTCCTGGAAAGGTAGGGAGGACAAGAGAACACGGGTTGACTGGCTGAACCGGCAGAAGCCGAGCCGTGAATCCACACAGGTGCCACTCAGTGTTCTCAGCAGAAGCCTATCACATAGCGCACTGCCACGTTGACTAATCGCCACGTCAGATTCCGGAGGTCGCGAAAGCACATTGACGAGTTTCGCCCAAGCGGGGTTGTGTTTTGCGACGGGATCGGATTCCCCAGCAGGAGGTTGCTGATCGCGTGCGGAAGAAAGCCACTCCGCGGTGACCACGTAAGCCGCGGTGGATTCGTCGTCACCCTCAACATGCAGCCTCTTCAAAGCCAAAGGTGAGACGCAAAGGCTTCGATATAAGCGCAATCACGGCTTCAGGATGGAAAGTAGATTCAACTACGATATTGAAGGGCATCTACACTACATAATATGCTAGCCCCATCAAACCTACTTCAAGCTTCAAATGGCCAATGACCACACAAGGAGCCCAGAACTAAACAAGGTCACGTGTAATCCAAAAACTACATCTAGGCCAACCACAAATAGCGCAGGGATGCCAGATTGACATGGTCTAGGCATGCAGGGCAGTGTGGTAGGAGCAAGGATACAAGCTGGTGTTGTCAATTGACGAATGCAGGGAATGATGCAGGATTTGAAGGGATAGATAAATGGCAACGGCAATCCATAAGTGCAGGGGGTGATGATGGACAGAGCAGCAGAGAAACGTGAGGGAAAAGGACTTGTGCCTCGTGATTGCATGTTTATGCAGGTGCATGATGACACCCAGACCGGGAATGCGAAGGGTGAGAGAAACAATGCATGTGACACTGCCTTTCACATGGTGCAGAGGAATGGAGATGCAACACATGCAACACATGCATGCATGACGGCCTGACAAACATGTAGACACATAAGTACCAACCACTGACACATGGCATACTGTGGCATGGCATGGCAGGGAGCAGTGCAATGATGACATCAGCCTGCAAGGTTGGGGAAAGGAGAAGAGGAGGGCGAAGAGGCATCACGGGATGGGTGAGCTCAATACGCACGTGGGCACACAGACAAATGCTGCCAATAGACTCCCTGCCGTAGCAGGCAGTTGAGGCCTTCACATTATGTTGGAGGAACGGCAGGATCTGACTGCACACCTAAAGACCCGGCAGAGATGCACCCAGTGCGTGGCTCCATTCCCTCCCCCGGCCCCTCTCCCCTCCCCTCGTCACCCCACTCTCCCAACTCACCCCACTCATCCTAACAAGAAGTCCGTCAATCAGTCAGAATCACTTGAGCTGCGAGAGCTGTTGGACCTGCGGAGTGGTTGATAATAAGAGAGGGGGGAGGGGTGCGGCATGAGTGTGTGTGCGGTGCCCCAATGACAGGATGGCAGGCCACCAGCCAGCGACACTGCTGCCGTGGGAGCTCTTGGACCTGCGATGCGCTCTATAATGGGTGAGCGGAACGGTGAAGGGGAGGGAGGAAATGGGGAGGCGGGGAGGGAGGGAGGGAGAAAGGAAGGGAGGTAGTGCCACGGCCCGTTGGTGCATGGCATGGGAGATAACACACCCATGGCGTGACGTGGACGAAGAATGTGGGATATGTGTGTATGTATGACAAGAGATCGTCGCATGCCATGGGGCATGGCAATATGCCACGGAGGGTGCTTGAATTGAATGAACAGTGCACCAACAGGGTCAGACACCAGCTCCAGATCGCTCCTCTCTGCCCCCCGCCCGACTCGCACCCCTTTTAAATTACAACTTGCTCAAGCTCAGAACCCAAATTGCTCAACCCGAGTCAACAGGAGGTCGGTGGGTTGGAAAACGAAAACGTATTGGGTGCGACACTTGAGGGCGTTGTTCGATTGGTCGTTTCTAGCCACACCGGGCCCAGTTTGATCCCTTCAGCTAATTTGGGACCTGGGCTTTAACACATTGCCCATCTATCCACCTGGTCAGGAAGCCTGCAGTCTGCTTCACTACCTCCCTCTCCTCATACTGTACTCCAGCAATCCTCACAGCTCACCTGCTGGGGCTGCTCTTGGCTGGCCGCTTGCGAGGAGGCGACCTCTGCACGCAGCAAGGAAGGGTGAGGCAGCATACAGGGGGGAACGGTTTGAAAAAGAGAGGGGGAAGGAATATGGAGAGGAGTGCGGAAAGAGGTAAGTACGAGGGCAGACCTCCATGCATTTAAAACACACAGATGCGCCCAAACAGTTACGGCCACAAAGTGCTCAACAGCCACACACACAGCCACAAAGAGCATGCATCTCAGGCAGCTCACTCACAAACATACTCGCATGCACCACTACATACCCCAAGCCCACCCATGCATCCGCCCATGCATCCCCGAGGCTCACCCTGCGCCGGTCGCCGTCAGACGAGGAGGTGGCGGAGGAGGAGGACGGCGACTCTGAGCGCGCACGCTTGGGGGGAGGAGAGCGGTCGGGCCTGAGGGAAGGATGCACGGACACCGGCACTTGAGCGCGATTCAAGGAGAGACAACAGGCGGCCAGGGGGAGGACGGCAGGCAGACGAGACGGGGGGGAGAGAGCACAGGAGCGTGGATGGAGATGGGACGAAGCAGAAGAGAAGGTTCAGCTGGGCCGCTGGGGGACGGGGGTGGAACGAGGTGGGGAGCACAACAGGGGGGAGGGCTGGGGACCGACCTGCGGGGGGGCGGTGGTGGGGGCGAGCGCTGGCGTCGGGGGGGAGGGGAGCGCGAGCGGCGGCGCATCGGGCCCGGGCTGGAGCGACGGGCGGGGGGGAGCGACGAGGGGGGGAGGGACGCCGGCCAGGGGAGGAACGACGGCGGGGAGGTGGAGATCTGGGATGGGGGGGAGGGGGGAGGAAGGAGAAGCTGTGACAAGGGGGAGCACGGAGGTGGGAAAGGCAGGCCAGGGAGGTGGCTCTAGGCGCGGCACAACAAGATGAGAGGGAGGGGATGCAAGAAGAGGAAAGCCACAAAGGTAGGAAGAGGAGTGAAGTAAAAGGAGGTGGCGCGAGCGAGAGGGAGGGGACAACCACAGGGGACGGGGAGGAGGGGCGAAGCTGCTAAAAGCGAATCAAGTGGCTACCTTTGGCCGCGGTACGGGATGGGCGAGCGGCGCCTGGCAGGGCTTCTCACGCGGCGGGGGGGAGAGGGACTGCGCTGCCTGCGAGGGGGAGATCTGCAGGGGGGGGGAGGAGAGAAGGGGGGGGGGGAGAAGGGAGGGGGAGAGGGGCAGCAGACAAAGAATGGACACCGTAGAGCGACTTCCCTGCGACGCCCTATGCCCTGTTAGGCTGTTACACCCACCCACCACGCCCTATGCTCTGTTAGGCTGTTACACCCACCCACCACGCCCTATGCCCTGTTAGGCTGTTACACCCACCCACCCCGCCCTATGCCCTGTTAGGCTGTTACACCCACCCACCACGCCCTATGCCCTGTTAGGCTGTTACACCCACCCACCCCGCCCTATGCCCTGTTAGGCTGTTACACCCACCCACCACGCCCTATGCCCTGTTAGGCTGTTACACCCACCCACCCCGCCCTATGCCCTGTTAGGCTGTTACACCCACCCACCACGCCCTATGCCCTGTTACACCCACCCACCACGCCCTATGCCCTGTTAGGCTGTTACACCCACCCACCCCGCCCTATGCCCTGTTAGGCTGTTACACCCACCCACCACGCCCTATGCCCTGTTACACCCACCCACCACGCCCTATGCCCTGTTAGGCTGTTACACCCACCCACCACGCCCTATGCCCTGTTAGGCTGTTACACCCACCCACCACGCCCTATGCCCTGTTAGGCTGTTACACCCACCCACCACGCCCTATGCCCTGTTAGGCTGTTACACCCACCCACCCCGCCCTATGCCCTGTTAGGCTGTTACACCCACCCACCCCGCCCTATGCCCTGTTAGGCTGTTACACCCACCCACCACGCCCTATGCCCTGTTACACCCACCCACCACGCCCTATGCCCTGTTAGGCTGTTACACCCACCCACCCCGCCCTATGCCCTGTTAGGCTGTTACACCCACCCACCCCGCCCTATGCTCTGTTAGGCTGTTACACCCACCCACCACGCCCTATGCCCTGTTAGGCTGTTACACCCACCCACCCCGCCCTATGCCCTGTTAGGCTGTTACACCCACCCACCCCGCCCTATGCCCTGTTAGGCTGTTACACCCACCCACCACGCCCTATGCCCTGTTAGGCTGTTACACCCACCCACCCCGCCCTATGCCCTGTTAGGCTGTTACACCCACCCACCCCGCCCTATGCCCTGTTAGGCTGTTACACCCACCCACCCCGCCCTATGCTCTGTTAGGCTGTTACACCCACCCACCACGCCCTATGCCCTGTTAGGCTGTTACACCCACCCACCACGCCCTATGCCCTATGCCCTGTTACACCCACCCACCACGCCCTATGCCCTGTTACACCCACCCACCCCGCCCTATGCCCCCCACTCATGTAACATCATATACTCCCGTGCCCTGCATGGGGCATGCCATCTGGAAGCTTCCTCACTGGCTGATCTGCCAACGAACCGGCCGTGCCCCACCCCGACCTACCGCACGGGCGAGCGCCTCCTGCCCCCTCGTGGCGGGGACGGCGACCTTCCCCTTGCGCCTCCCCCTCTCCCTGGGGACCTCCGCCGCGGTGACACCCCCCTGCCGCCCCGCTCCCCCTCCCTGCCCCGCTCGCCCTCTCTCTCCCGCTCCGCCTCCCTCCCCCTGTCCGCCCTGTCCCTGTCGGTCGGCCTGTCGCGGTCCCTCACGTCCCCGCGGCGGCGGGGGGGCGAGTCTACGGCGCGGCGAGGGGGAGGCGGCGGGGGGAGCGGCTCTGGCCTGCGCACGGGCTTTGGCGCGAGCACGAACTGCGCGCTGACCACACTGCCGTCGATCTGCGCCTGGAATAGATGCGGGGAAAGGTGGGGGAGTGGGGAGGTGAGTCGGGGGGACAGGGGGAAGAGACGGGCAGGAGTGAGGAGAGGAGAGGCGGGCGAGTGCAAGAACGAAGGTGAAAGCAGAGCGAGCACCAACTGCGCGCTGACCACACTGCCGTCGATCTGCGCCTGGCGGGGATGAGAGGGAGGGGAAGGGAGGGGAAGGGATGGGATGGAAGTCAGCCAGGTCAACCCTACGCATCCAGTGTGCCACGCTCATCCCATCCACGTGGCACCCACTCACCCCATCCATGTGCAGGCGCGCCTTCTCTGCATCGGCGCGCTTCTTGAACTCCACGTAGCCGTAGCCCTTGGGCAGATTCACCTGCGGCACACAGCGACGCGCGGCAGAGACGAGGGGGAAAGGAAAGGGGAAGCCGCACGGAAGGCGAGAGTGAACAAGCAAGGCGGCATGCCGAATGACCGAGGTGAGGATGCCTGGTAGCTGCGGACAGATGCAACAAGCCGAGAACGTAAACACAGGGAAGGCAGGAGGGGAAGAGAGCAAGGATGAGGAGCGAACAGGAGTAAGAGGACAGGAGTAAGAGGACAGGAGTAAGGAGAGAGGACAGGAGTAAGGAGAGAGGACAGGAGTAAGGAGAGAGGACAGGAGTAAGGAGAGAGGACAGGAGTAAGGAGAGAGGGCAGGAGTAAGGAGAGAGGACAGGAGTAAGGAGCGAGGACAGGAGTAAGGAGAGAGGACAGGAGTAAGAGCGAGCAAGCACAGACAGAGAGGAGGGAGGGGGGTAGAGCAACTCACGACGCGGTCCATTGCGATCTCCACTTTACTCAGCTCGCCGTACAGCCCTGCCACGCACACACGGATCGCGGAGATTGGAGACGCGCACAGGACGCGACAGCCCGCACAGCCCGCACAAGAACCAGCGCAATAGCAGGCGGACACCGGAGAAGTTCAGAAATCGCGCGACAAGATCCATGGCGAGGCAAGGAGAGCACTTGAGCGGGACGGGATGCGCACTGCTGTGTACCCCGCGTGCTGCTGCTGCTGCGCTCACCGAACGCCCCGCGTGGGGCTGCTGCGCTCACCGAACGCCCCGCGTGGGGCTGCGGCGCTCACCGAAGATCTCTTTGAGGTGGTCCTCGTTGACGTTGCGCGTGAGGCACCCCACGTACAGCATTGTCGTCTCCGGCGTCGCCGACCGCTTCCTGCGGCCAGGGCGTGACGGGGTGACGGGAGCACGAGCACATGGAGAACGACGAACACATAGCGAATGACGAGGTCCTAGGGATTGACGAGCACACGGGGCTGAGGTAGCACACTGGGAAAGGACGCAGCACACCTGTCATTGGGCGACGGGCTTCGCTTCTTGGAATCAGCGGCGCCGCTCTCCTTCTTGCTCTGCGCGGTCGTCGGCCTCGCGCTGCAGGGGACGGAGGAAGAAGCGACATCGTGAACACTAGGTACCGAATAGCGACATAGTTATTTGGTACCCTGGACCTCGATCCCTGGACCTCCTAAGCGTGATTTCAAGCCGAAAAACACCTAGGCTTAACGATCCTCCGGGGACAGAGACAGGGAGCAATAACGCTGCAGTGTCTAGCAACCAACGGCAGGACGGACCCTTTCTTCGGCGGCGGGCTCCGGCTTCTGGAGGAGTCGGAGTCGGATCGAGAGGGCGAGGAGGAGCGTGAGCGAGAGGCGGAGCCGGAGTACGACGAGGAGGGCGACTTGGACTTGGACTTGGACTTGGAGTCCGACCCGGACTCTGATGACGGCTTCTTCGCCATGGCACGGATAGCTAGAGGCAAATGCGATCTGACTGTTTAGAGCCGCAAGCTGCTCAGTCTAGCGGTGCGATCTGGTTACTGACAGCAACGGGCATCACGACCTAGAAGTGCTATGGTAGTTAGTCGATGATGGCGACGAGCAGCGCTACGTGCGGAGAAGGTCTACGACTGACCTACCTGCGATGACCACTCGTGCTACGAGTTCTGAACTCAATGCAGCAAAAGGCTTCTGGAAGCCTCGCAACCTCGTTCTCGGTATAGAGATTTTGCTTCTTGTGTTGGGGTGTATGCAATTAGGAGGTTGGGAGTTGGTGACTAGGCTATAACATACAAATTACTAAATCCAAGAAGCTGGGGCACCTGCCAGTAAAGAGGGCAACACCAATCCCTGAGTCATAGCAGGAATTGCTAACTGATACTCCATTGCATGTGCCATTATTTCAGAGTGGCTACAGCAGCTGATACTGGTACGGCTGCAGGCCATGCCGCACACAGATCTGAGCATTTTGAACAAAGCAGACACCACTACCTATATTGTGACAAGGAGAGAAAAGTAGAGTGCAAAGCTAGACAGTGTACTTATCCATGGCTGACCTTGACCCTTTCTGGTCCGCCTGCACAGGAAACAAGACGCATTAGGGAAATGCACTCCTGTTCAGAAATGTCCGGGAACAATAGCAGGAGGAGCACGCACTGAAGAACATGGAAACTAACAGACAGCATTGCTAACTTACAAAAGAGGCAAATCCAATTTGCTCTGTAACGCCCAGGATCTCCTTCAGTTGCTTGCCGATGCTTGTCTGCACCCAGAACCAGCCAACCAAACAAGAAGAGGTGGCAAAACCTCTCAGGCACAGTCATCCCATGCCAAATGCACGCCCTCTGATTCAAAGCAACAGCACAAGCACACAGTTATCCCATGCCAAATGAAGCTCCAGGCGTACCTGAATGGTTTCGCTGCCAGCGGATTTGGTCCAGAGCGCCACTCTGTCCTTGCCCGTTCGGATGCTCACCACGGCGCCACAGATGTCGTTGCCCTCCTCGATCTGCTCCCCGATCATCGCCAGCATCTGCGGTGTAGGGGAATGGCGGCAGCACGTGACTAGGACAATTTGGAACAGAGGGAATCAATGGCTGAGTTCAGAAGCATGGAGGAACGCAGCGGGGATACGCAGTGAGCGATACGCGTTACAGTGCACAATCAGAAGCTGTCAAATAGTCGTCCACCGATTGGTTTACCCATTTCAATGTGCAACCAGGCGCTGGCAGCCTGACACAGTATCCCTTACCATGTGCAGCCACGTGTTGTCAAGGTACTCCTTGCTCCGCGAGCACGGGATGGTCCAGGAGCCGCCCTTCTCGCACTTGGGGTCCTCCCACTTGGGCTGGATGCCGTCCTTGAACAGGTGCATGTCCGCCTTGTTCATCAGCTTGCTCGGCTGCACTATGTTGTTGTATAGACTGCAGACGAAGAAGAATTAGTATTAAAACAAAAAAAGCAGCGATCATAGGATGGAGCAGGGAGGTTGAAAAATAAATCATATGACCATTGAGAATAGTGCGGAAGACAAGGATAGCGAGACGCGGGACGACTTCTAATACCCGTAAAGCACCGGACCACCAGGTTGGAACTACACCAGAAAAATGGCTACAGGTCAGCGATCATTTAACGACGCGGGTCTGGCACTGATGGAGAGCAAAAAGCCATTGAGCCACGCACCACCAGAAGTCCTCGACGGTCCCGAAGGTGAAGATCACGCGGAGCGAGCTTCCCCACGAGCTGCCGCCTTTCCCGCGGTGCTGCGGGTTGTCGAACCACAGCGTCCACCGGTGCTCCAGCGGGTGCTTCACCAGGGCTTCGCTCTCCGGCGCCGCTGCTGCTGTCGTCTCCGCCTGCTCCGCCGCTGCTGCGTTCGTCTCTGTCTCGGTCTGCTCTACGGCCGCCATGTCTCAAGCGATGGAAAGGACCAGACGATTATGCGATTTAACTGCTCAGGTCCTTTTCAAAACCCTAGTTCTTTCTTAGCCTGGTAGGGCAGCAGCACGCGGAGACTACAACTATTTCCTCGACTTCCCGCGGATTCTTCGTAGTCTGCGATTACCGCAGACCTAATTTCAGTAAAATCGCTGCAAGCCGGACAAAGAGCGGCAGCAACGAGAGGGTTGCTGGAAATCTGACCGCGTGAGGCGGCGTTGGAGGATAGAGATGGGCAAGCGATGGAGCACACCTGGAGAGGGAAGGCTGACTGGAGTGGAAAGCGATGATTGAGGTGGTAACTCAAGTGAGGATAATACCGGTATAAGGAACTTCGCTAATAGGTTCCCGGATGGCATTGTGTATTTTACAACATGCACATTGCTATGAACTGTGAAGTCCATCCAAATATCTCTTAATACATTACATATTTGCATCATATAATGCTCATTAGATAAGAAGCTAGATATTAGAACCTACCAACTGTACAAACACATGCACCTTCACCCCTTCCTAATGTGAAACAAGGCATGACGCATGAACCTGTTGGGATCATGCGACAAGGCTCTGTAAAGAACAATCAACACAGGATCGCACTGAGCTGCTCTCTCGATCAACTCATCCTGCTCGGCCTCAGACATTGCCAACACCCCCGTTTCCTCCCTCCTCCGTTCCTCTCCTCCGTCCTGCCTAATTCCTCCTAGCTCCATCTCTTCTCCCCTCCCGGTGCCCTGTTCCAATCTACCAGGCGAGAGGTGGTTGGAAGCAGCTTCCATTGGGGTTGCTGTGGACATGGGCTGATTAGCCGGACCAAGCGTGCGGACACTGCCATTGGTTGAATCTGTGCGGGCTGCGCCAGCCTTGGGTGCTGAAGTTGGTGGAGCTGATGATGGTGCTGCTGCTGCTGTTGCTGCTTGTGAGCGTTCAGAGTTACCCAATAAGGGAGGAGTGGAGGAAGAGGCAGATGAGCCCTGAGGAGATGACCCAGACACTGCTGCAGAGGCAGCGACTATGGTTTGAATCATGGCGACAGCTATGTCAGCATCACTCTTCCCCTGCCCTCCCTGCCTCCCGCTGTTGTCACGCCAGCTGCTCTCACTGGCACCAGACGCAGGTACTGCTGTATCTGGACTCATGCCCACTGGCTGGACAGCCACTGGTGGTGCTGATGATGGTGCTGGTGATGCAAGCGGTGCTGCTGCTATTGCTGGTGGCGCTGGTGCTGGTGCTGATGGTGCTGCTGCTGGTGGAAGACTTGAAGCTGGTGGTAAAGGTGTTCCCGCCATTCCTGGGCTTGCGAATCCTGCAGCAGCTACAGCACCATTGGCTGCCAGTTGGCCTCTCACCATTGGCTGTGCTGCAGCCTGCACGCCCCCATTTCTTGCTGCAGCAACTGGCGGTACCTCACTCTGTTGTGCCCAACCACTGCTGCCACCATTACTGTCACCTCTCACGAAATCGTCTCCCATACTTCTTATTCCTACATTGCCTACCCTGCTCCTGCTAACAGTGCTCATGCCATCGCTTATGCTGCTATTGCCAGTGCTGCTGCTGCTATCTACAATCACAGTGCTGCTGCCGCCAGCATCACCCTTCCCTCCATTGGCTACTCCTTCCAGAGGGGCAGTCCCCTTGGCCCCACTCCCCCCTGCTGCTCCCCCCGCCCCTGCTCCTGCAGTGGGCGAGGGAACGGTCTTGGCAGCTCGCGAGGGCAGGCAGTGGAGGGTGGCAGGGGTGCGCGACCAGATGACAAACCCAAAGTCGGGGATCAGCGCCAGGTCCTTGGCCAGACGCAGGGGCTCCTGCGATGGGCGGAGCCGGGGAGAGATGAAATGAGTTGAGCTTCTGAGTTGATGCAAAATGGCAGGGGTGCAACCAGATGACAGACAAAGCCACAGTCGGGGATGAGAGCCGAGTCCTTGGCCAGGCGTAGGGGCTCCTGGGAGGTACAGAGTGGGACAGCAAGGGAGCAGGGAACGCAAAAAATGGGACCTGGGCAAGCCACAAAGTGAGTAGCGACCACATAGTAAAGAGCACATGAGAGCGAGCATAGTAAAGAGCACATGAGAGCGAGCATATCCAACATCACGAACAGCATGTGTAGAGGTGGGAGGCGGTGCACTGACCACGAAGTCCCCCGAGTTGGGGATCCAGAGCGCCAGCTGCTGCACCTCACTGGCGCCCTCAAGCCCGTTCGCCAGGGCTATCTTGGCGCGCACCGCATTCTGCCAATGCAGAGGGAAGGGTAGTGGGGGGTGAGTGGTCCGACACACAGGGAACACAGGACGAGCCGTGGAGGGTGGGTGATGTGCGTGATAAGGTTATGAACAGTCACCATCTTAGCATGCAACTCACCCGCATGTCTCAAAACCTGACGCACTGCTATCACGGTGGACTAATAAGAAGTCAGTCAGATTAAAGCTCACAAGAGACGGCACTCGGATGGTGATGGATTTCATGCTGCCGTTGGGTGCATCATACGCCTCCAGATCCCACTCTATGCTGCGAAACGTCTTGCCAAACACCAGCGTGCGCCAGTACAGGGCCACCTGAGGGCATGCAGGGAGGAGAACAAGGTGAGAAAAAACAAACTTTGAAGGCGATCCTAACATTTCGCCAAACACTGGCAGAGAAGGAAAAGAAGGCGAGCAGAGGCGTACCAGGCTAGCGCCCCCAAACGAGCGCCAGAGAGCGTCCATCTGCGGCACCACTGCGACTGCCACCGGCGCTGCTGCGGCTGTCTTAGCTGCAAAGCCCAGCCCCGCCATGCCAAACACCGTGCCCGCTGCACTGGCTGCCGGGCCGAACAGCATCCACCTGATGGCACGGGCGGGAGAGAAGGAGAGGGTAGGACTTGGGGTGAGAGGAGAGGTGGGAGTGTGGGAAAGATGGGAGCGTTGCCAGGCGGGAAAGGGCATCCCACTCTCTGTGGTAACCCTATCCCCACTCACACCTCACCACCGCTTTTCACACCTTACAACAGCTCCTCAGACACTTCCAGCCTCACCAGGGTTCTTTCTCCACGACAGCAGGCTGCGGGCCCACGCCCTTGAGCCACTCCTGCACGTTCACATACACATACGCGCCCGCCGCTATGGGCAGCACGGTGAGCACCACCATGGTGGCCACCTCCACCACCGTGCTCTGGGTCGCCGCCGCCACCACCCCCGCCCTCCACCGCCTCAACCTCTCCTCCGTCCGCGCCTTGCTGCTCATCCCCTCCCTCTCCCCCTCTCCCTCTCCCCTCCTTCCCCCTCTCCGCTTCCTGAACCTTCTCCCCCGCGCGTCCACCCCCCACCGTCCCCTGTCCGCCTCCTGGCGCTGCCGCTCCCGCTCCAGGAGCACGTCGCGCGCGTACTCGTTATAGAGTCGCGAGAGCTGCGGGTCCTGGCTGACGGCCTGGCGCAGCTCGCCCCACTCGTCCTCCAGGGACGACCCCTCGATGCCCCCCCGCGACACCTCCTGCAGCAGCGCCATCTCCACCACTGCGCGCTCTAGCACCTTCCGCTCCGCCCCACCTGCTTCCGCATCCGAGGAGGAGGCGAGCGGGGAAGGGGAAGGGGACGGGGTAGCAGAAGTAGCACTCGAGGCGGCGGAATCGCCTGCGTACAGCTCAGTTCGATTCACGAAGGGCCCTCGTGTGTACTTGGACCTTAAAGCTGTACTTTCATCGCTGCTACTGCCACTTCCTTCACTGTCACTCGGGGCGCTGCTGCTACCGACGCTGCCGAACCCGTTGTCCCCTGCATTATGGTCTCTCTTTGCAGAACTTCTGCGCTTCAGCCTACTCGCTGCACGCGCCACGGCCAAATCCTCCCTCCTCCGACTCTCGCGCTCCTCTCCGCCAATCCCATTCGCCCCTCCGCCTCCATCCCCCCATTCTTCCCCCAGTTCCGCGCGCCCCCGCGGATTCGCAGCGGAAGCAACGCCTAGTCCCAGCAGCGAGAGTACGTTTTCCAGTGCCTGCAGCTGCTCCTGAAGCTGCGCCTGCAGCTGCGCCTGCGCCTGCTGCAGCTGAGCCCCCATGCCTTCCACGGCCTGTGCGCCATTCCCACTCTCCCCTCCCGTCTCCCCAGTCGCTCCTCTCACTGCCGCTGCGGCATCACCAGGTGCAGCCGCAACCGCCACTGTTCCGCTCGTCGCTGCGACCGCTGCTTCCGCTTTGGGAAGGCTCTTCTCGCTGCTGCTGCTGCTCGAGGCGACAGATGTGTCAGGATACGCCGTCACGCCGTTGGATATGCTATCGGATGTGATGCCAGTGACCGCAGGTGATGGCATTCCAGGGTTTCTTGGCCTCGCGGATGTTGGGATCTGTGCATCCGCTGCAGGATTTGCTGAGGATTCCGCTCTGTACGATTCAGATTGTACCGGTTGGTCGGACTGATGCGCGGAGGACCAGTCCTTCGCCAGCGATAATTGCGACGGTTGCGACGTCTCGAGCGGCCTCTCGGGATGGCCTGCGACGGGCTGCGACGAAACCTCATCGTGGGGTACGTCAAAACGCTCGGCACCGCCAGCAGCTGGCGCGTTGGCTTCTGGAATGGAAGCACCGTGGTCACTAACGTCCAGATGTGGTGATTCTGCGGCTTGCGGCATAGGTTGTGTCTCTAAAGACGCCACATCAGGGGGGGGTGCGGGTTCGTCGCTCGACGAGTCGTCGCTCAGCTCCGGGCTCAACGCTGAGACATCGTCGACACCCCTCGACCTGCATAGCGACAGCGGTGACGGCCGATGCTTGATACATGTCAGTCGTGTATCTACGGATGAGGGAACTGGGGGAATGTACAGCCTCCTGCCTGGTTTGTGGTCTGAATGTCTGACAGAGGCCCGGACGATAACTCTTACATGGGATGTGGATAAGTATGAATGAGGCGCGGACAATGCGACCGTCGGAGCCATCAGGTAACGGGGATAGTGAGCTACTTCCTGCAGGAACTGCTCATTCTCTGGAGCACCTAGACTTGCCTGTGATGACAACAAGCTGCGACTGAAGCACTTGAATCTGAAGTATTCTGGGATCAAGGGTCTACCTAGTGATGGAATGTGGTGGCCCAAGCCAGCCGACATGGTTTGGTGTCTAGTCTGGAGCTAAGGGCGTGGAACATACAGTTCTTCTCTTTGGATACCGGAACTGAGTTCCGGAACATACTGTTCTCTGTTCCAGCAACACAAAACAGAGAACAACGCTGGAATATCCTGTTCCGAAACCCATCGCTGTTTGGATTTGCCACCTGGTACCTCCGTTCGAAAATTCAAACTGCTACAGTGTTTGCGAAGCACATGACGAACAGTCTGTATCTTCCGTAACGTCGTCCATCTCCCCCGCAGCCGTACTTCAAGGACATTGTGGTCGCAGGCATTTGGGTTGTTCGTTTCGCATGTGCTGCCGTTGGGGGTGCGACGCTGGTTCTTTCGCGGGTTTCGTGAGGCGCATGGGGTGACAGACAAGACAGCTCGTCGATTTCGTCGGGCGGCATATCCATCACTTTTTTGGAATGGGGGGTAGGCCGTTCGGACAACTGTTGGGTCTGGCCGTTCGGACAGTCTTGACCCCCCGCCAACTGTGTTTACTGTTCCCCTCGCGACAGTATTCAAGAAACGTCTCTCGAGATCTGACGAAATTCGTAACCCGAAAATGTCCGGACAGCTGCCAATTCCGGAACCGTAAGTTTCCACGCCCTAAGGGCGTGGTACGTACGATCACGACTCCCTATCACGAGGTGACTGGAGCAGACTGTACCACGCGAAAAATGCCAAAACCGCTCTCTAAATTACTGTACCATTCTGAGCGTTCGAACGGTGCCCCATTCGTGATCGTATGTACCACGCCATGTCGCACGATGTCTACTTGGAATGGAATTTGGAGATGGAATCTTGGAAGAAGGTTGAAGCAGGGGGCTCAGTATGAAAGTTGGGCAAGCACGCGAAGTGATGCAACATGGCGAGGAAGAAGAGTACAGAATAACACCGGTTTCAGTGTTCACTTGATGATTCAATATTATCCCAGTTTCTGTGGCTGAAAACGCGTACACAATGTTTCTCTTCAGGTGGCGTTGGCTTGAAGCAAGAGGTTGGCATTTCCTTGCTCCCGTCAGCCTTGGGGGTGTCGAATTTACCTCGCAACTCATGATGGGACTTCAACTAACTGTTGCGACCAGCTGGGCCGACGTCAGCAACCAACAGAGCCATGGACGGAAACCGTGACGTTTCCATTCTGAGGCGCCACTTAGCTAATTCCCGTTTGCTGTTCCACCCACAACCTGCACTAGTAAGCTCGGTTAGCCAGCACTTCAGTCGAATCGAAACGCCAGAGCCAGATTAGCGATACCACGTCAGACTTGTCTGGCGGCCTGACGTGGAATTGAGAGGCTGGCATAGGGATTGGCGCACACGGTAGCGGACCGCGGCATGCATGTCTGCTTCCCCCAAACTTCACCAGCTGCAGAGTGAAATTCTCAAGAACAACTTCCTGGTCGCCTTCTCCATGGTGCTCGGGAGACTTTCGATTCCAGCCAGGAATTTGAAGACGTTGGTTTGTCTTTAGGTATGCCCTGACTCCTTGCCGTTACCCCAAGATTAGCTCTTAGTTTTTGTACTTCCTACACTAAGCCGGAGATTAGGTGCCTGAGGCTAGGGGTGCGATGGTACTTTGCGGATTCCCTACGTATGTGAGCAAGACGTTGTGCAAGGCAAGCTGATGCTTAGCGTTGGTTGCGGAAGCCGCCCTTTATTTTTCCCCTTCCTCCTCAGCAGCAATGCCTAGTCGCATACTATTTGACCGTACAAGCCACACTTCTGCTCTTTCGCAGACCTATCGCCGAATACAATCCGAAGTGGCTGCTGAATGGCCACTGTTTAAGGAGAAGTGGACGATAATTGTCTCTGGTATACTTTTTCAGGCACGTATGTGTATGCTCTTTGAATAACCTGGCGTTGCAGCAAAGAGGACCGTTGACCATGCGATTCTGTTACGTATATGCAGTTTATCCACGGGTTTTTAACTCGAACAGCTCATTTCCTCCACGCTCCTCGCCCTCTGTTACACGATGTTGGCTTCGAACTCGTCCCCGTGAGTACCTTCTTCTTTGTCGATCCCATTCTTGGGAAAGCCGCTTCCGTATTTCAAGCTGGATGTCATATGAATCTCCACAGCGTTCCTCGAGCTGCCTATCTTTTACATTCCTCACATCCTCTCTTTACATGGCAGGAGATTGGTCCTGAAAATTTCTTCATCAGTGAATACCTCTTCTTCGCTATCTTCATTCCTTGCTGCATTGTAAGACCTTAAGAATGGATTGCACTGGCTCTGTCAGATGACCTTAAGAATGGATTGTCTGATGACTTGTGCTTTCTATTGAGCAATCTTGCTTGCGGGCCATTGTATCCTAACTCTCCAATCAGAACATGGACTTTCTTGATGTCAATTGTCATATATTTCCCTTTGCTTCAGTGGACATTCCATCCCTTCGTGTGCACTAAGAAGCAATTTTACACCGTGCTACTGTGGTGCAAGGTTCTTACGGTTTTTGTGGTAAGCATTTTCCACGTCTAAAACGTTATGTCCGCATGAGCTACGCTTGTCATGGAGCCTCGAAGTCTATTCTGTTTTGTTCTCCCCAGTGATGCCTGATAACGACCCTATGGTGATTTATGGAAAATTTACTTGTCTTCACAGATCTGCCAGACTCTTCGAGTGTTGTCCTTCACGGCAACGCAACTACCTGGTCCTGCACCTCATTGTAGACAGGTAATCAAGCATTAGTTCCTGTCTCGCACAGTCTGAAAAAAGTCGTCTCTCTGACACACCCGGTCTTCATGAATTTGCAGGGATCTCCCACCGCCATCCTCAAGTACACTGGACTTCATGATGTACTGCACCTCAATGGTGGGCAAAGTAGTGTTACTAGCGTGCTTGTAGCAGAATATGTAACCATGAGGCCTGCATCGGGGATTTTTCAGACCATTTTTCCTGTTCTTGGAAGTCTCTGTTTGAATGGTCAGGATGTAACCACAACTGTATGCTTGTTGCCTGTGGTTTCGTGCAGCTATGCATGGGTGTGGTGACCTCATCTTTTCCTCCCACATGACATTCATCCTCACTGTTGTCATCACCTACTCCCGATATGGAACCAATCTGTGAGACAAACCCATTCAGCATCAAACATTTCTGTTGTGTCTAATCTTGGCTGGCGAGAAATGGCTTTCTCATCTGTTTCTGTGTTGACTTAATGCACAGCTTCTTCAAGCATCTGTCATGGTTACTGTCTGGAGTTATGTCAGTCTTAATAGTTGCTTCACGCAAGCATTATACGGTGGATGTTGTCATCGCATGGTAAGACTGACAATGTATGGAAGCAGCCACGTTTTGGGTTAATTGTGCTCTGAGCTAACACTCGTTCATACCTCCATTTGCAGGTATGTTGTACCCCTAGTCTATTTCTTTGTCGAGCACAAGCTGGAGGACTGTGGTAAGTAAAGGGGTCTAGTGTTTTATTGTACTGTGCGGAGATTCACGAGGCTAGAAAATGGTGTCTGATTGTGACTTTCCCAGAACCTTTTGCAGTTGGCCCACGAGACCTGCTTGAGCGTAGCCTTTGCGACAAGGTCCTACCACTCCATGCCTCACCCTTCCACTTGTCATCTCAAGTGCAAACTCCTTTCGAAGCTCGGATCTCCAAGCACCATGCTTATAATCCTGTTGACCAAGACTTTCTCGCACGATGGACTCATGGCCTGAAGAAAGTTCGGGAAGTGATTCGTTTTCAAGCGGACAACTTGCCTGATGAGGTATGCATTTGCTCTCCACCCCTCCCTCCCCTCGCTTTTGCCTCATTTCTTTCGCGTTGTGAGCTAACTCGCCTTCCCTTCCGCCCTACAGGGACATGAGCCATTGAAAACCAAGCCAGTACTGGGGTTGGAGCTTTTATGAGTGCAGCGGCGCTGAGCTGCTGATTTTACTAACCTAGCAGCCGCTCACACTAACAGGGAGGCGATAATGTCTGTGGCAACGAGGTTTTTGTAACAAGTCATGTATGATAGTATGTGTTAATGCATGTGATGGCCTTGTAAACCTCTATTTATGACATACGAGTGTTAGTCTAGCATATGCTAGTCAAACGTGCACTACCCAGGACGAGAAGAGATGCTTTATCTTTATTGACAAGCCTCTCGAGTGGATAAATTGCAAGGTACATGAAAAATCAGAGAAGTCCTGTCCTGTGGCAGGTATACCCGCACCTATGCGCATGTAAGGTGAAACGTCAGGCTCTTCACTAGAACCTCGCAAACAGGAATGATAGGTACACAGTATCATTAATGGAGTACCGGTATATGCATGAAAAGCCATCATGTCTTCGTTTTGCGCATAAGGCCCACCCACATGTAGGCAGCCCAGGAGGTGACAGTGGTGGCAGCAACCGAGTAGCTGCAACCGGAAGCACGTAGTAGCAACATGACGAGAGCAGGGGCGGTTTGGATGAATACAAGTGGGATGCATATGGGGAGATACGAGGTGCAGAAGAAGTATGTGGGAGTAGTTTATGAAGAGGATATCACACTTAAGTGAATCGGGCAGAGGGGGAGAGGACCGGAGTGGAGAGATAGGGTACCAGAGGTATTGAAGGAGGTCTGGAGCGGTGGAGACAAGGTAAGGGTCGTGCAGGAGAGCAACGGGGAGCAGCAGCATCTGTAGACACGTGTTGACCTGCGGACGGGGGGAGGAGTGGGTAGAGGGCAGAAAGGGTTGCAGGAAAAGTGGAATGGTTGTGGGGCAGCAAAGGGAGAGAAGCTGATCAACATCAGGGCTTTGAGCTAAAAGCGAGAGAAGCTGATAAACACGAGGGCGTTGGGCTAAAAGCGAGAGAAGCTGATAAACATGAGGGCTTTGGGCTAAAAGCGAGAGAAGAGGGGTGGACGAAGATATAGAACGGGAGGCCAGGCAGCGTTGGGAGCTGAGAATTGAAAAATGGGCAAAACATGGGTCGCGAACGTTACGAAGAATACTATACATTGTGGCAATACCCCACCCTGCAAACAATACGACTTCCAAATAATGTACCTTGCTTATAAGGAGGGGTTCAACCCTCTCAGCTGTGCCCTTCTGTATGTTGAAGAAGTGTGAGCGATGCTGCCACCACTGCAGGGATAGTGGGAAATAGCAATAGACCGGTGTGGATTTTAACTTAAAAAAGAAAAAAAAAAAAAAAAAAAAAAAAAGCGAGCAATGGTGCCATGATTGGATGAGTTGCAGGAAAGAGCAGCAGGTTAACAAAAGAAGAAATAAAGAAGCAAGATGCATCAGCAAAAAGGCAGACACAAGCAGTGGCTTGGCACAACACAAGCTGTGGGTCGGCACAACACAAGCCGTGGGTCGGCACAACACAAGCCGTGGGTCGGCACAACACAAGCCGTGGGTCGGCAGAGACCCTCACCTTCCACTGCACCTCGTTCAGCCGCATTGCCACATGCCCTCCGAACAAGAACACGTCTCGCGCCACCACCAGCACTGCTAACCACGGCGGCAGCAGCCCCTTGACCAGCAGCGCCACCGACACAGAGGCCACGAGAGCCTTGTCGGCTAACGGGTCGAGGTAGGAACCCAGTACAGAATCTCCGCCCTTGAATCGCCGAGCCAAGTAGCCATCGAGCTGTAGGGGAAGGAGGGTAGGGCGATGGGACGGTGGGAAGGGTGTTGACTGGCAGAGCCAAGGACACACACAAGCACCAGAGCCCTGGCTGCTAGAGGGTCGAGGAAGCAGGTCAACGTAGCAGCATTCGATGCCAGAAGCAACAGGCTTTTGAGTGGCAATAGGTCGTTCAGCATAAGCAGCCTCGTTAAGAGCGAAGGCCTTACCCAGTCAGAAGCCCCGGCCAGTAGCAGAGCCGCGACTGCAGCTTCTTTGTGATCGTAGATGATGAGACTGTAATGAGGGGGGGAGGGGGGAGGAACGGGTGTAAACGAAATGGAAAAGAGGGGGATGGGGGAGAGGAGAGGAGGGGGGGGGGGGGGAAATCAAGGAGAATGAGGCCGAGAGGAGGAAGAATACTGCAGTCAAGGGGGGCATGGGCCAGGGGGCGCAGGAGGTAGAGTTATGTGAGAGGCCAAGGGGCATGGGGCAAGGGGCAGCGGAGCATGGGGCAAGGGGCAGCGGAGCATGGGGCAAGGGGCAGCGGAGCATGGGGCAAGGGGCAGCGGAGCATGGGGCAAGGGGCAGCGGAGCATGGGGCAAGGGGCAGCGGAGCATGGGGCAAGGGGCAGCGGAGCATGGGGCAAGGGGCAGCGGAGCATGGGGGTGAGGGGAACAATGGGTCGGGAGAGGAACAGGGTGGGTTGGCAGCATGCCTTACGCGGCTATGGGAGGGCCGGAGGCGAGTCTTGCCAAGGACACCAGATTGGCGGGCTGAAGCACCTCCCTCTCCCTCCAACTCCTCTTACCGCTGCTGCCCTTAGTGCTGCTGCTGCTGCTGTTGACATCGGACGTCTCACTACTCGCGGTCCTGCTAGAGTGTATAAAACGCCCGTCTACATGCAATCTGTGGATACGACGTCTATCAATATAAGACTGCCACGTATACCGCCGACCCATGTCGCATCTATGAGTGTAGTGTCTATAGCCATGCTGCCTATGGGCATGCCGTCTGTGCATACTGCATGCATGCATATGCTGTCTGTGCATACTGCATGTATACACATGCCATCTGTGCATGCTGCATGCATGCACATGCCGTCTATGAGCCACAGACGCTCCGTACCTCCAGTCCTGCAGAAATGCCCCACGTTTTCTGCTCTCCAGTATCCATCCCAAGCCATCCTTTCCTCCTCTACCCCCATTCGCATAAACCCTGAACCCGGAAGCCCTCTCCTTACCACCCGACGTTTCTCTCTCTCTTCGTCCTCCATCCACCGTACTGCACCGTTCAGAACCCACCACAGCCCGCTCTGTTCCGTTTTCGCCCTGGTCTGCGACAGGCGTACATCTATTAGGCGCCCTGATTGGTCCGTCAGCTACAGTACTCCGTCCGTCAGCTACAGTGCGCAGTCCGTCATCTGCAGCCGCCCATCCGCTAGAAACACCGGAGCAGGGGCGGGGAGCGCAGGGGGAAGCAGCGGCACGGGGGAAACCATCGGACCAGGGGGAATCCGGAGGTTTGGTCCCAGAGGCGCGCGCGGCAGCGGCGGCGCAAAGCGAGTAAGCGGGCGCTGTCCAGGCGGGCGCAGGGAGGGCGGAGGCGGTTGGGGGAACAGATGGATCGGGGAGCGCGGGGGCGGCGGGAAGACCAAGTGAGGAGGCCGGGAGAGCAGCTGCGCCTACGGGACAGGGGAAGGCGCGATGCCCCGCCGCCGCTGCCTGCGCGCGGAAAAATCTCGAGGTCACGGTCCGCGCTTCCGCTGCGGCGGCGGAAGGCGGCGTCCGCAAGACCGGAGAGAGTTCGGGTGCGCGTGGGGAGCGGGCCGCGAGCGACTGGACAAGGGCGGCGGGACGCGACGGATCGAAGGCGCGATTGGTGGTACCCGGGGTGAGGCGCGGCCACAGCCGTTCGATCTGACGGGCGATGATTGCTCTCGATCGCATGGCGGATGAAATGGTAGGGGCTCAATAATAGCAGGCCCAAAGGCGGTTAGGCAGATGCTGTGCTGGAGCCCCGTGAATTCACTGTGGGGTGCGTGGCGTGATGGCCTAATGCGGGCGAGGGCACCGCAACGCGCTATGTGAAGCCTCGTTACGGATATGCACCTCCCAGTGTACTCGTCAGCTAACCAAAAGGAAATCGAGATACTAGCATTGTCAAGCTTCTGTTGCGTAACCACACAAGGCTACCACAAAGCAGAATCGGGCCTGTTGGGCTGAGAAAAGCCCTTAGGATCTTTTGCAGAGACTAAGTCCAGCTGTAGAGACTTGAGGCTTGGAGTAGTGCAGCGGAAGTTGAGGCAGTTGAACCCTTGTACTAGTATGTGAGAACAAGTGATTAATAAAAAAGGCAAACATACAGCAATATATAGAAGATAAGGAACAGTTGTAGAGTACAGTTGCAGTAGCGGTTTATCGAGTCGTACAGCGACTCGATTGTCGCTTCGGTTACCATCCGTGCTGTTGTAACGGTCAGTCGCAACCTCCAGTTGCGACCCTTTGAGTCCCAAACCCTTCGTGTTCTTTGTCCGCCCCCTCGTGTAACCTCCGTTGACTCGCGTACCGTTTGCAATCTTCCTCGAGTGTAGTGTTACACTTCAGAAACGCTTAAGTCTTTTGATGTACTTTCAACACTCCCCTTCGTTTCTGGAGTGCTGACTTGTTCAGGTCCGATGACGTTTGTTTGTCCGGTCAGCAACATGCAGTAGTCGAATTTTGCTTTTGCCAATTTCTTCGTCAAATAGTCTGCGGCCATTTCTGTCGTCGGGCAGTAACTGAGTTGAAGTCTCCCTTTCGCGATTTCATCTTTGACGAAGAAGTACCGCAGGGCGATGTGTTTGGTTCGGTTGGCGAAGCCGTCCTTGTTTGCGATTTTGATCGCAGATTGGTTGTCGCAGAAGAGTGAGAAGGCGGGCAGGGTCGTGATCTTCGCTTCCTCGAGTAACTCTCGCAGGTAGAGTCCTTCCTTGGTCGCAGTACAAAGGGCGATGTACTCTGCTTCAGCCGAGGATAGTGCGATTAACTCCTGCTTGCTCGACTGCCAGGAGATAGTTCCGATGGGTTCTAGTCGGTAGATGTAGCCCGTCCTAGATCGTCGATTTTCCCTGTCTCCCGCGTGGTCGGCGTCGACGTATCCGAGTAGTTGTACGGACGGTGTTGTCGCTTTGCTGTAGGTAAGTCCGATCGTCGGCGTGGAGACGAAGTAGAGTAGTGCCCGGTTGAGTTCCTCGAGATCTTCCTGTTCCGGTTGCTTCAGATGCGTCGCTAGTTGACTCGCACTATAGGACAGGTCGGGTCGGCAGGTGACTGCTGCGAATAGTAGGCAACCGAGCTTCTGTTGATACTCCTGGATTTGCTTCGCGGGGAGTTTTGCGGAGGCGCTGTTGTTGTTTCCGTAGCGGTAGGGAGTCGGGACCGTAGTCGGCGTCAGTCCGAATTTCTTCGCGATAGTGCCTGCGTACTTTCCAGCGTGTAGGTAGAACGCCGAGTTGTCTTCGACGACATTTAGTCCCAAGTACTGGGTCACTGAGTCGGACACCGTGAGCGTCAGGTCCCCTTTCAGCTCCCCTTCGAACCAGGTGACGATGTCGGTGGTAGAACCGATGTAGAGCAGGTCGTCGACGTAGACTATGAGCAGAATGTAATCTCTTCCCTTCTGCAGTCGGTACATGCCTTGGTCATGTGGTAACTGTAGGAATCCGATTTTTACGAGCCGGCCGTGAAGGTGCTGCTGCCAGAGCCGTGGGGCTTGCTTGATCCCGTAAAGGGATTTTTCCAGCTGGCATACTTTTGAAGGGTCGTCGATGAATCCGTGGGGTTGTTCGACGAAGATTTCGGCGTCCACAGGTGCGTACAAGAAGGCGTTTGCGACGTCAATTTGCCGTAGTGGTAGTTTCTTCGTGGCCGCGACGGCGAGTAGGATGCGCAGGGAGGTGTGACGGGAGACTGGGGCGAAGGTTTCTGTGTAGTCGGTTCCGTATCGTTGGTCGAAGCCTCGTACGACCCATCGCGCTTTAAAACGTTCGATGGAGCCGTCCGCGTTGGTCTTAATGCGGTACACCCATTTCCCCGAGAGAATGTTCCTCCCGTTGGTGTTGGTTGTTGGTACTAACTTCCATGTATTCCGGTCTTGGAGGGCTTTTAACTCTTTTTTCATTGCTTCCTTCCATTCCGCCTTATGTTCCCCCCCCAGAGCCTGCGACAGGGTCGATGGCTCGCGCGGAGAAGGCGGCGGCGGGTGCTGAACGGAGACCCATAGTCCTAGGATCTGCAGTCCCGTGGCTGTGTGTCGAGGGGAATTTTCATTCCCGGGATAAGCTGCTTCATCACCGTCTTCAGGATCGGGTAAGAAGTTTGGCCCGATGCGTTCGGAAATATTCGAGTCGACGGGGTGTGGTGTAGCGTAGCCTTGGTCAGCGAAGTGGTAAAAGGTGTCGAGGTTGTTGCTATCGAGGGGATTATCTTCATCGAGTGGAACAGGTACGGAGCAGTAGGGGAGTTGTCCGGCAACCTCCGAGGCTCCAGGGACGTCTTCTTCTGCTGCGTCAGCCTCGGCAGCATGGTCAGCGAAGGAGCGAAGGCCCGCGAAGCCGTCGGTGGGGTCGTCTGAGTTGGCAATGTTGTCCAGGTAATGCTGCAGCGTCAGTCGCTCGTAGAAGATAACATCACGTGATGCCACCGTATTTTTGTCTTGTATGTCGAGAATCTTCCACGCGTGAAAATGTTTGGCGATGCCGAGGTGTAGTCCCCACCGAGCTCGTTGAGTGAAGCGTCCTGCTCGAGCTGTGTGGGGTCTGTATTGTACCATGCAGCCGAAAACTCGAAGTAATTTTGTGCTGCCCCTTTTTCCCGTCCACAGCAGGTGTGGTGATGCGTTGTTGGGGAGCGATGACGAGGACAACAGGTTGTGCAGGTGGACTGCATGTGTCATCGCGTCTGGCCACAGTGTGGTGGGCAGTTTCATTCCCAGGAGCAGCTTTCGCATCGTCGTCTGCAAGGTCCGGTTCATGCGTTCTGCGACCCCCTGCTGCTGGTGAGCGTATGACATGAAACTGAAGAATCTCTCCATGAGATTCGGGTCCACACTTGAAGAGGGAGACAGAGTCACCATCTCCGGTGCTCTTCCCGTTGTTTCTTGAGCAGTCCCGGTCTCTGTCTGCAGTCCTGAGGTGTGCAGACCAGAGTTGCCGTGTTGAGTTTCTTGGGCGCTGGGTGAGCCCGTAGAGACTTTCTTGCCCTTGTTGTCCATGTCTTGTAATTAATGGAGTTGTTGAATCAAGTCGAGTTGCTGGTTGTTGATGGAGTGTAGTTGCTGGGAGTTTGGTCTCTGACCAGCTCTCATACCATGTTGGGCTGAGAAAAGCCCTTAGGATCTTTTGCAGAGACTAAGTCCAGCTGTAGAGACTTGAGGCTTGGAGTAGTGCAGCGGAAGTTGAGGCAGTTGAACCCTTGTACTAGTATGTGAGAACAAGTGATTAATAAAAAAGGCAAACATACAGCAATATATAGAAGATAAGGAACAGTTGTAGAGTACAGTTGCAGTAGCGGTTTATCGAGTCGTACAGCGACTCGATTGTCGCTTCGGTTACCATCCGTGCTGTTGTAACGGTCAGTCGCAACCTCCAGTTGCGACCCTTTGAGTCCCAAACCCTTCGTGTTCTTTGTCCGCCCCCTCGTGTAACCTCCGTTGACTCGCGTACCGTTTGCAATCTTCCTCGAGTGTAGTGTTACACTTCAGAAACGCTCAAGTCTTTTGATGTACTTTCAACAGGGCCTGCAAAGCAAAGGCCTAGATGGTGCACATAACCACAATATGGTACTAGCGTTTGCGATCCTGCGCGCAGTTATGCTGAGGAACATCGACACACCAGTGTCACCAAGGCGCGCCACCACTGTCACCACTGTCAGCACTGTCAGCACTGCCACCACTGTCACCACTGTCACCACTGCCACCACTGTCACCACTGTCACCACTGTCACCACTGCCACCACTGTCACCACTGTCACCACTGTCACCACTGTCACCACTGTCACCACTGTCACCACTGTCACCACTGTCACCACTGTCACCACTGTCACCACTGTCACCACTGTCACCACTCTCACCACTGTCACCACTGTCACCACTGTCACCACTGTCACCACTGTCACCACTCTCACCACTGTCACCACTCTCACCACTGTCACCACTGTCACCAAGGCGTGCCATTCATGCCCTGAGTAGAGAGACAGAGGAACAAGAAATAACACCACACAGAATAGAAGGTAGGTTGATTGAACGAAAACTTGGTCTCTTCATTGGCCAAGATGGATGGCGAGTGGCAAAAGAACATGCCGAACTAGCACAGGCACATACATATGGTTACACGCCCCGACAATACCTGCACAAACTCCAGAGGCGGCCAGCACACACTCCAGTAGGTGTGACATCACGCCATACCACCACAGCATCCCACCATGCCATGCCGCCATGCCACCATGGCATCATGCCATCATGCCACCACGACATACCACCATGCCATCCCACCATGCCATGCCACCATGACATGCCACCAAGCCATCATGCCATCCCATCACACCATCCCATCACACCATGCATCACACCATGCCATCCGACCATCCCACCAAACCATGCCATCCCATCCCACCACACCATGCCATCCGACCATCCCACCACACCATGCCATCCCATCCCACCACAGCATGCCATCCCACCATCACACCATGCCACCACACCATACCACGTCATCTCACCTGCCCGAGGAAGCTGCGCTTGTCATGCCCCGCCCAACCTCCACTGGCCTGCTGTTCGCCCTCCCCTGCCGGCAGCAGCGCAAACCCCAGCCGAGCATGCCGCGATTCCCCCAACCCTGATGCCCCCACCCCACCCGGGCCCACTGCCGACCCCGTCTGCCCCATTCCCAGGCCGCTCCTACGCCCTCCTGGGGCGCCCTGCTCCAGGCCTGCATTCTGGGGAAAAGCCGAGCCGCCTAGAGTTGTCTGCCAGAGGTCTAGGGGCGGGGGCTGGTTGAGACGGGGAGGGAAGTGCTGCTGCTGCTGGGGTGAAGGGGATGTGTGGTTCTGTGGCAGTGCATGCATGTGCGCCTGATGCAAATGGTGCTGTTGCGGTTGCTGCATGTGCAAGAGCAGTTGCTGCTGCTGCTGCTGCTGGAGGTTCTGCTGCTGGTGCTGGTGCTGGTGTTGTTGATGTTGCTGTTGCTGTTGCTGTTGCTGTTGCTGCTGCTGCTGCTGCTGCTGCTGCTGCTGCTGCTGCTGCTGCTGCTGCTGCTGCTGCTGCTGCTGCTGCTGCTGGTGGAAGGACATCAAATGAGCAGAGGCCCCATCCCCTTGCCCCATGTCCCTAAAACCACTCCCCCCCACCATCCGCTGCGTCTGCTGCTGCTCTCTCAACCCAAAACCAGCCAAGCTAACACCCGGTAACCGCTCTCCACCACTCCACCCACCACTTCCACCTGACAGAAACCCTGATCCCGCCCTGGTGGAACCGAGCCCAGGGGGCAGGCCAGTGAAGGGCACATGCGAGCCCTGCCCCGTGGCGTTTGGCACGGTGGGCACCATGCGAGAGAGCCCCGACAGACCAGACAGGCCGCCAAACGAAGGCAAGCCCGATCCTTTCCCTGCCATACCTCCCAGATCCAGCCCCACCCTGCCGCCCCCCACCCTGCCAGACGGGACAGCAGACCAGCCTGTTCCTCCTGCTGCCTGTGCTGAGAACCCTAGGCCTGAGCCGCCACCCATGCGTGCAGGGTCCAGGGCAGATGAAGGGTCAGCAAAAGGGCGAGACTCCTGGGGCTGGCCAGCCAGGGAGGGTAGGTTGCTGGATGGGTGCAGGCCTGCCGCGGTCCCTAACCCTAACCCTAACCCTAACCCTGAACTGTCGTCTGGAGCTCCCGAGGTGCTGAAAAGCATTCCCTTCGAAGCAGCGGACGGGCCGTTGGGTGCGCCCAGGAAGGCCCGCAGAGAATCCGATTCCTGCCGTAAGTGGTCCGAGGGGGGTCCGGTGGAAGGGGAGGAGTGTGGGTGCTGTGAGAGAGGATGGTCAAAGGCGGACAGACCAGGGTACAGCCGTGGCTGCGTGGAAGCTCCTGGGCCGTTCATAAAGGGCCCATCGCCCAGGGGGGCTCTTATGCCAGCTGAAGGGTGAGGGTCTCCAGAAGAGAGGGGATTGGGCGAGGGCGAGTGCAAGGCCAGGGAGGAGAAATGGAGGGGTGGACCCCCGGAGAAAGGCTGCTGCTGCACGGGCCCTGAGCCCAGACCCAGCTGCTGCTGCTGCTGCTGATACTGCTGGTGCTGATGATAGTGCTGCTGCTGCGCCTGGGGCTGCATCAACTGCGGCTCTATATAACTTTTTGACAGTGCAAAGGGATGTACCGACTGCTGCTGTTGCTGCTGCTGCTGCTGCTGCTGGGCCCCCAGAGACAGCCCTTTCAGAATATTCACCAAGTGGGAGGACGCATCAGCGTTGTCCATGGCAGGGGCCGGACTCCGGTTGCCAATGCCGCTGCCAACACTGCTTCCCACGCCTAGCCCAATCCCCTCTGCGGGCCTGCATAGGCTAGCAGCGGCTCCCATGAAAAGCGAGCTGAGCACGTTCCTGTCCTGGGAAGAAGCAGCATTGGACACGCGCACCCCTCCCAGCGAGGATGAGCCAGCATCGCGCAGCAGGGCATCCCTCCCCACTGCCATGATCGCTGGATCCACAAACTCCAAGTCAAGCGAGCTAGCCACTTCTGCTTCAGCACCCCCTGCTTCGGGCACTCCACCCAAGCCAGGAAAGAGAGAGGAAAGCCCGTTCTGTGGGCCAGCCAAGCCACGCCCCTCCCTGCCATCCACAGGCGAGTCGACTGCATCTGCTGCCTCCCGCTCCCTAATCGGCGGCAAACCATTCCTCGAAGCAAAGACTGAGATGCCTGTTCCTTCGACTGCTGCAGAAGCACCTGGATCCAGCGCTGTACCCATGCTTGCATCTGCTCCCACGCCTGGTTTCACAGCTGCGCCGTTCACCCCTGCACCTGGGTTCACTGTGACGCCTATCCGCATGAGTAGCTCTGCCATGGGCCCCATCTCACTGGCTCCAGCCTCCATGCCTGCTGCTTCCCCACCCGCTTCCCCACCCAAGCTCAAATTCTCGCCCCTGTTCTCCCTTGATGGGTCAGGGGACGGGGTTGACGTGACGGCCATGTGTTGGGTGGAGTTGGCGAGTGTTGGGTGCTGTGAGATCACTGCAGGGGATGCGCGGCCTGAGGCTGGTGGAGAACATTGTGGGGCACGCAGTCAAAGTTCACACACATGAGTACACAGACAGACAAATGCGGGCATACACACACGAGTGGGAAAGCACCAGTACAGGAGAAGCCAACACACATGAGCACAGGGAAGGCCAGGGAGAGCTACTGGGGGAATGAGCGTGGAAAGCTGGGTGACAGCAGGCAGTGAAATGGCAAGAGTCACAATGGGAGGAGAAGGAGTGCCACTAGTCCTTGATATGAAAACGGAAAGGCCAGTATTGTGGCGAACATATTGAGAACACGCTGGACTCACCTGCTGTAGCAGCTTCTAGGGTTGACTCCGAGCCTGACGACTGCCCAGGCTGCTCTGCTGGCAGCACTGCTGATGCCGGTGCGGGAGAGGTCTTGGCAGGGAGAGGGCCAAAGCCTGGCGGGGGTTGCATGGCGCCGCCTGTGAGTTCAAAGAGGAGCACGACACGGATGTAAAGGAGGTGGGGTTGGGGCAGGAAGCGCAAGAAGTGCAGCAGAGCGGGCAGCGGAGGGCCGAACGGACAGGAGAGAGGAAGGGGGAGATGGACAGAGAGGCGCACCTGGTAGTGCTGGGGACGTGCGGCCAAAGCCAGGAGGAACCGAGTCAGGCCTCTTGGCAAAGCCAGGCGGGGGCGCCAGTGTTGACACTGAAGTGGCCCCCGCCCTGAGACTGAAGCTTCGCGAGGAAGTGAGGGTGGAGGGCTGCGAACCCTGAGGCACGTCAGATGCAGCGGCATCGAACGGCTGGGATGAGCTCATGCCAGGGCTAGAACTGTCTGGTGGTGCTTCGGAAGAGGACAACCGGACTGGCCCCACAGAGGCTTCTGGCTTCCACACCTGCTGCTGCTGCTGCTGCTGCTGCTGCTGCAGGGTATCAGAGTCACCCTTGGAACCCACGTCCCTGCTCCCAAAGCTGCTGCCACCGGGCGAGTCATAAGCTGCGTTTCTCTCACTCCCACCACCACTGATAGTACTGGCAGCAGAGGCAGCTCTCGCGCTGCTGGCGCCACTGTCAGCCCCACCGCTGCCAAGTCCCAAGCCGAAGCCAAGGGAGCCAAACAGGGACCCGTGAAGCCCATCCCCCTGCCCACTGCCATCACCTGCTCCCCCTGCTGCGCCCTCCGCAGATGAACCTCCACCAGTTTCCTCCTGAGCAAAGCGGAAGCGAGATCTCCGCGAGAGGGACGGGGGGATGGCAGGTGCAGGTGCTGGTGCAGGTGCAGGTGCTGGTGCTGGTGCCGGTGCTGGTGCTGCTTCCACTGCTTCCGGGGTTGCGGCAGCAGCACTATCCTTCCCTTCACCCTCTTCTCCTGATACCACTCTTGCCCCTGCCCCTGCTCCCCCTACTCCAGCCCCTGCTCCTGCCCCTGTTCCTGCCCGTGTTCCTGCCCCTGCTCCTGCTCCTGTTCCTGCCCCTGTTCCTGCCTCTGGTGCTGGCAGGGGGTCCTTGAAGCTCCCTCGCAGCAGCTTAGACAGCGCCCCAGAGGAGCCAAAGGCCCCTGTGCCCCACTCGTCCGCGTCCATGTCGAGAATGTCCGCAATCACATGAAACTCGTTCCGCTGCCCCTCCCCATTCGACTCGTTCCGCTGCCCCTCCCCATTCGACTCGTTCCGCTGCCCCTCCCCCTTTGACTCGTTCCGCCCCTTTGACTCGTTCCGCTGCCCTTCCCCGCGCCCCTCGCCTCTCGTTGGCGCTGCAGCTTCGACTAGAGCACCGTGTCTTGCCGGCAGTATGCTCCCGTTCATGCCCTTGGGCGCATCTATGGACTTGCCCGCCTGCTCTCCCATGGCAACTGCCCCACCAGCAGAACCACCCACAGAAGCCCGCTTGGCTTGATCCGGCTCCCCCTCAGCAGCACTCTCTGCGCCCTCGCTATCTTCTGGCAGCTGGATAGCCGATGCTGATGCCACCATGTCGCCAGCAATCAGCACTGAGAGCTCATCCTCGTCTGGAAGACACTCCTCCTCTACCCCTCCCTCCTCCTTCAACCCCTCACCCTCGCCTGCCCCTGTTGATGCCTCTGGCTCCGCATCTAGATCCATATTAGCAGACTCACTCCCTGACTCCTGCGTCTCTTCCTGTCTATCTTCCTCCATGGCTGCGCTGATTACATCTGTTTGCAGCTCTTGACTTAGAGTGGAGCTCTGAGTAACCTCGTCTTTCTTCTTGCTCTCCGCCTTTGAACGTTTGGACGAGGCTGCTTCACGCTTCTCCACCCTTTCAGCCCTCCCCTTCGACTTATCCTTATCAGGTTCCTTCGCTGCTGCCCCCTTTGACTTCTTCTTATCTCCCTCCGCCTGCCCTCTATTCTTACCCTTCTTCTCGCCTTCACTACGGCCACCCACTTTCGCCTTTGTCTTCTCTTCTTCCTCCGAACCAGCCCTCTGCCAATCCCTCTGTCCGGCTGCCCACTCACCTTCCCCGCCCTAGTATCCGCGTCACTCCGCCCCTTCGCCTTATCCCCCTCACAGCCTTCTTTCCCCCTGTCCGATCCCTTCTCTCCTGCACTGCCATCACCGGCTTTCGCTGACCTTTTCAGAGCATCCAGCCGCATGGGATCAAACGCCAGCGCCCTAATCTGCAAAGCTGCCTGCAAACTCGTCTGTAAACTACCCTGCGCACTTGCCTGCGCACCCTCTTTCCTCTCGACCCGCTCCTGACCCACCTCCTGCATCCGCTTCTCCTCCTGCGTCCGCTTCTCCTCCTCGTCCTCCACCCCATGCAGCTCCTCCCAGCTCCGCGAATCGTCCGCCTCAACCATCACTCGCACTACTCCGCTCTCACCCTTCTTCTTCTTGCCTTTCTTCCCGCCACCGCCCTTCCCTGCGCCACTCTCACCACCCTCTGCCTGCTGCGCATGGCCCTTGCCTCCTGCTCTCGGCGCCCCCGTGTTCTCCTTCTCTCCTTCCCGGCCCTCCACGCAGTCTTCCATCGAAACCCGCTTCTTCGATTCCTCGTTTTTGACTGTCTCGCTATTTCTACACGCCTCGTCTTTCGCACCCTTTCTACCTTTCCCTTCCTTCCCACTCTTCTCGCTGCCCCCCTCCTTCGCCCCTTTCCTACTGCCGCTGGCAGCACTAGAGCTCGTGCTGGCATCACCGCACTCCACCCCTTCCATATCCTCAGACCGCGACGCTTTATGAGCATGCATCCCGTTCAAACCCTTCTTCGATCCGCTGCTGCTCGTTGCTGTTGCCCCGCCACCAGCAGCCCGACCTGCCACAGCAGACGCGTAGTCGTGCTCACCTGCTAACCCACCTGACGAACCACCTGATGCGGTACCTGACGCGAGCTGCGCGGGAGTGGGTGATTCCCTGCCTAGCGACGAAGTCTTCGCCTGGGCCGCGTGCCCCAGCACCACCAACCGGGACCTCTGCTTCGACGGCGATTGAGCTTTACCCCGTGCGCTACCCGATGCACCCGAACCACCAGCTGCGGAGCCTAACGAACCGGCCGCACCGGCTGCAGCGACACCAGCTGCTACTCTCTGCTGCGAACCGCCTAAACTAGCTCCAGGTGCTCCTGCTGCTACTGCTGCGGACGACGCTCTTGCAGGCCCCGAGGCGAGGGCTGCCGTTGCTGCTGTTCTGGCGACTGAGGCGGCGGAATTCGACGCTCCCGAGGGCTGGAAACCCACGGTGGTGGACGCTGCGGATCGCACAGGCGCCGCTTGCGACAGCAGGCTGGGCGGCGACTTGCGATGCGCCTGCTTATCCTGCAACGACCCAAACCCTATCCCCGCGCCCGCTGCGCTCTGCGCGGCGTTCACATGTGAGATCACTGGAGGGGAGTGCGCGCTGGCGTGGATTACCCGGCCACTGAGCACCGCTGCGGATGGTTTGAACAATTGTGGGCCGTTGGATGAGGACCATGACGAGGATGTCGTGGGCGTGGATGCAGGGATGGGTTTCGCTGCTGGGACGGATATCGCTGGCGAAACTGTGCTGGTGGTAGCCGGTTTTGACGCGGAAAGGACGACTTTTCCGGCCCTCGAGCCCCTGTGACAGGAGGGAGTGCAAGAAAGATAGCGTGTGAGCGGGAAAACCGGCAGATACTCAGCGAAAGGCCCAAACACGGCGCGAAACCAGCACGCGCAGGTTGTTTCTAAGGGATCATACCACGAGGCGGCTGCGGGGAGCAGGCCTCCAGTCTTGGGCGCCGTTGACGGGCCCAGCGTGAACACCTTGGCTGTCGTCGCCGGGTGGCTCGCTGACGGCACAGCCGAGCTCTGCACACATGCGCAGAGAGACAAGGTTCAGACCAGTGCCAGGCCACTTTAACTGCATGCGCTTTAAGGGGACTTGGGTTCAAAACGAGGTACGAGCCTTGGCAGCCCCAACTGACCTTCTCCAACTGCGTGTCAAGCGACGGCGGCAGCCCGTTGGCGGCACGGCGATTGACAGCATGCGACGGGTCGAAGTACGGAGGGGGGTGCTTGCTGCGCGGGGCACACGCGCAAAAGAGACACAACGACGGCGCGTGAGGGGGCATCAAGACCGCAACACATGCTGAACCAAATGCATCATACATCGGAGACTCACCTGATCCCATGCCTCTGCACCATCTCCTCCTTAGTGTAACTGTCTTCTTGCGTCCCAAACTCGTGGAGGTACAAACAATCCGGGTTGTTGCAGATCTGCCACAATGGAAAACCCAACGCAGAGGTGAGTCAACTTGACCCCTTCCACACCACCCCACACCGCTCCAGGCACCTTCACACCACACCAGACCCTCCTGCAGCGTCGCAGCCAGCATATGCCATACCTTACAATAACCCTAATTCAGAGACTAAACCTACCAGATTCTTCAGCCAGGCGTTGCAGTATTTGGTAGTGCCAAAACACGCCCTGCAAAACCATTCCAAAGAAACGATCAGAACAACGTCTGCGACAGTTCCAACAGCCGGCCGGAGACACCAGGGAGGGGAGGAGTTCAACGTATTCACATGGGCAGCGAACGCACCTCAGAGTTCGATTCTCGAAGAGGCATCCGTCAACGGCCTGGATGCAGCGAAGAGCGTCCTCCTCCCTCAGATACGTCACGTACCTGCCCCCACGGAGAACGAGCACACCATACCATACGACGGATTAGCAAACGAGCAAGTACAGTGGAGTGAAGAGACTGACGGTTTCAGTCACGTACACGTTAGCGGAGGGAGGATGGATGGAGCCGCCGAAAGAGGAGTTCGAGCGAGAGACGGCCACTTTGACGACCTTGCCGTACTGGCCGAAGTAGTCACGCCGCTCGAGAGTCTGCGCGGGAGAGCGAGAAAGAAATCAGGGACAACGTCCGCAGCTGACGTTCCAAAAGCTTACACCGACGCGATTCTACGGGCGAACATTGAGCGTATCGAGGAGAGCAGAAGCAGCCTCTGGTACGACTCAGCACGCTCGTGCTGCGAAAGGACAGCGGAATCCGACGACATAGACGAGGTTCTTCTGAACCACGAGCACGTTTTGAGGCCTAAAAAGAAAAGACGAAGCCTCAGGCCCGGCTGACTGACCTCTTCGTCGGCGACGGAGAGCGGAATCCCGACGACGTAGACGAGGTTCTTCTGAACCACGCGCACGTTGCTCAGATGCCGCCGCCCCTCCGCCGTCGCGTACGCGCTCCTCGGCCGGGATTTCGTCTTGGATCGTTTCTCCGACTCCGTGAAACTGCACCACGAGCCACGAATTGTGAATCATAACGTGTCCGTTGCTGCATCTTTCTAGGAACCTGGCGAGAAAACAATCTCCGCGTGATGCCGATGCGATGAGAGGGAGGGAAGAAGCACGGCGACTTACTCGTCGAGATCGGGACCGTTGGAAGCGACCTTGTCTTTGCTGTAGGGCGACCGGCAGGCTGGACAGCGAGGTTCTAGATGGTCCTTATTGGCCATCTCCATGATGTGGTGCCAGCACCACAGACAAATCTGCGAATCACCATCGCAAGCAACAGATAAGACGGATTAAAATTTCCAGCAAATTAGGTTTCTACTCACGCCTGAAATCCCTCAACTGCTTTGAATAATGGGCAGTTATATGTGCGGAACCTACAGGACCATCCTACAAGCAATCTTAAGCAGACTGAAGAGAGCGGGAAGCACCTGATAGCCGCACTGGCACGGCTGGAACTTCCTGTCTGTCGAATCCATCTCCTCCATACACAAGGGACACGTGTAATCCGTGTCGTCTGAGAAATCCATGGCGAATCTACTCAAATAAAACACTACAAAATTGGGTTCTCTAAGAACTAAAACAACGCAAGCTTGCTCTGGCAAAAAAATAGGCAGGCTTAGGCGAGGAGATTAAAGACGGAGATTAGGTTTCACGAAGCTAGCAGGTTTGAGTCAAGACTGAACGAAGGGTTTCAGCAGGTTTGAGCAAAGCCCAAGGCAAATCGGGCCTATTGGTGGGCGGTGGATCAGGCAAGGAGGGGAGGGGAGGGAAGGAAAGGGGAAGTACAGAATGCCATGCCATGGCGCCGGTCTGGGGGAGTGCGGTAGCAGCAGGGAGGCGGGTCTGGAGATTCTGGAGAGCGCGGGAGAATTCTGGTCAGAAAGGGAGGTTGGTTGGGAGGACCAGGCTCGGCGCTGGTTTGGCCGCGACAAGTTTGGCTCAGAAGGGATGCCCAGATGTGACCGAGGTTCGGCTCGGCAAATCGTGGAACAGGGGGGGTTCTTGGGAACATCAGCTTTCTTGTCATTCGTGCACGGTCGTCGGCACGCCCTAACCATTTTTCGTCAGTCGCTCGCTGCTCGGCGTCGTCCATGCACCACTGTCGAGGTTTTCACGAAAACGCCCACATGCTGGTTACTCGTCGCAAGTTCTCGTGTCGATTTTCCCATTCTGCCCTGAAAACTCCTGACCCCATGGTTCCCCCCATACCCCAACCATGACCCTCCAGCCAGTCAGCCCATTGCCCAATGCCCATTGCCCCCTACCCAACCACGCCAGGTGCATCCATCCCTCACGCATCCTTCCTTCTGCCATCCGTCCGTCCAATCACGGACCAGAAAGGCAACGTTGTGCCACACAGCGGGGTGCCGCGGAACAGTTTTCTTTGTGGCTGGGCGAAGAAGAATGTTACACCAACGTAACGGTTCTTACAATCTAGGCGAGTTCGGCTATATCCTAGATTGTTCTTTCATAGCAGAATCCATCACATCACACCTAGATTTTCTCGTGGTGTTGCTGGTTACTCCCTGCTGTCACGCACATCCCCTCCCTACGCGTTGCACTTCACACTTCCCCCAGCATGACCATCTGCTCATGAAGCTAGCGTGATACGTCGTCCACTTCCGTCGTAACACATTCTGGATAGTATCTTATCATGGCCGCCTAGGTAAAGCGGAACGCCATGCCGTTCAAAGCAGCGTCGACGGATGGCCCCGTTTGCTGCCTGTGCGGGGGCAACAGGCACGGCGAGCCGCCTCCCGACGTAGTCCGGCGAATCACGTACCACGACAGGTCGTCGCGCCCCAGGGAGGCTTCCAGCGCAGCGGGAGCATTCCGGCTTGCAATCTCTGGAAAGGCGCGGAACGGCGGAGATCGCAGACGAGCGGAGGGGCGGAGCGAGCAGGAGGATGGCGGAGGAAGCGGAAAGGGAGCGGCGAGGGGAGCCGGGGCGGAACACGCCGCGGAGGGGGAGTCGCGCGAGATGCGGTGGCCGCCAATGCGGCCAGATCCGCACTTCGCGGACGTGCGCGGGTGGCTGGGGCCGCTGCTGGGGCCGGTGGCGGAGAGAAGCGGCGCTGCTGGCGCGTGGGTGCACCGCGAATGCGCCGTCTGGAGCCCCGAGGTGTGCCGCTGCCATGCTGCTGCCATGCTGTTGCCATGCTGCTGCCATGCTGCTGCCATGCTGCTGCCATGCTGCTGCCAGAACGAGCAACCAGCTCAAGAACGCGCCTGCACTGTGCGGCGGGGGCCGCTGCCTCTGAGGCTTATTGAAATCCCCCGCACCCACTCCACCCCCCACCACCCTCTCTTCGCCCTCTCTTCAACCCCTACTCCTCAGCTGTTCTTCTGTGCCGCCAACCAGCTGAAGAACGTGCCTGCAGCCGTGCGGCGGGTGCGGCTGCAGCGTCTTAAACACCCCTTCCTTCCCACCCCCCTCCCTTTAGGTGTTCTTCTGCGCCGCCAACCAGCTGAAGAACGTGCCTGCAGCCGTGCGGCGGGTGCGGCTGCAGCGTCTTAAACACCCCTTCCTTCCCACCCCCCTCCCTTTAGGTGTTCTTCTGCGCCGCCAACCAGCTGAAGAACGTGCCTGCAGCCGTGCGGCGGGGGCGGCTGCTCAAGTGCAGCCGGTGCGGACGCAGTGGGGCGAATATCGGGTGCAGGGAGGAGCGGTGCCCGCACACGTACCACCTGGTGAGTGCACACTGGTTGCTTGACTACACCTTTGAGGCGCCTCGGAAGTCTTCTTCGCCTCATATGTTGAGGCAAGAGAACACCGGGTGGCGGGAGGAGAGGTGTCGGCACACGTACCACGTGGTGAGATGGGATGAGAGGCTATGCTTGGGAAATCACGGTTGGTTCTCCTTGGCTTTACCTTGCTCTTCCTCCCTTTCTAATTTCTTCCTCCCTTTCTAATTTCTTCCTCCCTTGCTCGCTTCCTCCCCCCTTCACACATCCCCTCCGCTTCCCCCTTCCCCCCTGTCTCCCCCCCCCTCCACCAGCCCTGTGCACGCTACGACGACTGTTTCTTCGACCACAATGATTTTCTCATCTCCTGCCCGCTCCACACGCGCTCCCTCATGCTGCGTCGCCACGGCTCCCACCTGCCCGAATTCAACGCCTTTTTCGGGCAGCCCGCGGGCAGGCTGTCCGGGCAGATGGTCGGGCTCTTGGCGGCTGCCCGAGAAGCTGCCCAGAGGGACGAGGAGGAGGAGGCGCGGTGGGAGGAGGAGGGGGGGAGTGAGGAGGACGATGAGGATGAGGAGTTTCAGGCCAAGGAGCGCAGGAGGCGAGTCAGGGACCTCGCTAGGGTCCAGCCCGTTCGGCTGGGGGGAGCGGTGACGTGGCGTGCAGGTGCGGGTGCTGCTGCCAGGTCACTGGCCACGGCAGCTGGTGCTGGTTCTGATCCGGTTGCTGGGAGTGGGAGGGGGTCACGGGTTGAACCAGGGGGAGGGTGGGGAGAGGCTGGAGCAGGAGCAGGAGCAGGAGCAGTAGGGGAAGAAGGAAATAGCTCTAGGTTGACGAGTGTTTTTCACACTGACCGTGACTATGCTGAGCGTGATAATGTGAATAGTGAGGCGCGGCCAGATGCACTGGCTGACAACACGAATGATCCAGTGCCAAGGCATGGCGCCCCCAGTGGCAGCGCTGACGTGGCAGGATCTGGTTGGGTGATGGTGCGGTTTGGGGGGCCGGACGCAGGAGGGCTAGGAGGAGAGGAGGCAGGAGCGGGGGAAGGTTTGGCGGCTGTGATCGGCCCCGAGACTCCGCTGGAGGCCCTGTTGGCAGGGCGGGGGGAGGGGGAGGTTGGTCGAGGGGAGGGGGTTCTGGGGGAGGGGTTTGAGGGGTTGGGTAGGGGATGGGAAAGAGAGGAGATGGGGAGGAAGAGAGGAAGAGAGGGAGCGGAGGGGGCATCACACTCGAAATTTTCGGGTCCAGGAGTGTGCGTGAGGGAGGGGAGTGATGAGGCTGCAATAGGGGGGGTGAGAGAGGGGGCGAGTGAAGGGATGTGTGAGGGAGTGAGGAAGGGAGTGAGTGAGGGAGTGAGTGAGGGAGTGAGTGAGGAGTCGGGGTGGGCAGCAGACGGCAGTGATGGGTGTGATGGGGAGGGGGAGATGGCAGCAAAGAGAGACAGGGTTGCAGCAGACTCGGAGATTCCGGAAGGAGAGAGAACAGAGAAACCGGCAGCAACTGCCCGGGGGGATTCTAGGGTCAGGGCTGCTGCAGACTTGGAGATAGTTCCTGGAGGCGAAGGCGAACAATCAGGAGTGACTGCCGGGGGAACAGTTGGGACGCGAGAGCTAGAGCAACAGGAGCAGCAGCAGAAGGAGCAGCAGCAACAGCAGCAGCCGCTGGGTCAGCAGGACGAGTGAGAGACGCCGTGGAGAGCGGCACCCAGACAGCATCACCTGACGCACTAGATCCTGCAAACGCGACAGAAACCGCCAAGGCGCCACTGTCTACACCAGCAGCACCTGCACCAGCAGAAGCAAAAGCAGCAGCAGCACCAGCAGAAGCAGTAGCAGAAGCAGCAGAAGCAGCAGCAGCAGCAGCAGCAGCAGAAGGAGCACCAGCAGAAGCAGTAGCAGCAGCAGCAGAAGCAGCACCAGCTGCTTCCCTGGCCCCTTCCACCCAGCCCCCCAGCACCCCCCCTCCTGTCCCCCCACCTCCGCCTTCCCTCCCTGGTCCGCCATAGGCGGGCTCCGCCCCGTCATCCTCTCCCTCACAGAGCTCGTCCTGCTGCCCCTGCGCTACCCAGCCCTCTTCCCCTCACTCGGGATCGCACCCCCACGCGGCGTGCTCTTGCACGGGCTGCCGGGCACCGGGAAGACCCTTGTCGTGAGGGCGCTGGCAGGGGCGTGCGCGCGGGGGGAGCGGGAAGTGGCGTTTTTCGCGCGGCACGGGGCGGATTGCCTGGGGAAGTACGTGGGGGACGCGGAGAAGCATCTGCGGCTGCTGTTTGAAGTTGCGAAGCAACGACAGCCGTCGATTATCTTCTTCGATGAGCTGGATGGGCTCGCACCAGCGCGGGGCCCGAACCAGGACCCGACTCACAGCTCGGTGGTGGCCACTCTCCTGGCGTTGCTAGACGGGTTGGATTCGAGGGGGGCGGTTACCGTGATTGCAGCCACCAATAGGATTGATGCGATTGATCCTGCCCTGCGCCGCCCGGGCAGGTTCGACCGTGAAATTTTCTTTCCGCTGCCCGGGGTCAAGGACCGGAAGGCTATTTTGAAAGCGATAACACGAGGGTGGGGGGCAGGGGTGGCACCTTCTGGGAAAGTTCTTGAGGAGTTGGCGGGGAGGAGTGAGGGTTTTGCAGGGGCAGATCTCCGAGCAGTCTGCAACGATGCGCTGATGGCTGCCCTGAGAAAAAATTTTCCCATGGAGACGGCTTTGGCACTCGATGCGCTGCCCGGGGCTGAAGCGTTCGGTTCTGGGCAGCCCCAAATGCCCGCAGCGGGAACACCCTCTTGTCCACGTGGCACAAACTCATTGGTGCAAGCGAAGATGTATCGTCTGCCTATCCCTGAGATCCAGGTGGATGCACAGGATTGGCTGGCAGCGTTGCAGCGCGCACAGGTGCCTTGTGCCCTCCGAACCGCAGCAGCCAGCTTCGGCAAATTAGGTCTGGCCACCGTGCCTCGGTATCTGTTACCAATCCTGGCCCCTGCTTTGGTTCGGCTGGTCCGATCACTGGCTGAGACTGCAGGGGTTGGGGACGTTATGCGAGATGGGATGAACGGTTGGGATGGGTGGAAGGTGGTGGGGAGAGGAGGAGAGAGTAGTGAAGGGGGTGAGGAGTGGATGGTGGGAAGAGCTTTGGAGGTGCTTGGGTGGGTAGAGAGGGGAGGGGTGGAGAAGGGGAGGGATGTGGATGGCAAGAGAGGGGACGTAGGATGTGTGGGAGGGGACAAAGGAATTCGCCCGCAGGATGATGGTATCGAGGAGGGGGGAGAGGAAGCAGGGGTGGAGGAGGGGGAGTTGGAGGGGGAGGAAGAAGAAGAGGAAGATGGGGAGGAGGGTGATTTACCATTAGGTTTGTGGAGTTGGGATCAGGAGCACGAAGCAGAGGGAGGGGGGCAGTTGGGGCAGCGAGCCGTGGGGGCGAGGGAGTGGGAGCGGGAATCAGCAGCAGGAAGGCAGCGGGAGGGCCAGGAGCAGGGGCAGGGGCGGAGGGTGCTGGTGTGTGGCAGCGGCGACCAGGGCCAGGCGCACGTGGGTCTCATCGCCGCCAAGCTGCTGAGTCGTGGGGGCAGGCAGGCATTCACAGAGGCGTGCAGAACGGTGCTGCTGGGGGATGGGGCGAGGGGGGCAGAGGCAGCAGCGGGGGAGGTGTGGGGGGAAGGGGGATGCACACGGACTGGTGAGAGGTGGGAAGACGGAGAGAGAAGCAGGTCAGAGGAGGGGAGGAGGAACAGGGAGGCAAGGAGGGGCGGCGGAGGGGAGGAGGCGGTGGTGGTGGTGGATGTGCCCGCCATGGTGCTGCTGGGACGTGGGGACATGGCTGCTGGCATGCGCGTCCTCATAGGTTAGTCAGTGCTCCTCCCATGCTTCTCGTACTTGGCTGCCAGGCATGGAGACATGGCTGCCAGGCATGGGGATATAGCTGCAGACTGCCCGCCCCTCGTACTTTCCTTGTCGTACTTTCCTTGTCGTACTGCCCCCATCTGTCCCACATGCTCCCATCCGCCCCCCTGCCCTCATCTGTCCCACATGCTCCCATCCGCCCCCCTGCCCTCATCTGTCCCACATGCTCCCATCCGCCCCCCTGCCCTCATCTGTCCCACATGCTCCCATCCGCCCCCCTGCCCTCATCTGTCCCACATGCTCCCATCCGCCCCCCTGCCCTCATCTTTCCCACATGCTCCCATCCGCCCCCCTGCCCTCATCTGTCCCACATGCTCCCATCCGCCCCCCTGCCCTCATCTGTCCCACATGCTCCCATCCGCCCCCCTGCCCTCATCTGTCCCACATGCTCCCATCCGCCCCCCTGCCCCCATCTGCCCCATTTGCCTCTTTTTGTTTTTCAGAGCAAGCTCGGTCCATGGCTCCTTGCGTGCTGCTGCTGCCACGTGTCAACACCTGGGTGGTGGAGGGGTGGAGGGACGGGGCAGACAGGATAGGGGATGAGGAGGAGGATAGTGAGGAGGGTAGTGAGGAGGGTAGTGAGGAGGAAGGGGAGGAGGAGGGGGAGGAGGAGGATGAGATGAGGGAGAGTGAGGAAGGAACGAGTGAAGAGGGAGAAGAAGAGGAGGGGGAGGAGCAGGATGGTGGAGGAAGAGGGAGCGGGGGAGGAGGAGGGGTGTCAGGGGAGTGGGCGGTTTTTGAGCAGCTGAGTGCCATGCTGGACTCTCAGCTTGCTTCCTCGGCATCTCTGCTGCTGCCATCCTCATGTGTCGGCGCTGCCTGCATTCATGTTGTGGTGAGTCCAGTTGTGTGTGCCATGCCATGCCATGCCATGCCATGCCATGCCATGCCATGCCATGCCATGCCATGCCATGCCATGCCATGCCATGCCGTGCCATATTTTCGTGCGCCATGCCCCCCCTATCCTGCCTGCAATCGATCCTGCTCTCTGTGCTGACCCCCCTTCGTCTCTCCCTCCTTCCCTACCCCGTCTCAACCGCTCCCTTGGCTGTTCTCCTTTGTCTCTCAACTCAGGCCACCTCCGAGGTCCCTCTCTCCGCCCTTCCGCCTCGAGTGCAGCGATTCTTCCTGCCCCCCTCCTCCTCTCCGCCCTCCCTCCATCCCTCCACCTGCCGCATCTCGCATCCATCCGGGTTTCCCACTCCCTTTACTGGCTGTGAGGGCAATGTTGACGGTCAAGAGCAGGGTGGAGAAGGACAGGAGCAGGGCGAAGGGGAGGGAGATAAGGAGGGGGGCGAGGAGGGAGGTGTGGCAGGGGAGAGGCACGTGCGGGACGTGAGTGGGAGTGGACGAATTGTGTTAAGTCTCCACTCTCTCCCCTCCTGCTGCTTGCAGCAATCTCTAAGGGTAGATGGGCTTGGCTGCACGGGAGGGCGTAGAGGGAAGAGGAATGACGGAGAGGAGGAAGATGGGGAAGGAAAGCGGAATGGAGATGGGGGGCCTGTTCAGTGTGTGAGGGAGGGAGGAGTTGAGGGCGAGGGGGCTGGGGAAGAGGAGAAGGAAGAAGGAGAGGAAGTTCAGTGTGGGGAGGAGGCATGGCAGGAGAAGGGCGATGTGGCAGGCAAATCAGGCGACGAGCTCTCACTGGCTGGGCGGTGGAGGGCGTCAGTGGGCATGGCTGCACGGCAACTAGCATGGGAGGTGTGCGAAGCGGTGGGGAGAGGCGAGGGGGAGGGAGGAAGGGGCAGCGAAGGGGATTTGGGAAGGAAGGGGAAAAGGGGGAGGGCTGGTGAGCAGGAGGGGGAGGGAGTTGGGAAGCGAGGGAGAGTGGAAGGAGGAAGTGCAGATGGGGCGGGTGGTGGAGTGGATGGGAGGGGTGAGATGGAGGCAGTAGGGCGCATCTTCAACCCAGATGGGCAGCGGCAGCCGCAGCAGCAGCAGGAGCAGCAGGAGAAGCCGCAGCAGGAGCAGCAGCAGGAAGCTCAACGAGGGAACCATCAGCAGCAGCAGCAGCAGGAAGCACCAACTGTGTGGCGGACCGAGCAGGAGCGGCGGCTGCTGGGAGGGCTGGCCTGGTGCGGGCTGTATCTGCTGCGCCACCCTTCCCTCAAGCCCCTCCGGCGCCTCACATCCTCCCTGCCACGTGCCCCCCGGTTCCTCTTTCTCACAGCCGCCCAAGGGAAGGGGGTCAGGGGAGGGGTTGGTGATGGGAGGGGAGGTCGGGTGGAGAAGAGGGGAGGGCAGAGAGGGGAGCGGAGAGGGGGGAGGGGGGAGGCGGGGAGGGGGGATGGAGGTCGGGGGAGGAGGGAGGGGAGAGTGGCGAGTTGGGCGCGGGTGGAACAGCCGACTAGGATGAGTAGTAGGCTGAGGGAAAGGGAGAGGGAGAGGAGGAGGTTGGAGAGGGAGCAGCGGAGAGAGGAGAGGGAGAGGAGGTCCGGGGAGTGGGAGAGGAGGAGGGGGAGGGTGAGGCGGCGACGAGAGAGCGAGGGAGGGATGGGGGGTCCAAGGACGAGGGAGGAGAGTTGGATGCGTGGTGCAGGAAAGAGTGGCTCTCATCTGGCAAGTGGTGGCCGTCGCCTCTCGTTCCGGGACAGAAGAAGCACAGGAGTAGGAGTAGGAGCAGGAGGGGGAAGAGGAGGAAGGGGAGGGAGGGGAGGAAAGGGAGGTGGTGGCGATGAGGGGGGGGGAGGGAGGGCGGGCAGGAGGGAGCAGCGGGGGCTGGCAGCAGTGGCTCTGAGGCTTGTTCACGGGTTGGTGCGGCACCCACTGGAGATGCTGCACCAGGTCCGGGGCGTCTGTGACTCGGCTCGAAGGGCCGTGAGGCGAGAGGCTGAGAGGGTGGCAGGGTGGGCGATGGGCTCTCACTCATGGCCGCCCTCTCACTCTCACTCTCACTCTCTCAGAAGCTCACGCGGGCACCTTGTGCCGCCGCCTAGTGCCGACTTACCGTTTTCCCGCAGCACAGGAGGGAGCATTGCGCCATCTGCAGAGCATGTGTGGGCGGTGCAGCGGGTGTGCAGCGTGGAGCGGCACGTCAGTGCGCTGGAAGACACGGTGGCATCGTGGGTGCACCTCATGGCTCCCCTGCACGCCGCTGCTGCTGCCTCCACTGCCCACCTGCCGCCCCTCCCCCCGCCCCATCAGCCACCCCCTCAGCCGTCCCCACACCAGTCCAAAGCCCGCCGGCCCTTGTGCCCTAACCAGCATCGACAGCAGCAGCCGAAGCAGTCTACTCCATCCTCTACCCGACCCGCCTTCCCTCCTACAGCTCCTCCCTCTGCTGTGCCGCCCAGTCGTGTTTCTACCGCCCCTTCCCCCTTCTTCATCTTCCCCTCCCCCTCGGAACCCGACCTCAACCCCGGCAACTCACCCCCTTCGCCCGTCTCTCCCTCCGCCCTCTCCAGCCCGGCGCTGCTGCTGCCGCCCGTGTCAACGCCTGGCAACTATCCCATCATCCTCGCTCTCCCTGCCCCTTCCCCTCTGCCGCTCACCCCCTCTCCTGCTGCCCTCTCCCCCCGAGCCTTCTCCACGCTCCTAGGGGGGGCTCACCTCCCTGCTCCCACAGCCCCACCTTCATTCTCCAGCTCTCCTCCTCTGCCCGCTGCTGCTGCGCCTGCTCCAGCTGCGCCTGCTCCAGCTGCTGCTGCTCCAGCTGCGCCTGCTCCAGCTGCTGCTTCTCCAGCTGCTCCTGCTGGCGTTCCGCCGTCTGCTTCCCCTGCAGTGACGGGCCTTGACGTGCTGAGGCGAGCTGGGAATGTGCGGCAGGGGGAAAAAGGGGGTGAGGGAGGAACTCCTGGGCGTGGAGAGAGTGGGAGAGAGGAGAGGAGGGGGAGTGAGGAGGCAGATGATGTGGTGCCGGTGACTGAAGGTGCAGTTGGAAGCCATGGGACTGGGTTGAGGCGAGGAGTGAGTGCAGGAGGGGAGGCAGGAGGGGAGGCAGGAGGGGAGGCAGGAGGGGAGGCAGGAGGGGAGGCAGGAGAGGTGGCAGGAGAGGGCAGTGAAGGAGGGGGAAGAGTGGGTGGTTTGGGAGAGCTTGGTAAGCCAGCAGTGACACTTGAGTCAATGCAGCAGTCAGCTGTGAGTTGTGCAGCAGCAGTTGGCCACGTGGCAATGCTGGCTGCTGCTAGAGGGGGAGGGGGCATGGCGGTGGGATTGGCAGGAGAGGGCAGGGAGGCAGGAGAGGGCAGGGAGGCAGGAGAGGGGAGGGAGGCAGGAGAGGGGAGGGAGGCAGGAGAGGGGAGGGAGGCAGGAGAGGGGAGGGAGGCAGGAGAGGGGAGGGGGGCAGGAGAGGGGAGGGAGGCAGGAGAGGGCAGGGAGGTGGGAGAGGGCAGGGAGGTAGGAGTGGGCAGGGAGGCAGGAGAGGGCAGGGAGGCAGGAGAGGGCAGGGAGGCAGGAGTGGGCAGGGAGGCAGGAGTGGGCAGGGAGGCAGGAGTGGGCAGGGAGGCAGGAGTGGGCAGGGAGGCAGGAGTGGGGAGGGAGGCAGGAGAGGGCAGGGAGGCAGGAGAGGGCAGGGAGGCAGGAGTGGGCAGGGAGGCAGGAGTGGGCAGGGAGGCAGGAGTGGGGAGGGAGGCAGGAGAGGGCAGGGAGGCAGGAGTGGGGAGGGAGGCAGGAGAGGGCAGGGAGGCAGGAGTGGGGAGGGAGGCAGGAGAGGGCAGGGAGGCAGGAGAGGGCAGGGAGGCAGGAGAGGGCAGGGAGGCAGGAGAGGGCAGGGAGGCAGGAGTGGTAGGGAAGAGGGTGATGATGGTGGGAGGCACAGATGAGAAGAAAGGACGAGGGGAGAACGAGGGGGTAGTGAGCAGTGGTAGTGCTGGTTGTTTTGCTGGCGCTGGTGCTTTCGGTGGTAGTGCCGGTGGTGGTGCTAGTGAGGGCACGGCTGGTGGTGATGGGATGCCAGGCGTGGTAGTACTAAGGCGGGATAGGGAAGGGCAAGGCACGGGGGGTAACCAGGAGGAGGAGAGGGGCGGAGGAGGAGGAGGTGGCAACGATGGAAGCAGTGGGGGTGTGGGTGCAGGGCGGGGCAGCGAGGAGGCACAGCCACCTGAGAGGAAGGGAGCAGGGGGCACGAGGGAGCAGAAGGAAGGTGCGAGCAGAGGAGGGGCCGTGGGGGCGGAGCGAGAGGCAAGGGGTGAAGGCGAGGGCGAAGGTGCAGCCGTGTGCTGTCGCGGGGATGGCAGTGAGACTCCCCTTGGCCACCACAGCGGGGCTGGGCTGGGCACTGGGGCTGGGCTGGACGATGGGGCTGGGCTGGGCGCTCCCACTCACATACCTGTCGACCGCAAAGCCCTGTCCAAGAGATCTCCTCCGCGCCGCCCCCTCCGCCCTCCCCCTGCGTGCTTCCAGTTCCTCTGCGCCGCTCTCGAGCACTGCCTCACTCACCTGCTGCTGCTGCAAGCCCTACCACCACTCTCCCACCTGCTCCAGCTGCAGCACCAGCAGCACCAGCAGCAGCAGCACCAGCAGCAGCAGCAGCAGCAGCAGCAGCAGCAGCAGCAGCACAGGCACCAGCACCAACAGCAGCAGCAGCAGCAGCGCCCTCCATACAATCACACATGCACCAGCGCATGCAGACACCATCCAGTGCTCCCGCTGTTGTCACCCTGCATGGCTGCACCAATTACGTGCAGCCAGCTGGAGCGGTCAGTGGGCCAGCTGGCGTGCATGGCAAGAGCAGCTGTGGGACGAGAGCAGCGCAGTGATGCCCTTGCTGCTGCTTATAGCCATGGTGGTGCTGCTGCTGCATGTTCTGCTCCTGGTAGTGCTGGTGGTACTGGTGGTGCTGGTGGTGCTGGTGGTGCTGGTGTTCTTGCGGTCTCCGGTGCTGCCCCATGTGCCCATGGTCCTGACGGGCTGTGCTTGGAGCAAGTCGCCTGTGCCATACAGCAGAGCGTGCTGTCGCTGACTTCAGCACTGCATGGTAATGATGCTGTGCTGATGTCAGCAGAGCTTGGGCAGTGGGCACACACAAATGGGTGAAAGCATGGCTTGGTTACCACACATGGATGGATTCAGAGCTGACCACGCCTGTCTGTGACCCTCCTGGCTCTGCTCTATTTGTGCTTTACCTGCAAACAATTGTATTGTCCTATTTCGCACTCTGTCCTCTGTGCATATCAACACGCCTGTGCATTTATAATCGATCATTTTGTGCATAGCTGATAGTTTATGGTGCTCCAGCACGCCTACATATGCTCTTGATTTTGTTTCAGAACACCCTGTGCCTTGAGCTCCATACAAGCCGCACCGTGCCATGTCATGTCATGACTCATCATGCTTGAAATGCCAATCCACATTGAAATAACCACTTATTGTTAAGAAAAATGCACATAAAGTAAGCAACGGATTTGACACACCCTAGATTTAGATTAGCTTCTTCGGGAAACCTACATCTATAAGGACGTAGTAAGTCCACCATATTTAATCATTCCAGACCTCTATATTTTCTCACCCTTCACCCACCATCGAATCATAGTTTCTGGTGGTGTCTGCGCTTCGATGATTTCCCGCCTTCGACACGAGTAGACATTGGCCACGTCATCATGCTTGCCGCTTCCTAGCCCGGAAATTGACGTCTGACGTTCAGCAGAACCCTGCTCTGTTTGCCAGCGTCAGTTCCTCTGTTTTCCTGCCCATGCCAGCGACTCGACGGCAATCTCTGTTGATCTGTTTGATGCGACGCCGCACGAGCTTTGGCGAAACGAAAAGCCTTGTGTCGCAGACCTGAAGTGAGCCACCTGAACACCAGACTTCGCCAGGAAGTGTTTCCCCGGTGCACTTTCTTCGTGAGCTCGCTGCTCTCGCCATCTCTGGTTCGCAAACCTCAATCACTCTGGCGATTACGCCATTTGTTACAGTCCACCGTCAGAGCATCTCTTTTGAGTCTTGGAGAGCATCACTTGCTGTGAGAGCCTCGAATCACCCTCATTATCCACCTGCACACGCCATTTATTATTTCACTCGTCAATCCCAACGGCCTGCACTAGACAAGGTTCTAGCAGCAAGGGAGATTCGCCACTCCCGAGCGTGTCGGAACGTTAGCTGCTTCTAGGGACAGGAAGCTGCTGGCTTAGAAACCCACTCTTACCTAATAGTGCGACAGAGGGGTTTTCGTTTTGACCCTTAGGAGAAAAGTAGCAGACTAAATTCTTACGACACGAACTAGCTAGTTACCACGTTTTGAGCCTCGTTTGATTTCGTCCCGCTGTTCCGACATGGCGGCCGGCACGGCTAAGCTAGGCCGCTGCTCTTTTAGCGCATTCCTCGTCCTCCTCCTCCTCTCAAACCCGTCATGCGCGCAAGACGCATCATCATCTCAAGATCCCGCCACTCCACTACCCGACGACACAGGCGAGCTGGTCCAAGGCAAGGACCCCTCCATGTCCGCCTCGGATTTCCTGGCCGCGACACAGATCGCGCCGGATAAAATCCAGACGATTCGCATGCGAATCTACCAGCAGTTCGTCCAGAATCTCGCGATGCAAGGCGCGAGCACCGCCGGTCTCGGCGAAATCGTGAACCTCCCGCAGCCACCATTCACGAATATGACCCTCCAGCTTGTGAAACTGAGGCTCTCTTCACTCGTTGCGAACGGGTTTTTATTCCACGAGTTTTTCGTCCCGCCGGGGATTCAGGTTTCCACGAATTCGGAGCTGGTCGTTCTGCTGTACAACCAGATTCCGGTCACGTTTTCGCCGTACAGACCACCGGCTGGTTACTCGTATACGCCGTATTTCGCCGGGATCGACATCCTTCCGTTCGTGAACGACTCGACGCAGGCTCCGGGGCCGCTGCTCGTGCGATCGAGCCCGTCGTTACCAGTAACTGTTACATTCCCTTTGGACGATTCCGAACACAAATTCGTGCAGTGCACGACTTTCGGCATCCGTGGCACGCTCATCCCGCTCAACCAATCACAGGACAGCACGCCCACGCGAATCGTCTGCCAGAGCGTCACCCTAGGGGAATTCACCCTCACAATCGGCTCTCGCCCATTCCCTCCGCCTCCGCCCCCGCCACCCTCCCCGCCGGTCTCCCCCCTCCGCCGCAAAACCCCGACCCTCTTCCGCCTCCTCCCCCGCGACTCCTCCCGCCGACAACAGCGGCTCAAGCGGACTTACTATAGGTCTAGCCGTCGGGCTCGCGATACCGATTATTCTGCTGCTGCTGCTGGGCGCGTGGGTGGTGTGGCAGCTGCTGCAGCGCGGCCGCTACGAGAAGATGGAAATGGCGGCGGAGCGCGCCGCCAACCTCGAGATCGCGCTCATCGCGGGGCAGCGCGCGCCGTCCGCGCCCGCCGTGCGCACGCGCGGGGCGCTGGAGGACGAGGCTTGAAGCGGAGAAAAGGTTAGATGGGGGGAGCCGATGAAGGCAACAGGCGCCGACCGCGCGCACCGAGCGCAAGGGGAGGCCGCTGGAGGAGGGGGCGTGAGTGATGTGGCGCAAAGGAACAAGGGACTGGGGGGAAAATGAGGGGGAGAACGCTTTTGAGTCGACTCAAGAGCAACGGGCTGGAGGGAAGCTGAGGGGGAGAGGTGCCATGGCGCGAGAGGCGGAAGGCACCAGACGCTTACTGCCTCATCGCGGGACGAGAGGCGTCGTCTGCGCCCGCCGTGTGCACGTGAGGGGCGCTGCAGGACGAGGCTCGGGGACTGTACTGGGAAGCGGGGAGGAGAGCTAGGAGTGCACTAACAAGGGGGAGGGGAGGGAGGGGGGGAGGAGGGGTGGGAGTGGCGGGTGGCCAGGGTGTAGCTGTAGGGGGAAGGGCGCGCGCTGCGCCTTATGCGCCGTCTGCGCCAGCAGGGGGAAGCAGCGGGGCGTTGGAGGATGAGGCGTGAGAGACTCGGAGGGAGGGGCAGGAGCGAGAGAGGGGGCGGGAGCGAGAGAGGGGGGCGAAGGCGCATCTAATCAGAGTGGGTTTGGGGGTGAAGGTGAGGGGGACGTGGATTGGTGGGGGCTGCAAATTGGAATGTGGAAGGGGGATTGCACGCTGAGAGGGGATGGGGAGATGACTGGGTGTGGGTTTGCGCTTGTCAGTGGATGCAGTGGAGGGAAAGGGACGGCTGCGCGCGGAAAAGAAGGGCGAACATGCCACTGAATGTCTTGTGCTTGTGGTGTGTGAGTGCTTTAGGATGGGAAAGGGGAATTTGGGGGGGTCAAGGGGGGGGGGCGTGGGAAGGGGGAGGTGGGCGGGGAGTCTGGGTGAAGTATGCTGCTGTGTGTACGAGGGAGGCTGGAATGCAAGTCACCATTGCCTATCCAGGCAGCAGCAGGCAGTCTGTCAGATTTAGGGCCAGGAAGTCCAGAGGTTATCCCTCTGGTGTGAATGTTTACTACAGTACCCTCAGAATGCCGTGCACATCCTTGCAAAACAAAGGCTGAGGGTGAAAGATTTTGTGTTTTCTTACTTGCATTAGTGTATTTTGGCATGTTTTAGGTTTCACCAAACCTGAACACATAGCACAGTGCTGTAAAAACACTTGCATGCATATTCCAATACAGGCAGCACAAGTATGTTATATAGGAAATTCATCGAGTGACAAGTTCACTCAATAGCAATAACAATAATTCCGAACCTGTACAGAACCCCTCACGTAAGAAACACTCTTCAAGTGGCTACCTACCTACCAAGTAGAACTATAAGGGTCAGGAGCTGTTACGACCAGCAGGCGGATCAATGTCAAAAAATGCATCGGACCCAAAAGGTCCGTCCAACAGCATGTCAGAAAAATCTTCTGCTGAAAACACGTCAGCATGCGCTGTCGGAGGCAAGTCATGCGATAACAAGCCATGTGGACCTGTGATGTCCACGTCAGCATCAGCACAGGCGGTGTCACCATCAGGTCCATCTCCGCTGTGGCTGTCCTTGTCGTGCTGCTCCTGCTGCCAGAGCGAGGGGAGAAAAGGGGGGATATAGGGAAGGGAGCAAACGGACGGGGGGGGGGGAGGGGGGGAAGGTGGGGGGGGGGGGGGGGAAGATGGTAGGAGGATGTGGAAAGAGATGCTGGCTTGTGGCATGGATACTTGTGGCATGGATGCCTGTGGTATGGATACTTGTGGCATGGATACTTGTGGCATGGATACTTGTGGCATGGATACTTGTGGCATGGATACTTGTGGCATGGATACTTGTGGCATGGATACTTGTGGCATGGATACTTGTGGCGTGGATACTTGTGGCATGGATACTTGTGGCATGGATACTTGTGGCATGGATACTTGTGGCATGGATACTTGTGGCATGGATACTTGTGGCATGGATACTTGTGGCATGGATACTTGTGGCATGGATACTTGTGGCGTGGATACTTGTGGCATGGATACTTGTGGCATGGATACTTGTGGCATGGATACTTGTGGCATGGATACTTGTGGCATGGATACTTGTGGCATGGATGCTTGTGGCATGGATACTTGTGGCATGGATACTTGTGGCATGGATGCTTGTGGCATGGATACTCTGGCATGGATACTAGTGGCATGGATACTTGTGGCATGGATACTCTGGCATGGATACTTGTGGCATGGATACTTGTGGCATGGATACTTGTGGCATGGATACTTGTGGCATGGATACTTGTGGCATGGATACTTGTGGCATGGGTACTTGTGGCATGGATACTTGTGGCATGGATACTTGTGGCATGGATACTTGTGGCATGGATACTTGTGGCATGGATACTTGTGGCATGGATACTTGTGGCATGGGTACTTGTGGCATGGATACTTGTGGCATGGATACTTGTGGCATGGATACTTGTGGCATGGATACTTGTGGCATGGATACTTGTGGCATGGATACTTGTGGCATGGGTACTTGTGGCATGGATACTTGTGGCATGGATACTTGTGGCATGGATACTTGTACTACCAGCAGACTGTGACCAAGAGAAACAAATCTCTGACGAAACGAGCGTTCACAAAACCAAGGCATGCAAGTGATGCAGTAACCATAAGACAGTTACAGGAGGCGCAGAGCGGAGGTGTATAGGGTGCAAATCTCTTACCTCTTCAATCTCGTCGTTGCGTGCAAATCTCCCTCGCACTCGCGGCCGGCTATCTGCCAGATTCTTGCGGCACGCGTACTGCTCATGTGCATGGCAATGTTTGGAAACATGTGTGTGACAATGTCTGGAGTCAGTTGTACACAGCAACCCTTGCAAGCAGGCATGCATAAATGAGCGCAATCACGGTCGGCAAGAGCGAAAGAAGGTATGGGAGAAGAGAGGGAGGGAAAGTGTCAGGTAAAAGGGTGGACTATTCAAAAAGCAGGAGCACTGAATGCAAGGGCTCGAAAAGAAGGTGCTGGGAGGTAGCCGAAGGAGGGCTGAAGGGTCTGAGTTTGAGTTGAGGAGAGAGTAGAAAAGCAGCGGAGCAGCAGCCCACCTTGAATTTCTTAGTAAAGTTCCGCTCGTGCCTCTTCTGCCTGTACTTCATGATCCGATTGCTTCTATTTAAAGCACGACTACAGGAGCAGCAGAGAGGAAGGTAGCCAGCGCACCTTGATCTTTTTTGTGAAGTTCCGCTCATGCCTCTTCTGCCTGTACTTCATGATCCGCAGCCGCCGCTCCTCCAACGTATACCGCCCGATACGAAAAACCCCCATGCCCATGCCCGCGCCCACCCCCATGCCCATACCCCCCATGCCCAAGCCCATCCCCATGCTCCTCATGCCCATGGCCATGCTGATGCCCAGTCCCATGCCGGTAGGGTCATCAAAGGGGCCCATTCCAGCTGCTGCTGCGGCTGCTGCTCCTGCCGCTACAGGCGGTGCTGGGAGGTGGCCGAAGCCCATGGCTAGGGAGCGCATTGCAGCCAGGGACTGGCGTGTTGGTGTGTGTTGGGGGGGGGGGGGAGAGGGGGAATAAGAGAGGAAACGGGATGGGATGGATAAATTTCAGGTGGTGCTGGGAGGTGGCCGAAGCCCATGGCTTGGCTAGGGAGCGCATTGCAGCCAGGGACTGGTGCGTTGGTGCATGTTGGGGGGGCGGGAGGAGGAACAAGGAGGGGGAAGAGGGGGGTTGGTGGGGGGTAAAGGGGTTAAGAGGGGAAGGGATTCTGGGTGGTGCCCATGGCAAGCGAGCGAGCGCATTGCAGCCAGGGACTGGCGTGTTGGGAGGCGTGTGGCGGAAGAAAAGGGCGGAGAAGGGGCGGGGGGGAGAGGGGGGAGGGAGGGAAGGGGGGGAGAGAGGGGGGGCTGTAAAGGGGATAAGAGGGGAAGGGAATGAGATTCTAGGTGGTGCTGGGAGGTGGCCGACGCCCAGGGCGGGGGAGCGCATTGCAACCAGGGACTGTGTGTTGGGAGGGGGGAATTGGGGAGATGGTAAAGAGGAGAGGAGAGGAGAGGAGAGGAGAGGAGAGGAGAGGAGAGGAGAGGAGAGGAGAGGAGTGGGGATGAATGAGTATGGTTAACAATTCGTCCATCTGGCCGCCTCAGACCGAATGGCTAACGGAATATCCCCTGTGCTACATGCCCCCTGTGCTACATGCCCCCTGTGCTACATGCCCCCTGTGCTACATGCCCCCTGTGCTACATGCCCCCTGTGCTACATGCCCCCTGTGCTACATGCCCCCCCTCACTGACCACCTGGCGCCCAGCGCTGCTGGGGCAAGCAGGGACAAAGAGGGTGTCAAACCTACTACTGTGTGCAGGCGGACAGTGAAACAAAGGGTGCACGGTGCACGGGAAAGCTTGGCTGGCACGGGTGAATCGGTCTGGGGCGAACCTGGATATCTCCTGTGCTGTGTGCTCGTCTCATGCTGCTGAAAGATGGCAACATTGGAGCCCCCATGCTCCCTCCCATCCCTGCTATGCCGCCCATGCTTCCCCCCATGCCTGCGAAATGCCCCCCGCCAAACCCTCCTCCTGCCATGCCTGCTGCTGCTGCTGCTGCTGACACCCCTTCCCCTGCCGACACTGCCATCATACCCTCCCCCACCACACTCATGCCACCACCAGCACCACCACTACCACCAGCAGCAGCACTAGCACTGGCAGCAGCACTGCCATACGCGCCTGCTGCAGCAGCAGCTGCACTGGCAGCAGCAGCGGGAGCAGGTCGTTGCCCCATCCCCCCTATCACCCCACCTGCCCCTGCCGCTCCGCCTGCTAGCCCCTCGCCCATGCCCATAACCCCGCCCTCTATGCCCACTGGCATGTGCTGCCCTGCTAGGTGCGCTGCTGCGGCGGCCGGGGGGAGGGGCGGGAGGCCGGGCATGTGCTGCATGTGCAGCTGACCTAGGGCATGGCTGCTGAAGCTACGCGGCATGCTCATTCCCATGCCCATGCCCATGCCCATACCCATGCCGCCCATGCCCATGCCCATGCCCATGCCTGCCCCCATGCCCATGGCTCTGCGAGCTCGCAGGATGGGGGACGGGAGGGGCTTCAGCTCATCCTCGTCACCATCACCAGTATCACCATCGCCACTGTCGCCATTGCTATGGTTACCATCCCCATCCCCATCCCCATCGCCATCCCCGTCGCCATCATGGCTTCCCACATGCATGATCGGATTCGCCCCGCGATGCATGCTCTCTGCCCCATCAGCCGGTCTACCAGCGCCAGCAGCAACACCAGCTGCCCCCCCTCCACCTGCTCCATCCCTCCCTCCGCCTGCCGCACCTCCCGTCTCTCCCCTCCCTCCCGCCCCTCCTGCCACCATTCTCTCCACCCTCCTACCCTGTGAATCCTCCCCATGGTCCCCTGTGCTCCCCTCCCCACTATTCGACCCTCCTGCACACCCATTTGCCATTCCCGAAACCGACCCTGCTACTCGCCCTGTGGCAGCTGCACCTGCGCCCTGCCTTGCCCCTGCGGCAGCAGCAGCACAGAGAGGGGCCACAGCAGACGCAACAGCACTGGCAGACCCAGCAGCAGCAGCAGCAGCAGAGCTGCCAGTAGCACCTGGATCAGCAGACCAAACAGCCCCAGCACCAGGAGTGGGAATATCGACAGCATGAGCACCTCGTCCCACTGCCCCTCCTCCTCCTCCCCCCGCTCCTCCTCCCCCCGCTCCTCCTCCCCCCGCTCCTCCTCCCCCCACTCCTCCTCCCCCCGCACCTCCTCCCCCTCCACCTGCCGCCCATCTCTCCATCTCGGCCACTCTTCTCTGCCACATGTGAGCGTCAAAGTGCCCGCCTGCTGGCGCCGGCCAATTGGAATGCAGCAGCTGTCCAGCAGAGGCAACTCGGCGCATTTTGGCATACGGGCCAGCAGCAGCAGCGGCAGCAGAGGCAGCAGCAGCAGCATTACCGCCAGCAGCGCCAGAGGCAGAAGCAGCGGGTACAGAGGCAACAGAGGGGGAGGCAAGCACAGCTCTACCCACACTCCCCACTCCCCCGGACCCTGAACCCACAGGTCTAGGCGATGGTGAGGGCATGGAGGAGCGAGGCGAGGGTGCTCCTGCTGACTGCGAGGGGGCGTTGATTGCTGGAGACGCCAGTGGCTGCATGACGCCTGCTGCTGACCGCACCACTGCTGGCGACACTGGGGGGTAGGAGCGCATGTTAGACAGCCCCTCGTGCAAGCTCACCCCTCGTCTGATGCCCACGGACGGCCGATGACACCCAGCCACCCCAGCACCCCCAGCAGCTCCTGCAAATCCTGTTCTCTCTGCTCTATGTCCGTACAGCTCGGCCTCCCAATCCGCCCCCTCTGTCTTCACTAACCCTCCTGCTGCTGCTGCTGCTGTGGCTGCTTCCATTGCCGTTCCAGAGCCTGGAGCAGCAACAGGGCTGGTTTTCCCTGCTGCGCCCACAGCATCATCACCCCCAGCAGCTGTAGCAACACCAGAACCCACACCAGCAGCAGCGGCGGTTCTGGCCCCTGCTGCAGCTGCCCTTGAAGGGCGCGCAATGCCAACGGAAAGGGCAGGTAAACCAGGCATGGCAGACACACCAGCGCCCACACTCCCCACTCCCATCATGCTGCCCGCCCCCATGCTGCCCGCCCCCATGCCCCCCGCCCCCATGCTCCCCACAGCAAGCGGGCGCGGGTACGCAGAACCAGAGGCGTTTCCAGGGAGCATGCCAGGAGGGAAGACGAAGGGGGGCGGCAGGCCTGGGAGGTTGGGCAGGCCGCGTAAGGAGGGGGGCATGATGGGGCGGAGAGCGGGGAGAGTGGCGCTATTGGCGTTGGCAGTTGGCGTTGGGTGAGACGCGGATGCCACTGTCGCACAGCTGTTGCCTGCTGCTCCTGATTCCCCTCCTCCTCTTCCTCCTCCGCCGTCGTGTGGCCTCTGCTGGCCTTCGAGCTGCTCTTGTTTCATCGGCTGATTGGTGGCACACCGCATGTGCCCTTGCCCCCCTGCAGTCATGTGCCCTTGCCCCCCTGCTGCCATGTGCCCTTGCCAGGACGCCATCTGAAAGGCTTGCGCTCTGGCCATGGCTTGCGCTGCTGCTGTTGCGTGCTGCTGTGCTGCTGCGTGCTGCTGTGCTGTTGCATATTGCTGCGCCGCTGCCGTGTGCTGCTGCGCTGCTGCGTGCTCGTGTGCCGCTGCCTGTTGCTGTGCCCTCGCTTGCTGCTGCTGCTGCGTTACAGCTGCTGCCACCGCTGCTGCTGTCCCTTGCCTGCTCTGCCTGCTACTGTGGGAGACTGATGGGCTCACCACTCGCCTTCCCTCCTGCACTTGACACGCAGAGGCGGAGGCAGAAACTCCAGAGGACGTCACACGCTGTTGCTGCTGCTGCTGCTGGCGGTGGTGATGGTGAAGCTGATGATGCTGCTGCTGTTGGTGGTAGTTGTTCAGCTGTGGCATGCCCTGGGCGTGGTCAGAGAGTAGCGGCTTGCACGGCGAAGGAGGCGACGAGCTCATTGTGTGGCTGTCATTCGACCCTTGAGGTGATGACTTGGCAGCAGCAGCGCCTGCCACGCACACCCCTTCGACCCTCCCCCCTTGCTGTCCCCCTGCTCCTGTAGCACTCATGTGGTTACCAGCGCTCATGGTGTTACCATCCCCAACCCCAGCCCCATAGACATCGCCGTCCTCCATATGAGCAGGCTCAAAGACCCGTTTTAATTTTGACATGGCGCTTGGGGTTCGCGCCTTCCTCGTTCCACCATCTCTATCACACTCCTCTAGCCCTGCTGTCCTCCCCCCAAGCGCCTTTCCCCCCTCCTCCCTGCCGGGCTTACACATACCAGAGCATGCGTTACCACCTGCGCAACACATCCCTGCACCTGCCACCGAACCTGGCACCGAGCCTGGCATCGAGCCAGGAGCTGCCAAACCCACCGAACCAGCTCCAGCAGCTCTGAGAACGGCACCACTCGGAGCAGCGGCGGGTGCAGACGCACCGACAGCAGAACCACCAGCCGCAGCAGCAATACCACCAGCAGCAGGAATAGACTGAAGGGCAACGCGGGCGTCGCTGACATGCCCATAGGACTTAAAGACCATGTCGGCCGACTGCTCGTGATGGCTGGGCGGGGGGATGGCGTCTTGCGGCTCCAGCACGACCAAGGCACCGTTCGAGGCAGCGCTTGTACTGGCGTTAGGACCGGCCAGGCCGTTCAATGCGGCGTTCATGGCGGCTAATCCGTCCTCCGCCAGGCCCATGTCGCCTATGGCGTCGAACGTGATGCTCTGCGACGGGAACGGGGAAGGGGAGACAGGCGAAGGGGGAGGGGGGAAGGGGAGACAGGGAAGGGGGGAGCGGAGCGCATGGGGGAACGAGCATGAACGCATTCAATTCTTACGAGCCAGTCCGTCTCCCGTCAGGCTGATGTCGCCCATGGCGCCGAACGTGATGCTCTGCGACGAATGGAGGAGAGAGAGACGGATGGGGAAAGACGAGCGCAGGCGGAAAAAACAGCACAAGGGGAAAGAGCAGCACGCAGGGACAAGAAGATAACGACGACCGACGACGTGGAGGAGGTGAAGTCATGGTGACACGGTGATGGCTGAGTGGGATGAAGGGCGACTGGTAAGGCAAGGAGAAAAAACTGGGGGAGAAACAAGGGAAGGGTGGCCGACGCGTTCCTCGCATAGCCGAAGATAATGAGGAGAGGGAACGGACAAGGCTAGGAGAGCAACACGAGGAGCCCAAGGTGAGGGGGAGAGACGAGGTGAGAAAAACCGAGCAGGGGAAAACGGGGTGTGGGAACAAGGTGGGAAAGAAGTGGGGGGGAGGGGGGAGGGGGAAGGAACAAGCAGGAGGACGACAAGTTGGCTGAGAGTGGTGCGTGAGTGCATCGTGCGACGATAGGGCGACAAAGCTAGTGCCAATATGACAATAGCAGCTAATTGTGGCAGTAACGGCAATTTCTGACTGTAAGAGTTTGTTGTGACTATAACGGGCATACATCGAAGTCCGTCATGGAGAATATGGCGTCGTCAAATTCCCCTTGGAGAAAATCCGCCTTCGCCGAATCAGCCATGACTACTGACGAAGCTTCGGGAAAACGTGATAAGGTATATAAAGATCAAGCTGTCAAGAATAAGGATCCCTGAATGGTAAGGTCTCTGAACGACAAGGGGCTCTGAATGATAAGGAGCTCTAACGATACCGAATTGTGAATGATTAGAACCTCCGACTAATAAAAGCCTCGCAACAATAAGGAGCTCCGTCTGGTAAGGAGCTGGTTGAATGGTAAAGGGGACCAGGAAGGCTTCTAAAGCTTTAACAGCTTCGCCAATTGAAAGGCGGAAGCGCCTTATGATGCTTATCAAAAGGCTGACAGCAGAACGGCCTTACGAATTTAACAGCGCGTGTCAGGGAGAGACACTGAAAGAACGGACGCTATTAGGACGGGTAAGAAAGATTCTCTCTAAAATTAGACGCTAGAACAGGAGCGTCACGCCGTCTCATGAGGACGTCGTGACATGAGTGAAGAAAGTTATTCAAGTTCTTAGAACCTTGAAAGCCACTTCCAGCAGCCTGCAAGCCCTGACCCCTTTCCGCGGCTCTGAAAAGTTTTTTTAGCTCCAACCCCAACGACAGCGACACCCCATTGGCAGAAGCAGCGAACAGGACAACTGCAGAAGAAGCAGGAGGAAAGGAAGAAGATAGAACATTCTTTGCTAAGGGGCTGTTCACCAGCACTTATTCAGCGGAGCAGAAATAAATTCGTCAGGCTCGAGGTAACAGACTTCGCCAGGGGTTCAATACGACGGCCCTCGTTACCTCGTCACCTCCCTCGATTTTGTCATGGGCTTCCGTTTGGCGAACAAAAGGCTCGGGCTCACCTTGGGAACTGCAATTGGAGTTCCCAAAAAGGCCATTTTCACAGCATTGAAATATTCGCATTGGGTCAATTTCACTTGTTTCAGCAACATCCGCCAAGCGTATCTGCGTTTCCTGAAACGAGACCTTCGCGTTGTGTGTCCCGTCCACTGTCCACTCGAGGAAGGCAGTCAGGCAGACAACACTGAGGTACGACGATGCCACATCAGCATCTCGCTTTCGTCATCATCGTTCCCCTCCGCCACGAATCTTGTCAAAGCTGGAATGATGGGGTGAGGAGGAAGCTGCTGTGACTCAATTGCAATCCAATGCAGCCAAATTGAGCTGTTTCTACAGTGGAGTCACTGAGGCTGCCGCCGAATCAGCGATTCGGGCTTTGGGAAAGGTTGAAAAAACGGGATGTGATTGGCTGACTAACGAATCCCGTGTGCGGTCGAGAGCAACTGAAGCCTTTCTGACAAATCAGTCACCTCCTTGGTGACAACTTCCCCATCGGTCATAGAAAGCAGGTTCCATCTAACTGGTAAATGGATACCCATCTACAACTGCATTATTGTAGGAAATTCCTATGTATGCTTTAGGGGTTTGCAGCCACAACAGCTGAACGGAAAGGGGGTTTATAACTTGCCAGACATAACCAGGAAGAAGCCAGCATCATTGCACACCAATCTGAGCCTCCCTCTCCTTCACAAGTTTGGCATACTCCTCACGACTCGATGCGATCAGTTGCTTCACGGTGTCATACGTTGTCAGGCGAATACTGCCAACCAAGAGGGGAAACAGGCAGTCAAAAGGTTAACAAAACAGAAACCAATCAAGCATGTCAGGGGGCAAGGACGAAATTTGGAGCGAGCCACAAACATGAGATGAGAAAAGCAGCTACCCATACCATGACAGAATCAAAATCGAAGGCCCCAAGCAATAAACCAGCGACAATAGCGGCACGCACAGGTCAACGGCCCAAGCAAACCCACCTGCTGTTAGGGAGGTTCTTGAGTGCATTGGCAATGAAGCCGCGGTACAGCCCAACCACGCCGTCACGCGCAATGATGCCGGGGATGGCGTCAAACACCGAGTTGAAGGGCGACCCCTTCATCTGCATCTGCCGCCGCACCGTGTCCAGCGGGTAGCACATCACCGTTGCGAAGGTCGTCGCACAGAGAGCAGTCACAAAGGACGCCTGGGGGGTCTTGCGGTACTTCTCAGGGATGGAGCGCTTGATGCTGAAGGGGGGGGGGATAAGGGGGGTTTAGAACATCATAAGTTGCTCCCTGTCCAGCGGGTAGCACATCCCCGTCGCAAAGGACGTGGCGCAGAGAGCCGACACAAAGGACGCCTGCGGGGTCTTGCGGTACTTCTCAGGGATGGAGCGCTTGATGCTGAGGGGGGGGGGATGGGGGAGGGAGGGGGGGGGGGGGGGTGTGAGAGGGAGTGGACATGGGTGGGAGCGGGATGCGAGGACGAAGGCGATGCAGGGCGCGATGGAGTGAGACACCTCTGACAGATGCCCGCATGAAAAGTTTTGGGGCTCTCAGGTTAAAGGCATAGATGTTGTGGGCGGTGTGGGGCGCAATGGAGATGAGGGAGGGGGGATACGAGACAGGTCAACAATATGCTCACAGGGCAAAGGCGCACAGCAGGCTAGCAGCCCACTCACAGGTCGAAGGCGCAGAAGTTGAGGGCGATGTAGGGCGCGATGGAGATGAGGGAGGGAGCGAGGCCCTTGTAGAACGACAGCACGCCCTCCTCGCGGATCATCCCCAGCGCCACGGCGCGCATGCTCCTAGATGCCGGGTCCACCGCCAGGCGCAGGCGAAGGACATCGAGCGGGTAGGTGATCTGTAGGGGGTGGCAGGGTAGGCGGCAGGCGGAACGGAGGAGGGGGAAAAGGGGGAACGGGGGAAGGGGAAAAGGGGGAACGGGGGAAGGCATGAGGACAGCACGCCCTCCTCGCGGATCATCCCCATGGCCACCGCACGCATGCTCCTGGACGCGGGGTCCACTGCCAGGCGCAGACACAGCACGTCCAGAGGGTAGGTGATCAGTAGAGGGAGCGATTCGGGGAGTATGGGGAGAGGGGGGGGAGTTGATGTGGGGAAGAGGAGGCGGAGAGAAAGGGGGGGGGGAGGTGGGGAGAATGGGCAAGTGCTGGTGGCGTTCAGGAAACACTAGAGTCATGATCTGTGGCATCTCACCCATCACAAGGGCGGCAGCACATGTGAGAAATGAGCTCATGACTTCTCATCCACCGCATCGGAATTACATCGTGCCAGCAAGCACATACCAGTGTTGACGTCATGCCAGCACATGCGCCAGCTGCCAGCCTGGCAGGCACCGAGAGCTCCTCGTTCTTGCCGAGGAATGCCTTCTGCTCCACCCCATACCCGTTATAAGCAAATGCGGATAGACAGGGGAAAAGGAAAGACAAACAAGCAAAAACCATGGTTTGACTCTAGCTGAAGGGTTTGAGCGGCAAGGAAACGGCTTGCATGTGAAATGCCTTTGCGTACTTCAAGATGAAACGGAGATGAAACGCACCTTGTACATTTCGTACGCGAAGAGCTGAACTGCACTGTAGGGGATGATACGGATGACCTGAAGAAAGGGGAAACGGGGGGGGTTGGGGGGAGGGGGGGAGGGGAGGGAATCAGTGTGTTGAAAAGAACCTGAAGAGCCATGGTGTGCGTAACAACAGCATTTACGTTTACACCTACTATATGTGCAAACAGAAGTCTACAGACCAAGAGCTATAGCCACACCAGAAACAATGCCCACCTAGATAACGCCTACACCAGTTATCACCTAGAGCACGCACCTGCGGCAAGTTACCCTTCCAGTAGCCCAGCACGCCCTCCTTTTGCCCCGATCGCCAGAAATGACTGCCGCCGACCAACACGGATGCGCAGATTGACGCGGAGTGGCGCGGTTTGGCGCGGATTGCAAGCCGAGCGGAAGGGGTGTGCAGACAGGGATAACAGGAGAAAGAGGGGAGGAGATTTATGGAGGAGGAGGAGGAGACGAGGCGAGAATAATTGCCCGAGCGACAAGAGTACTACCGGGCGCAGACGAACGCACTATGGGGCAAACCGGGACAGAGCAGTATCAGGCAGCCGTCTCGCCAGACCATTAGTGAACGCCACGAAGCATGAACGAAACAATGACGAGACATTGCGACATTGGCGAGACATTGCGACATTGGCGAGAACATTGCGACATTGGCGAGAACATTGCGACATTGACGAGGCATTGCGACATCGGCGACGAAACCATCGGCACTCACGTCAAGCAGCCCGACCGGCTTCGCAGCGACGTCTTGAGGCACCTGCACGCTGCGCACCTGCGGCACGAGGAGGGGGGGAAGGCGGGGGGGAAAGAGGAGGGGAAAGGGGGAGGGGGAGGGGTGGGTGGGTGGGGGGGGAGGGGAGGGGGGGGTTGGTTGTTTTGAGGGTCTTTGATAAAGGGTAGACGAGTGAACAGCGACGTCTCGAGCACCTGCACGCTGCGCAATTGCGGCACAGGGGGTGGGTTGTGATGGGGGAAGTTGGGCGGAGGGAGAGGGGAAGAGGGGAAGAGGGGTGGGAAGGGGGAGGGGGGGGAGGCGCGTGGGGAGGGGAAAGGCGCAAGGATTGGTCACGTTGTTCGCTCATGTAACAATTTAATGCACTTACTTTTGCTGTTTCTAACATACCCTGACTTAACGTTTACACCCTCCGCCAACCCCCCAACCACTCGTTTCCCGGAGAGCAGCACGTCGTTTAGTCGTTAATAACTTTTAATTGTTATTTTTTTCCGTTAAGCTCTCCCCTCTACCGGCCCACCTACCTGCAGCATGAGCTTCCAGCGGTCCAGCGGCGCGGTGACGGTCTTCGCGGTGCCGCCAGCGACGGCGCCGGCGAAGAAGAGCGCCGCGTCCTTCGGGATGAAGCTGAACAGCGCGATCGGCTTCCGCAGGTACTGCGCCAGTGTCGGCTTCACCGCGTTACCCGCCGCATCCGCCGCCGCCGATGCCGCTGAAGGAGCAGCTCCGTCCTTTATCTCCGGGGCTTTAGACGCGGGTGCTTTTAGCGAATCGGCAGCGACAGCAGCGAAAGGGGGGCTGGAAACGAATTGCACTGTTCCGACCGCGCTGCGGGTCGATCCTCGCCTTCGCATTGGCCAGTGTACAGCAGGCTGAGAAAGTTCTAGCTGCGCTGCATTTGTCGTTTTCTGACGCAGTTGAACCTTCCCCAGTTGGGACTTGACGAATCGGTCAAACCGCTGCTTCTGCTGATCGACGGCATTCTGGAGGGAGGAAGTGAAAGCCGCGGGATCGAATCCTGGAAGAGTCAACGCGAAGCCAGGACCATCTCTCCCGTCTAGATCGGAGAAATGGGACGCCTGGGAGGCGCTGCTGATACGCCGAACCATTCCTTCTTCGCGCCTTTCACACTAATTTCACAAATTTCACTGCAGTTGACACGTCTAGAAAATGTATCGTTCAGGCGGCAAAAAAAAACCACGGAATCAAGAGCGAGGAAGGCAATGACAGGGGAAAGCAAAAGTCGGACGAGGCAGGCTTAGGAGCCTAATTAAATCGCGAGGGGGAAATGGCGCTATGGAGAGTGGGTTGTGAGGTGGAAGGGCGGTGACCAGAAGAGGCATGAGGAGAGTGAGACTGGCCAAGGGTTTTGCTCGCTAAAACCACTGAGAAGGCGGACTGCAAGGGAAGGGATAATTGCAGTACAGAACGCATCCACTGTAGTCAATGGCGGACTTAGGGATTATTTCTGGATGGTGTCATAAATATGAGGCGAAATTTTCGACGATGAGAAGCTTGAAGCACCAGCAGCTGCATCAACGTGTACTCCACCAGTGTGGTGGGCTGGCGGGGCGGGCACCAATCGTCGTATCCACCGAGGGGGCCCAGTCACTGACAGATCACCAATCTGATGTGGCGCGTCCTGCTGCCACACACTGGCCTTTCCACGTCAAAAGCATCTGCTTACGGGATATGATGGCACACTTCGTGTTATCCAGGCTGTAACACGTTTCGCTTCTCAATCGGAAACATAGTGAGAATGTGCAAGTTATGACTTACTTCCATCTCATGGTTTAGGGTAGGGTTTCGGGTTTAGGGGCCTATGTATGCACATAATTTGGCTACGGTAATATTTGTTGCTCATCACGCACTCTAATCAAATTCTACCGGGATTATTACTGGTTTATTTTAATTCATCGTTTTAATGCATTCTGTTCAGTACTAGGAAGTGCCGTATCGACAAGTTTGGAGGGATACATCATCAGAAGTCTTGGTCGGGCGGGTAATAGTGCATATCCACACAAGCAATAAGTGTGAATCCAAGAGGCATTATTGTTCCATTTCAACACAACATACTGACAGCATGGTTTCAACTAGGATTTTGGCTTGTCCGAGTCGAGGATGAGACTCACAGGAAGAATAATTGAACTAGAATGTGTGAGTACAAAGGCATATACTGTAGACTAGGGTGTTGTACCCTCTAAGGCATAATCCAGTATAGTTTACATAAACGACCTAAGTTACATTTGACACACCCCCTAGACTATATAGGGGCAGTGCCTAACAGGGAAAGAAGCAGCTAAGGGCGGCACTACTAGTCCAGCCTCTGAGGCAAGGGTCTAAATACCAGTCAAAGGAGTACAGACAAGACAAGAGCAAGACCAGGGCGGCACTACTAGTCCAGCCACTGGGAGGCCACAAGGCCAGTCAGGGTAAAATATATATGTAAAGGACAGCACAAAGTCAAGGCCCTAGCAAGTGAGAGGCTACAGGAACGAGACCAAGCTATACACAGTGTTGCTGATGATCTTTAGGCGCAAGCGCCTTCGTAAAGATATCAGCTGTGTTGGCACCGGAGGGCAAGTGTACTACGCGCGCCTGGCGGCGCTGCTGGAGCTCACGCAGGAGGAAGTACTGCAGCTGGATGTGCTTCGCTCTGCCCTCGAGTCGAGGCTCCTGACATAGGAGCATCATGGCCCTGTTGTCAGCGTACAAGACCGGGGCAGAGCTAGGCCGCTCACCTACGTCAGTGAGCAAGAAGGTCAGCCAGCGGAGCTCCTGTGCCGCCATGGCACCGGCGTAGATCTCGGCCTCACAGCTGGACTGGGCAACAGACGAGGAGCGGGTAGCTCTCCACGAGATGGCACCTGAACCAATGCTGAAGAGGTAGCCCTGCGAGGACCAGAGGGTCTCGGCGTCGTCTGCCCAAGAAGCGTCTGTGTGACTAGTAAGGACCACTGGCCTACGTCCTCCTAGCACTAACCCCATGCCCGATGTACTTGCCAGATGACGCAAAACCCTCTTAGCGGCAGACCAGTGCTGAGGTCGGTGTCTGCCTATAGCCACAAAGCGAGCCAGGATACTAAGGGGGTATGCGAGATCTGGGCGAGTGCAAATCATCAGGTACATGAGGCAACCCACCAGCTCTACGTAAGGACCACTGGGCTCTGCCGACTCCTCAGGAACTGGAGCAGAGAGCCTGTGGTCTAGAGGCAGAGGAGTGGGCTGTGCGGAGGAGAACTGAAGGCCGAACCTCTGAAGGACCTGGCGCACCAATTGAGACTGAGTCACAGTGATGGTGCGCGCTGCTCTGTCTCTAGAGATCTGCAAGCCAAGGTAGTCGCACAGTTCTCCAAGGTCAATGCAAGTGTGTCTCTTCAGCAGCTCTGCCTTCACGGAGGCCAGTGCAACCCTGTCTGGTGTGCTAAGACTAGGTCGTCTACGTAAACAAGGATGTACAACGAGGTCTAGCTAGCACGAATGAAGAGCGAGGGGTCTGTAGAGGACGGAAAGAACTGCAGGTCAGCAAGCGTAGCATGCAGCGTGTCGTGCCACTGACGGGGAACCTGCCGCAGGCCGTAGACGGGGCGCCGGAGGAGCCACTGGGTCCCAGGAGGGAAGCTACCGGTGAAGCCCTGAGGGCGGCGCAGGTAGACCTGCTCGTGTAGACTGCCCTGAAGGAAGGCAGTGGAGAAGTCGAGGGAATGAAGCTCGTAATCACGCTAAGCTGCTACGTGTAGCAGCACCCGAAGAGTAGTCATCTTCGGGGTCGGAGCGAAGGTCTGGAAGAAGTCCACTCCCTCACGCTGACTGAAACGTCTAGCCACGTAAGGCGCCTTGAAGCCAAGCGGCTCTCCAGGAGGGCGCTTCACCTTGAAGAGCCAGCAGCCATCGACTACGTTCACCTCAGGTGGGGGAACTGCGTCGACGTAGGTGCCGGTGGATCTCCAAGGTGCCATCTCCTACTCCATGGCAGCTATCCACTGAGCGTAAGTGCGAGGGGTCGGGATGTCAAAAGCGTCGGGGTCACCCTCAGGGACTAGAAGCATAGAGCAGAGATGGGGAGCAGCCTCGGACAGGAAAGCAAGCTCGTACTGGCGGTCCTCCAGGACGTCACTGCCGAGGGCAGGAGCACCCCCGACAGAGGGAGGATAGGCAGGGTAAGAGACCAGAGCGGTGGCGTAGTCAAGGCGGTGGGTAGAGGCGAACTCAGCGACCGCAGCGACAAGGGCGTCAAGGCTCGAAACCGGAACAGACGGGTCGTAACGAGAGAGGCAAGGACCCGAGGAACAAGAGGACGAGCGACACGCAGGTAGTCAGACAAAGGGGGGGGAGCAACGACAAGGGAGGACGGAGGGGGCAACGGGAGAAGGGGAGGACGAGACGCGTGGGAACGAAGCAACATAGGGTGAGAGCGCTAGACAGGGGAGACAGGTCGAGCACGGGAGGGACGGCAAGACCAGACGTGAGACAGAGGAGTCGGGTCAGGGGACAGAGGAGGGGACACAAGAGGGGAACGAGGGGGGAAACGGGCCGGAGACGAGTCCGCAGGAGGGAGCACAGGGCCGTAGATAGGAGGAGGAGGAGGCACAGGCACGGGGTCAGGGGATGGAAGGCCGAGCAGGCGAAGAGCGGACACCGGCGGGGACTGCTGCGGCGGCGGTGTGACACCGACACCGGGACCGCAAGGTGCCTGGCGGCTACTTCTAGAACACTCCACGCCAGCACCCCTAGAAGGAACACCCCCAAAGCTCAGAACCCCTCGAGCACCGGTACCACCCCCAGGCCCGCCGGGACAGGCCCACCTTAACTCCAGCACCCCCACAAGCAAGGAACTGCTGCGGCGACAGCTGCAGCGGCGGCGGCTGCAACGACAGCTGCGACGGCGGCGGCGGCAGTGACGAGGGCTGCGACAAAGGCTGCGACGGCAGCTGCAGAGGCGGCGGAGGAGGAGACACCTGAGAAGGGGCATGCAGCGAGGACTGCGCCGCAGGACCTTCAGATTCAGCAGACTCATCAACCGGGACAACCGACGTAAGTGGGGTGACGTGGGACACACCAGAGAGGGCAGGACGAGGAGGAGAAGGAGGAGGGGTGCGACGACCGGGGAAGGGGTGACTAGGAACAGGGGTGGGGTAACCGGGGGACCTCGGTGGGGGAAGCGGCGGAAGAAGGAGACGGACTCGTCAAAGGTGACGTCACGGGAGTGAAAGAACCGGTGAGACGGCGGGTGGTAGAAGTGCCAGTCAGACGCGTCAAGGGGGAAGCCAAGGAAGACACAGGGAAGGGTGCGGGCAGTGAGCTTGTCCATGCCAGAGGCATGAACGTGAGCAAGGCAGCCCAAGACGTGGAACGTAGACGCGTCACCAGGTGATCCAGACCAGAGGAGGGTCGGCGAAACCTGAGGCTACTGAGGGTGCGGCCATAGGTTAAGCTGGTGAGCGGCGTAGCGAACGGCGAACGGCCACAGAAAATGGGGTGCACCGGCATGGATCATGGAGGTGCGAGCCACCTCCATGACCAAACCGATGTGTTGCTCAGCGACCCCATTCTGCTGCGGGGAGTCCAGCAAGGTGAACGTCTGGGTGATGCCCTCCGCACGGCAAAAACGACCAAGGATACCAGAGGCAAATTCGCCACCACGGTCGGAGTGGAGACGCAAGACAGGGAGAACGCGGTGGACACACGCAGAGACAAGCCACGGGATAAGAACGGCAGGCACGTTGGCCTTCCGCTCTAGGGGGAACACAGTGGTGTAGCGCGTGTAGTCGTCGACAAGCACTAGGAAGTAGCGCTCTCGACGCGGCCCATGGACGGGGGTGGGGCCCCAGACGTCCATGTGCGGAGTCTGTAGCAGTGCTGTAGTAGGGGGAAACGAGGAGGAGTGAGGGGCACGGCAGAGCCGGCCCTCGACACAGGGCGTGCAAGGTGGGCTTGGGGAGGAGGGAAACTCGGGGAACGACCCGGGGAGGCCTAGGACGAGACCGTGCTGTGACATGTGACGCAGACGCGGGAGCGCAGGGTAACCTAGGCGGTGGTGCCAGAGAAGAGTCGGGTGAGTGAAAGACCGACAGGAGCAGGCAGAAGCAACCGGGGGAGACGCAGTCACCTGAGGGTGGGTCCCAGCCAGGGGGGTCACCGTGTCCAATGTGAAAAGACCGGACACCGGGTCCCGTGGGAACGTGGACAGGGGGGCACCAGTGGCGGCCTCGGTACAGACAGCATACCGTTTGTGTCCAGGGAACGTTGTGGTGACGCCAAGGTCTTGAAGGCAGCCGACACCAACTAGGTTCTTGGAGAACGAGGGGATGTACAGTCCTGTGAGCGAGCCCGAAGGAACCGCCGAGCAGGGGAGGGTGGTGGAACTGCGGGCGACTACTGGGCCGGAGGAGGGGTCAGCAAGAGAGA